CGGTCACCCATCCAAGTACTAACCCGGCCTGCAGTTGCTTAACTTCCCAGATCGAACGAGATGGGGTGTATTCAACCGAGTATGGCCGTATCCAATGATGATGAATTTTGCTTCTCTATATTTTCTCATTAATTTTACGGAAGAATGAAAACATACTAAAAGTTAATATTTTACATTTTTTTTCATGTTTTCGATCTCGATGGAATTTTATTTGATAATGAGGTCTGATCGTCATCTTCGTACAGCGTTCGATGACTGCGGCTTTGTTAACAAGGTTTGGCCGGTAGAGGGTCCGCAGTAGTCCCATTACCTTAGTATTGCTGTTCCACTACTACAGAATTTTATTTGAGTTCGGAAACGCGCAACACGCATTTTATCTCCCGGAAATGATAAATCCGAGAGCACACCTCTCGGAGACGTAAAATCCTAGAGCTAGGCTCTCGGATTTATCTATCCTATCGCCTCTCAAAAATAAAATCCGAGCGCCTAGCGATCAAGAGCGATCGGACGACGATCTGAAATGCGATCGGATCGCCCTAGGACAGCGAACGTCGTCCAACCAGGAATGGCGTAATCCTATCGGATTAGAATCCACGCTAGAACAGCCGTATCTCATCTCGATCGATCGATCATATAAATTGATTTTGTTTATGATGTTTTCTTTACCTTACCCATAACTCAAGGCCAAGAATAGAAATTTTCCGTACTGCAAATCGGTCTCCTCTCACGTTTTTAATAGGATCGTCCTGCAACTTGGCTGGCACAAACTTGATTTAGGTTTAGATTTAGGCCCTTAAAATTGAAATTGCTGACAATTAAACTTTCTCTGATTTTCAGTCACAGTTGATAAGGGATAAGAGAAATAACATTCAGTAAAACATCTGATCGACCATATCAGACAGTCGATAATCACAGAACTTATAAATAAAATATTTATTTCGTTAATTATATAAATTTGAGACATTTCCTCAGTCAATTAAAGAAAACCTAAAAGTTAACAATCTATAAGAAATTGCAATTTTAACTAACTTTTCTATCTGCCTGAGAAATTTTCTTAAATTTAACAACATTCCAATGGCTCAGGAATCTATTACCCATCTGTTTAGTTCGATTCCATCTCAGTTTCCGATACTCTTTTTTGTCGAAAATAGTCTCATTCTTTCCTTGCGTTAACCCCTCTGTGTTAGGGTCATGTATGTAATGGAAGTTTGCACAAATAGCAACCTTTTTGTCTGCTGCTTTTAATCTTAAGAATATGTCCACATGTTCGCATACTTTTAGCTCTCTACTCCAGCCGCCAACTTCTAGTATTGCCGCAGTTCTTGCTATAAACACAGTGATTGTCAAGTCACATCGATGACATTCGTTTTTAAAGGGGAATGCCTCCGTTTTTGTGACGCATGATCCATGTAGCTGTCTCATGATTGGTTGTCCGTCTTCATCATGGAGAAAGTCTACAAACCCTGCCCAACTGTTCTTCCCCCGCGCTCCTACCAGAGATAAGTCTGTTTTTTCCATCAGTTCCACCATCTGACGTATTCCAGAATTATTGGGAATCATGTGGTCGTCATCAAGATTGAGAAAATATTCAGTTTTTACCATCTTCACTCCCCGTGTGCGGCCCTCCGCAATACCGATATCAGCTGTTTCTGCGATAATGTACTTCAAGTTTTTGAATTGCGCTAATTGGTCCATTATCTCTGGGGGGTGAGGTTCAGGACCATCGTCAATTACTATGATGGGAAGGTCCTGGTCTAAAAACTCTCGGACTGACTGAGCTAGTCGGATTACAAAATGAGGCCTTCTAGCAGTCTTCACCACTATTGTAACACAATCGGACAAATTCTCACATCTCCCCACTTCTTCCGTCTCTATAAGTTGAGGAAAGTCTAGGCGTTTGTTAATAGCACAGCCTGGAAAATTACACGAATCATTCTGCGGCAGTGTCATCAACAGTGCAGCTCTGTCTTTCAAGAACTCTGATTCCTCGAGCAGGCCAATGTGAGAGGCTGGTCTCTTACATTCCTGTAACGATACCTTACTTCCAAGTTCAGGGAAGTATGTTGGTTCTGTTTTAGTCGAAGGTGAAACGCAAGTCTGACGATGAAGGACCAATGACGTATGAGCACGAAGTTCACCGTCAACTAACAACAAACGGACCGCGTCATCACAGTGTGTTAACATGAGCTGCTGTAAGTGTGAGTTGGATCTATTAACACCAATACACAGTGCTGTTTCTATCGACATAAAAATACCCTTCGAATAGAAAAATGCTTGCGACACCCTCGGGTTACAAAATGAAACCTCCAGTGTATTATCCTTAGATATCCCCAGACATTTACCTTCGTGAGAAAACTGGATTCTAAATCTCCCAACAATGTCACAGCCAGGAAAGTGAGTAGAGTCGCACGTGCGCATGTCCTGTGGTTTTGTAGGAGCTGGAGGGGGCGTCAATATATCCTCAATGTATTGAGTCTCTTTTATCAGATCAATACTGATAACAGTCTTGTGGCACGGAGCCAGAGCTATTGGTGAGCCCACTTCTGGGAACCGGGACACTTTACCTTTCTTCAGAGCTGTGACACATGTTTCAGGTTTCTGATCTCCGTGTGTTGAATGGACCAGAGTGCTGTTGACTGATTTTAAGTTGATGGCTTCCTCACATCCTGACAGTTCTAAGACCCTGATATTTGAAACGCGCGCACTCACACAAAGACCATTTTCTACTGATTTTAAGATCCCGTTTTCATACACGAAAGGTTTTACAGTTCTCATATTGCAGAAAGCCACCACTAGTGTGTTATCCGTTGCTACGGCGACGCATTTGTCTTCATCCGAGAGCTGAATGACATATTTTAGATCGTCAAGGTTTATGATAGCGACGGAGTCTATTTGGTTTGATTTGAAGAAGTAGAGCACCAGCAATGTGGAGTTCAATATAGCAATTAGAACTAGTAGAACACATCGTTGGTAGTTGTTCTGTAATCTGAACATTATCACTGCGGGACATACAAATTGGGTTACTGATGGGTTAGATAAAAATAAAATAATTCAATGTGTAAGGATTACACATTTTGAACATAAACTTTTAACGCCAACACAAAAGCTGTATCAAAAGCTGTATCAAAACTCGATATAAAATTGTCTCGAGATCAAAGTTTGGTCTAATGACCACAAATTAGATTAAGCAAAGTAAACACTCTCAAGTCAGAGAGTAATAATCCGTATCCACGGTATAACAGTACGATAATTATAATAGGGGCTATGTAATATGTACTACCATGCAGGTATAGTATAACCTGCATTATAGTATAACCTGCATGGTAGTACCTGGTTATACAGCCGTCAGACTACATTCCATGAGGGTTCGTTTACAACTTATCCGAGTAAGAAAGATGCGAGCCTGGTGTAATAGCATGTGAACAAACCCTCACTCATTAGCCTTACAATGGAGACTTGTAGGATACCGGCTTTTGTAGGATGCTCCCGACAAATTATCCCTTGTATGGTAAAGCAACTATTACAGTCCTACAATTACCATGTTTTACTCATTAGTACACATAATACTCAACATATTACAATGTATTACTCATGATCATTTCATAGTCGCTTGATCCATTTTGGTATGATGGGTCATGGAAAAGGTCGTTTGACTCAATAGTGGAAGCAGATGTGTGTACTAACTTGGAGAAAAAGCTATGTTATCGATAACAAAGTAATGCTTAAAATACTGCTCCATTGAATAGAGGCTGGCAACTATATACTGATATAGTATATAATAGTAAATACTATATAGCACTTACTATATACTATATACTCTGATGGGAGCCCTGTAGAATAGCTGGTGTAGACATGTGCACGATGTAGTGTGCCAATTATATCCTGTACTACTAAGCTGGATAAGGGTTAAACGATGTTTCTATACTGCATGGTAAAACACGTGACGTCACACGATGCTGCATGGTAAAACACGTGACGTCACACGATGCCGCATGGCATCATTTGAATCTAATTAGTGATTACCTTGTTCCACGAACAAAGGAAGGGATACAATGACTTATGACTAATTCATTGAGCCCCGGCCCCCTTTCTCAAACTAAACGTCAAAAGAGACGTAAACTCCGTGCACTTTATAGAATGACTCTATCCTTGTGGTTTTGACTCGTCAAATCACAAGAACTATGACCACGTTGCAAATTCCGATTCAGTTTATATCATTACATATTTTTGTTAACCGTGAGAAGAGAATACCAGGAAATTCTTGAAATGTACAATAAACGCTCAAGGTTAAAAGAAATATGCGAAAGAAATAGAAGTCACAACCGAAAGATTAAAATTAGAAACTCTACACTCATGCCCCGGAGCAGAAATCCGATTAATTCACAACGCGGGAATGTTTATTTATTGCTCATATCAGTTAAAAAGTCAAATTACCTGTAATATGATACCATGGCCATGGCCTGGTGTGGTTACTAGAGCAGTAATAATAAACCCTAATTTTGCCGCTTTTCAACCCAATGTGACATACTTAACTGTAATATTAGGAGTTTCGCTGTTTATGAGTATTGCTGAAAGCACAGTGTAAGGCCTACACGGACCGCCTCTAACTAGCCAATCCCTGTTTACATGCCGTGTAGCAGGGGACTAGAAAGAGCTAAACTAGTAAGCGGGGCATAGCCAATACACTATACTTCCATCATTGAGTATATTACCAACCAGAAGGAAAATTTCCTTGTGTTTGGAATCTACCAAGACGAAAGTTGTACAATCCAGCGAAATTCCGAAGAATCATTCCAGTAGACTAAGCGCATTGCAACCACAGCCACGGAAATACTTATGAGTATTGCTGAAAGCACAGTGTAAGGCCTACATATAGTATGAGCGCGAATTTGACTCAACGAGAGAATGTCCTTGTCAATATTAGCGATACTTTTACTGAAGCGTCACTCATATTATACTTAGTTACGTAAAGTATGAGTTGTTTAAAGTTTATTCCGCAGGTCATTGAGTTGTCGGCGCCTCCCCCCGTACCACCCCCAGCTCAGAAGAACAAATCTTCTCCTCGAGTACAAACTCCTCCCAGGGCGAACACTCCTAAATCTTTCATGCAAAGGTATAAATTCTAACATTTATTACATTTACACGCTTTATCGTTAAAAATATACCCAAAACAAATGTGCATCGAAGTCATTCAAGCAGGAGTGTTACATATCTCCAAAGTCCAAAATACGAACATCAACTAGTATGGATACAGTTGGGATGGCATTTCATGTTGACGATCGGATTAAATCAGTATAACTTTACAGAAGAGGGCTGCACAAATCACAAATTCGACGATTAGTTACGAGTAGCATTAACTTAAATCAATTGTCAGCGGTAAATTCCACTGTCGCACGAGATAAATAGTAACTGCAGGTATACTACGTGCCAGAGAAATAGAATAACTAAAAGTTGTGTACTGAGCATATTATGTTTACTATTAACATGATATATGCTAGTCAGTGTCGGATTGTACACTAAACAATATAGGTTCCATGTTGAGAATGTCCTAAGCACACAACTTGGATCGTTTAGTGTAAAATCCGACACTGAGTACGCTACGTTACTTCGTGAGACTGTATTAAAACGGCTCGCTAGCTAGTTATCTATATAATGTGCGGGGTCTGCGGGATATTAAACAGAAAATAACAAGGATCACGTGCATTTAAGCGGTTCTGTATAAAGTTTCTACCGGTAACTTCAGCAGGCTAGACGTTAAAGTGATAGAACAACGTGATTATTCCGGAGAATTCTACACGTATGAAGAATCAATATTTATTTTATGAGTGCTATCTATCAAGTTAGAAAATTAAGTAGGCTCTCTGAATTTTATTGACTATTCACTCGACTAGCCCGGTTTTTTAGAACTTTTTCAAATGAAGAGGATGTCAAACAAGCAATTAAGTAATTAAGTAATCTCGCAATTAACCAATTAAGCGATTAAATAATTAAGCCTTTAAAGAATGGTCGGAACGCACGTAACTGCACTGCTGCCCCTTATTCCGATAATTGCTGAAGATAAAAAGCTGAGACTAGACCTCTAGATCATGAAATAACCTTCTTAGTGACCGTACGTGACGCATAACCGTGCTGATTATGTTTCTGAAAACTTACACTACTAGAAGCATACTACTGAACGATAATACTGCTTTTTAAAACCTTAACTAAACGAAGAAGGAACAAAACAACAAGAGTAGTTGCTCCAAGAAAGTATACAATATCCGGTACAATATACAACATACTACACAGAGTAACAAGTTCCCAGCACAACAACACGTACACCAGCTAAGCTATACTGTTCGAATAAGGTGTTGATAGCGGGAAAGTACCACCTCCTCCTCTTATGATAGTATAATCCATTTACCTCATATCACTTCCTAGTGATTAATCGGTCACAAATTAGGTTATGGTAATTCGATGCACCCAATTACACATACATGTGAACCTAATTACACATATATATGTGTATACACGGACTATTTTAGGAGGAATGTTGTTATGTGAGTGTAAGTGTGATAACCTGGACTCAAAGAGCCGGGATAAAGGAAGTTAAGTGTGATACAGCGGGCTGCGGGCATTACAAATTATTAGGGAACCTATTTGATGTATAATCAGAAGACTTTCTCAGAAAATAACCTAATCTTGAAATTGATTCATTGAGAAGCATTGAGGCGCCACTGATGCCTTTATTTGGCTTGATTTGGTTTGAGGCTAAATGGTGAGCTGTAAAAACGATTGTTTCGGTTGAGTGTATCGTGAACAATTTTAAAATTTGAGTAATCGAATCGCGCAAAAAAATTGATGTGGACAAATAACACTGAACGTGAAGCGCCGAGGTTCCAACCAAACCGTTCATGAGACGGTTTGGTTGAGCATCAATATCATCGTAAAATATAACTTCCTATTGTGTCAGTAGATACGTAGATCTGATGCACAAGATAACTTACATGCCTGGCCTTCTGCCGTCGTCGATAAACGACTTATTTCCTCCCGATATACCAAAGTATGGCACGTCTTATGACGACAATATCGACTGGCTAACAACGTACTCTCAACCAGATCTACGCGGTAGTGTTCTGTATAAAGGTCCTATATTAGCTATTACCGAGCACAACATTAGTCGCATAACTTGCCCATCTAGCATTTTCTCAATAAGCATATATAAGAAATCAGCGAAGCGTGTAATGATAGAACTACAAAGCTCAGGAAACGATGAAGAATGGCCACCTTTTCTGTTACATAATTTGCCCGGGCTACGTAAATCGACAAGATCAGGCACACAACAAATCAACTACCGAGAATAAACTAAGGAATAAATAAAACCAGACGGTTAGCACACTAGTCACTATCAACCATATGCCACTTTTTTCACTGCCCATTCACTGTCATATTAATAGCATCATATAGATAGCGCTAGCAGGTGCTGATAAGACGTGGGCTCAGTTATTCTTTTTTGTTTTAACCTCAAGTAGCTTATAAAACAGTACGTATGATCATCTGTCGTATCAAATCAAATTATTTGTCACTATATGTTAATAAATCATGATATACAAGTTTTAATTTTTAAAGTTTCTGTTTTTGTTTTTAATGAATAGACGTAATCAACATTTTCAATTTTCATATTCACGCATATTAAATAAAATTATATTGTTATGTATTATATTATTTTGTAAACATTGGCCGGGTACCAAAAACCGGTCCCCAAACAACAAACACGTTACTATGGAACGTTATTTTATACAAACGTTACTATGGAACATTATTTTATACAAACGTTACTATGGAACGTTATTTTATACAAACGTTACCATGGACCGTTATTTTATACAAACGTTACTATGGAACGTTATTTTATACAACCTACCTATGTCACCTATGACGTTATTTTATACAAACGTTACCATGGACCGTTATTTTATACAAACGTTACTATGGAACGTTATTTTATACAAACGTTGCTATGGAACGTGTTCAGGTTCTCCCGACAGCAAGAAGAAGAGGAAACAGAAGATAACGTGGTTGAAGTGGTCAGTGATAACGTTCTAGAAACTTCCTATCATCTCAAAACCGGAACTATTGATATCCTACTATGTGACGATGAGAGCAGCAACAACGGTGAACCATGATTTAAATTATTAATTGACTATAGTGTAACCTGTGTAACCTGTGTAACCTGTGTAACCTGTGCCTACGGCCGGGACTTTCGCAGTGGAAATGTAAAAGTATAAAACCGCCTATTATATTTGAAAACACGCACAACATTGTCGTATGAAAGTATGAACTCTCTCTAAAGTCCAAACAAAGTCACAGACCGCAATGAGTGCAATCCCCCCTAATAAGCTTATAGTATTATCTTGATTCTTGTGGCTAACCTAATCATGATTCATGTACCAACGCTTGGTTGTCATGTTCCAATAAACTTCTGTCTTTCAGCTGGATCACTGCAGTTCAGATTCGAAGTTGTTCAGATAGAGCTATTTCCTCATCGGACTGGTAAATAATTTTGTAACAATTGATGTTTGCTAAACCCACATTTTATTTACATCCGGAGTGATGTAATTAAGATGTACAATAACCAAGATAGACAATCAATGAATGGGACGCTAGGGCAGATTTCTTGGGATGAGGTATTTTAAGATGTTTACTCCGCTACCCCCCCCCCCCTGCCCATCATCCCTCATTTACTGGTAATGTCCCCAAAGGTAACGCATCACGTCGTCACTGGGCTGTACCGTCTCAGTATGTTAAAGACGCTCAGGTATTCGCTGCAGAGATGCTGGGTGATTTCTGTGAAACTTGTCCTGTTTCAGGTATGTAAATTAACATTATTAAGTAGTATTATATCGGGTCTCAATAAGAGGTCTCGACTGCCTAGGCCTCAAACCTTGGCAATCGGTAATTTTCCTCTGGCCCGGAGTCAGCTGACCCTAGGGACCAGAGGATAAAGGCGTAGAGACTGTGTGTATCTACAAAAGTGGTTGTTTTTACAAGAGACAGGGCTTGCAACGCAAGGGAAGAAAAACGGGAGAAACAAACACAAAATGCATATTAAATGACTTAGAAATTCAAATAATCCTACACTACAATAAATGTTTATTACATAATTATAATATGTTGTATAAACAAGAAACAGGGCTTGCAGGGCAAGAGATGGGACACATAAGAGCTGGCCACAGAGTGTATAATACAGTAATTCAGCAAACACCTATTACTAATACTGAAAACTGAATCACAAATTATCACAATAATTACAAGAATATATGAAATACTAAACACAATTTTTATACAAGAAACAGGGTTTGCAGAGCAAGGGAAGAAAAACAAGAGAAATATCTGTAACAATTGTATATCACAAAGTCCAGACGAAAAAATAATCTTTGCACAAATCTGGGAGTAAATTCAATACAATATACTTAATAAATACAATAACTTTCCGATATGTACATTGATATGAGTTAAAAGTTGTATAAACAAGAGACAGGGCTTGCGGAGCAAGGGAAGAGATAAAAGAGGACCAGGCAAAAAGTATATATTACAGTTATACAGAATAAACTAAAACTGAAAGAAGTGTGTATTAAACACTCGATTAGATGTCCAAGACCATCCTGAGAATTCTGGCTGATCCAAGCAGAGCTGTCTTCTGAAGATTAGAGATGCTCAGATTGCAGTGGACTGCATCGAGGTGCTTACGAAAGTTTATGGTGACAGTTCCTAAAGCGCCTACCACCACTGGGACAATTGTAACCTTTCGTAAATTGCAGTACTTCTTAATCTCTCTTTTTAGGTCTTGATAAGCTAGTATCTTATCTTGCTCTCTATCCAAGATCCGGGTATCTCCTGGGACTGCAACGTCGATGATGGTTGCTGCGTTGGTTACCTTGTCTACCAGGAGAAGATCCGGTCTGCAGTGCTCGATAACGTGGTCTGACTGGATGTGAAAGTCCCACAATAGCTTGACTTTTTCGTTCTCCAACACCTTCTCTGCTCGGTGTTCGTACCACTTTTTACTGCGTGGGAAGCCGTATTCCTTGCACAGACTCCAGTGCAATGCGGCAGCTACTTTGTCATGCCGACACTTATATTCTGTCTGTGAAAGTTTTGGGCACCCATTCAGTATGTGATCTATTGTCTCATAATGATTTCTGCAGAGTCTGCAGAGTGGAGAAGAGCCAGGTGTTTTGTCAATCTTATTCTTTACATAGTTAGTCCTAAGTGCTTGGTCTTGGGCTGCTATCAACAATCCTTCTGTCTCCTTCTTCAAGTCTTGTTGAGTGAGCCAGTTCCAAGAGGTTATCGGATCTGCTATACCCGTCATCTGCCTTGGAAACTGTCCGTGCATCACTTTAGTAGTCCACTTCTCCTTGCGTATTTCCTCGCGTTGTGTTCGGTCAGTATCTTTGTCTATCTCTTCACCTAAGAGTATCTTGTCTTTTACAAAGTAGTCCTTCAGAGCAATCAGTTCCGGGTCTCTACTCTTTATCACATAGGTGGTGAGTGCATTCTCCTCTCTCTTTACGACTTCCTCTATACTATGGAGCCCACGGCCACCAAGTTGACGGCTGACGTATAGCCGATCAACATCTCCTTGGGGATGATGAGCTCCATTTATCCTCATTAGTTTCCGGGTCTTGACGTCCAAGGCTTTGATTTCTCCAGCGTTCCAAGAAAGAATTCCAGCTCCATATCTTATCACAGGTACAGCCCAGGTGTTAATTGCTTGTATACTATTCCTACCATGAAGCTGGGATTTTAACACCTTTTTGACTCTTCTGATATACTCCTTTGTGACAAGTGCTTTCATCTCTTTGTGTAGAATATTATTGGCTTCTAGTATTCCCAGATACTTATAGCCCTCGTCCTCCAACTCATGGATCTGTTCACCTGTGGGTAGGGTGATGCCTTCAATAGCGGCTTTTGCTCCCTTCTTCACCTTCACCACGGCGCATTTCTCAAGCCCAAACTCCATTCTGATGTCTCTGCTAAATTCTGACGTGGTGTTAAGTAGTATTATTATTATTTGGTTATTCTCTTTTTGTGAAGAGGGATCAAAATCCTGGTGATATATTCTAAGTGATATTGGAATTCAGTAGTGAATGAATTCCGCTTGACTGTAACGCCTCCCCTCCCCCAGCGAGTCCACTGCACAACCTATACGAGATGGTGGTGGTGCTGAGGTGTGAGCATTTCCAGCTCTTACCCGTTATGGGCGTCAAGAAGAGGCAGGTTCTGGGTAAGTGAAAAGTGAAGTTGTTACTTATTACCCAACTTTGTTACTTGTTACTTGATATACAGGGTAACTTCAAGTTAGATACTATCCTTACCGTTTCATGTCTTGTCTTACAGCTGGCTCACTTCTTCGCCCTCCGCCAGGTTCTTGGTTAACTCCCCATTTTAAACTTCATAGTAATAATTCCTATTGTTATCTTATTGAGTTATGTTCTATTTATGTGTTATGATTTACAGGTCATAAACACATCCTGCTAACTCCTCAGGACCTCTTTTGTTTTCTGATAAGAAAAAATTCGGTATAGCAGAATCAGAACCGGCACTGGTTGTTACCATAGCAACTTACTACGGCGATAAAGCCGACAGTCTAGGTATGGTTATCTGTTATAGGCTGATATTTCATATTTATTTAAGTTTTTTTAACACATTACTGTCATGTGTAACTGTGGTGACAAGTTCGATTATTTTAAAAATGTAAAACTTATCCTGAAATTGAGCCTTTAAAAACATAATATTTGAGATGAAGGCAGCTGTAGAAGCACTTAACAATTTACGACATTGCTCGATAATATCAGTAATTGTAACAATCATATCCCCACAGTACCGCCTCAGAGCGTATACGTGCACTTGAACCCCACTGAGATAAACTTTGATACAGCGACCATGTGGTGGCTGCGGGAGTTCACCTCTTGTACCATGACAGAGGATTTTAAACTTATGGTACGTGCTCTTAGCTTGATAAATGAGAAAATAGTTAAATCTTATTGCATTTTGTGAAATTCAAACGCTGATCATTCGAATGAAATTGGGTCAACATTCGCGTATCATCATTGGCATTTGACTGGTATGTTACTATATTATACGAGTAAAGTAACGGACTTTATTCAGTTGACGGAGTTGAGCAAGGGAGAGAGTACAGCAAACTACAGACTAAAAGTTACGTTAGTACTACCGCACATAACCATACCACTTACTGCGAGCGAACCTGTTGAAGATGAACAGATAAAGGGCGTGCAACTGTGGTTCTCCAAATTGACTGTTTCTAACCTTAATAACGCGTGAGTTCTAACGCGTTATATGTAACGCGTGAGAGGTGATCCTTCCTTTCGAACTTTTACATGAGCAAAATAAATTTCTTCCGGCAACTTGGTAATCTGTCGATGGACATTTGACACACATTAAAAGGTTACTCAACCCACGGTTGATACATACAAAATGGTTACGGCACGGTAAGTGAACAAACCTTGAAGCACGATTTGTATCTGGTAAATACACGGTTAATAAATGAACAGTACACTTCTTAGTCTTATGAAATGTAAATGAACATGGCGGTGAGCGAGGATTAACTAATTAGCGAGGTTAAATAGCATTTTAGTATGTGCTTTTAATGCTTATCTTGCGTCAATCAACCGTGATGTATGTATCCATCTAATCGACAGATTACGAAATTGCCCAAAGATAAACTTTAGAATCACTAGTTACACTGTAACACCGATTGTAACACCAATGTACTGCTACTTATACTGTTAGGTAACCCTCTCGTATCCCAGAATGTACCTACCTCTGCTCACACTCCTACAAGAATGTTTGGAATCCTCCATAGTATCAGACCCCTCCCAGTTCCCCAACAAACCTCAGGACCCCTCTCCTTTACCCCACATTCACAACCAGGACCTTATTCCTGGGATTTTGGAGGAACTGACCCGTCATGAGAAGGTGTGTTATCTTTAATTTTATTAGACAATTTTAACGAATTAATTATTCGACAATAACGAATTTTCCGTTATTTGAATAATTATTAACTGTTACTCAGTGTATTCAATCAATCGAAATTATGGTCATTCTTGTTCAAGTTCCAAGTATAGTTTATATGTATAATGTATATGCTGGGATCTCTAATACTTCTATAAACTTTTACCCGATCGTAACTGTAAGAATTAACTTAACAATAAACTCACTTCTCCACTAAAGAAATAACCCATCTAAATTATACAATAATCATCTAAATAGCTAATCAATCCTCACACTAGCTAAAGCAAGAAATGCAAGAAGAAAAGAGCAGACAGCGGCGTAACCTTGTATACGCCGGTATCCCTGTAAACTCCTCCCCTTCCCCCAGCGCTAACAACTCTCCTGGTCACAATATATCTCCTGAGCTGCCCAGCACTCCTCAGAGCAGGTCAGTTAGTTAATTAGGGGGTCATTAGGAGCAATTAGCAGCAATTAGTTCATTTTTAGGAGCAACTAGCAGCAATTAGTTCATTATTAGGAGCAACTAGCAGCAATTAGTTCATTATTAGGAGCAACTAGCAGCAATTAGTTCATTATTAGGAGCAACTAGCAGCAATTAGTTCATTATTAGGAGCAACTAGCAGCAATTAGTTCATTATTAGGAGCAACTAGCAGCAATTAGTTCATTATTAGGAGCAACTAGCAGCAATTAGTTCATTATTAGGAGCAACTAGCAGCAATTTGTTCATTATTAGGAGCAACTAGCAGCAATTAGTTCATTATTAGGAGCAACTAGCAGCAATTAGTTCATTATTGGGAGCAACTAGCAGCAATTAGTTCATTATTAGGAGTAACTAGCAGCAATTAGTTCATTATTAGGAGCAACTAGCAGCAATTAGTTCATTATTAGGAGTAATAACTTCATTATCGTTCCTTATATCCTGAATATATTATACACACATTGTATTGTAATGAGACAACCAAGAATTTTAAGTGGATACGATTAAAATTTGTTTACTGTTAGCACACCCAATTTGAAATGTGTAAGACAGAGGACCCCCTACAGAAGGAGCAGTATCAGCAGTGTGAATATATCAGACACCCACCTAGCCGGCTCCCCTCTCTCCTCCCTTCCCGACCTGTTTCCACTCCTCAACAACCTGGTACTCGGCTTCACTTTCGACAGCTTCAGTGCTGACTTTCTCTATAACACGGATAATAACTCCGGGGAGAAACACAGGTGGGTAGGGTCTTATGATTGTGGTGTTAAGAGATGTTATTCTGAAAATTATCCGCTTACAAGACAGGATTAACTGTACAGTTTTCACCAAACTCAAACAACAGTTAGAACACATTATCCTAATGCTTGATCAAACGATTTCTAATTTTCTAACCTCACAACACCACCAGGTCTCGGAGATTCATATCAGACATACCTCTCCACATGTGGATGATCGAGGAGATCGCTGCTAATGACGTCACGACTACGCCCAGTGACGTCACGACCACGCCCAATGACTTCATTGTGGAGAACGGACACAGGAAGTTAACTAGAAATACACTACGGAGGCAGGACACTATCACTTCTCTGGCTACTGATTATCTGCTCCTCATGAAGTGCTCTAAATCTGTGAGTTTTTATTCTTATCTCTTATCTATCTCTTATCTTGAGCTGTAGTAACTCCGTAATATTTATATAAGGATTTCAAAATAAAAAATGATCATTACAATAAACATTGTGTCGGATCTAAATTTTTAAAAATGAAGATAAAATTTGATCGCAAAATTTGTTAATGGTAAATGGAACTCAAAAACGTCAAAATTCTCTCGTTGTTTCGGTAAATTATCGAAATTTACCGACGGATTTGTCTGTATTATTTACTATTTCTATTTTGTTTATGGTATAATTTAGCATGCGAGAAATCATGTCTAATTCTGAATTGAAAGTAAAAAGTAGCTATACTAATTAAGATAATCAAAAGATGGAAATAATGACCCTATGAGAAGACTCTCAGACTAATTTTAATAAGACCACTAACAAACGAAGACGTTAAATACGTAAAATAATCGCCTCAATTATCAAATCCACCGCAAATTAATGGTAAAAACGAGCGACCAAACGAATGATGCCGCTATGATGCGGTTCAAATAAAGAATTGAATCGTTTACTTTTAATAAATAAACTTAATTCAACGAGGACGCTATAAACTAAATGAAATATATAATAGTGATTGGTTAGCACTGATCTAATAATAGCAGAGTTGCAAAGATTAGAAATGTCCAGAAATATCTTTACAAATATCTTATAAATATAAATATATCCACGAATCACAAATATCTTTTCCACGAGTCAGTTGCCTGAAATGTTTCTGAAATGACAGTTTCTTCTCAAGGTGACATTCTTTACCCAGTGAATAATTTGATCATTAAATGCAGTGATTGTGTCCTCAGCGGTAAGGAAAGATTAGTTAATCTTCGTTCCTCATTGATTGTTTCTGTATAAATATACCATGTAAGACCTGCTCGTTACTCATGAGTATAAATAGATTCCCTGAATTAATTTACTGAAGTTAAATATAAATATTCCGTATGAGATTTAATTCTGTGGGAATAGGGTTAAACTAATTTACATACCTTGTTAGGCGCATTGATTAAATGAGCTCAAATTAATTTAATGATAAAGATCCAATGTGCCAAACTTTCTAAAAAGAAGGAAGCACACGTACTTGTGTATTATTGATTTCATTCTTATACTAAGCTGCCACCTAAGTCTGTGTTGTAAAACTAGAAACACCTCAGATTCACTAAGTCTGCGTTGTAAAACTAGAAACACCCCAGATTCACTAAGTCTGTGTTGTAAAACTAGAAACACCTCAGATTCACTAAGTCTGCGTTGTAAAACTAGAAACACCCCAGATTCACTAAGTCTGTGTTGTAAAACTAGAAACACCCCAGATTCACTAAGTCTGTGTTGTAAAACTAGAAACACCCCAGATTCACTAAGTCTGTGTTGTAAAACTAGAAACACCCCAGATTCACTAAGTCTGTGTTGTAAAACTAGAAACACCCCAGATTCACTAAGTCTGCGTTGTAAAACTAGAAACACCCCAGATTCACTAAGTCTATGTTGTGAAACTAGAAACACCCCAGATTCACTAAGTCTGTGTTGTGAAACTAGAAACACCCCAGATTCACTAAGTCTGTAAAACTAGAAACACCCCAGATTCCCTAAGTCTGTGTTGTAAAACTAGAAACACCCCAGATTCACTAAGTCTGTGTTGTAAAACTAGAAATACCCCAGATTCACTGCACGCTGGATAGAGAACAGTACCTGTTCCTTCTCCGACTCAACCAGGAGATGACAAGTTTTGTAGAGCAGATAATCCTCTCCGTTACTCAAATATTTACTTCTAGCGTTCAGGTAATCCTCTCCGTTACTCAAATATTTACTTCTAGCGTTCAGGTCAGATATATTTGGTTCGTTTTTAGATTCCATGACTTACCTAGCTTGTCCATATAAACTAATAATTATGTAATAATTACAATAATTGTAATAATTATGTAACTAGACAACACCTAACACGTGACAACACCTAACACGTGACAACACCTAACACGTGACAACACCTAACACGTGCCAACACCTAACACTTGACAACACCCAACACTTGACAACACCTAACACGTGACAACACCTAACACGTGACAACACCTAACATGTGACAACACCTAACACGTGCCAACACCTAACACGTGACAACACCTAACACGTGACAACACCTAACACGTGACAACACCTAACACGTGACAACACCTAACACGTGACATGTCCCCACAGGACAGCTCGTGTTTCAAGATGTTAGCCCTTCTGAACCACCTGATGTTAGACATCGCTCTCCCGGAGCCTCCTCGCCCCTACATCCCCTCCCTGTCAACTTCTCCTCCCGACACTGCTAGTACTAGTCTTAGTCACCTGACTAGTGATAGTCCTTCTATTGGGTGGGTCCTGCAAATAATCTGAGGCATAAATCAAAATTATAAGATGATTATATTATTTACAATCGTGCTAAAAATCGCGAGATTTTAACTCCATCTGCGAGCTAAAATTGGATTACTTTTTGGTAAATTGTTTGCTTTTTAATCCGGTGTCAGGGCGCAGGCTGCAGGGGGATTTCGTCAAGTTGAAAACATAGTATAGTATGGATATAAATCAATACATACACTTTATAGCAATAACATAAGTTATATCCATCACTAACTAGGATAATTACTCACCAGATCACTTTCTTCCCAGATGTCGAGAATCTTTTCTAGCGGAAGAAGACATAGTCTTACTGGAGAGAACTGATACACCCGAGAATGATCAAAAAAACAAATTAAACTGGATTGTTCTCAGCAGATCCGACTCGACTATAGCATCTCTTTCTGGTTTGTCAGTTGTTTCCATGTTATGTCAATGTACGGTTATGTCAATGTACGGTTTCTGCAAAATGTAAAGTTTGGAATGTGGGAGATAATAAAAGAACAACTTTATCAAGTATGGAAAATTCCGTATGCATGCAATAATGACGTACCTTAACTAAACTTTTACTTTTCAGAGAGATTGTCTCTGCAGTCAGAGGAAGACGCTCTCAGCATCTCATCCATCACCAACGAACTAAATCCCCTAGCTAAAGGAGACACCAAAGAGACACTCCTCAAGTTCATCACTCGAGTAAGCAAGAAGAAAGAGACTTTGTCAGTGGGGGTCCAAACCACCACGGAAGACAGCTTGGTCGCGCACAACTACCAGCAACTGCACGCAGTGAGCGCTAAACTTATCAGTGAGGGTCTATTTAGTGAGGGTGTTTTGTCACGTGATCAGATTCAGGTTCACTGTGGTGATGCTGTGTTGGCGGTACATTCTGCACTTGATGTCATAACCAAGGTCACGTGTCGTAGAGTCCTAGTTTTGGACGAGGATTTGGAGATAAAGCCCCGGGAGTTTCCTTTGTCTAAGTGGAGGTGTCGTGGCTCAGAATCGAGTGACGCTCATCAGATTTATGCTAGGATAGAATTGAACCCAGTCGAACCTCCAATTCTCAGATCTTCAACCATGGTAGACAAAACACAAATTGTTGATGACTTTAGTGACGTCACGAGCGACGATATCACAACTTCCTTAGAATCTCTCCAGATGAACTGCGAGGTAGAGGCCAGTAGTCTTATCGCCTCGCTTAGAGACCGGTCTCTGGAGGGATTAGCAGTGTTTTTCGAGCCTGATCCCACTCTTGCGAGTATCCCTCTCACTTTGAAATGCACTGTGCGGGATTGTCAGGTGGAGCTTCAAGTTGGTGCCGCGCAACAGACAGTGCACGTGCAAGGAGTTAGAATTAAACTCAATCAAGATGAAAGTTGGGAAATCGGGCATGACCTGATTGATAGCTGCGAATTAGAGAGATTGCGAACGGAAAACGAAGAATTGCGTGAGAAATTGAGACTGCTATCGATTCAGTTTAATTGTACCCCAGAAGGATGAGTTGATAATTTAATGACGATGTATCAGATTGCAGCTGGAGCTTTTATAAGAATTGCAGGTTCAGTGTTTTAAATAATTGTTGCTATCTGCCAGGACATTTGCTCATTCGAGCAATGTCGGAAGATGTATAATTATGTCACCTTATCGTAATTTTAAGAAGGGTTTGATATCCTATATAAGCAGTTGACAGTTTCAATTTATTTACTCTTCGCCATTTTTATTTCAGCCTCCTATAACATAATAATCTAATCACTCATCACTGGTCTTTGAAAAATAGAACGTAACTTTAAGACACATTTAAAATAATTTTCCATCCCATTTGCCACTAAAGACCGCTACGGCTATTATTATCTGGGGCTCACGTGTCCTTACAGTTTCACTATACTTGTTCATGGTTTAGCTACAAGCTAAAGCAGTACGTAATACTTTAAGGAGTGAATTTATTTTTTACCCGGTGCTTTTAAATTTGATATTATCAATATTATACGCTGATTTCATCTTAATATAAGGTTTATTTTGTTTTCCAATCTGTTTAAGTTATTCAGTAAAATATTTTTGATAAATTTAATTTTGTTTGAATGTAGGGTATTTTATATCATAATCATATAATTATATACGTTATTATTGCATTATGAAAAATATACTTTATCGTGAGTCTTTTTGATAAGATTACTGTAAAACTGAGACATCTATACAAAGCTTTTGTAATGTTTTGCAAACAGTTTTTTAATTCTTTTAAGATATTGAATATCTGTTGACATATTTGACAGATGATACGCGTCTACATTTGTCATTTATCTTATCAGACTTTATTTGAATGGACATTAAGTGGACGCTGGGGGCCCTAGTGTTCATTTTAATGTACGTTAAAAATAAAATATAAGGTAATTAACAATTAAATTAAATACTGATCATGAATGCTTTCGAGTACAGTAGGCCGTGCGCTATCGTCCGTAAGACGCGCGCGCTGACCATCGAATGGTTTTTAAGCTTGTAGTTCGGCCAGCACATTATTTCGGAAACAATCAAAAAGTTACAATACTTCCCATATAACAATTTTGTTGAAATTTGGTCAGCTTACGTAAACACATATGTTCTACTGAACCTAAATTAGTTTGAGCAATTTCGATGGTCAGAATTTGAGTTATCAACGAATTTATACCTATTTTGTCATTTTTAGACCTCTTAATCAAGGTTGTAGGTTTACAACCTACCAGGACGCGCGCCGAGTTGGACTCGTTGGAACAGATATTTTATTGATACACTTCGGCGGCGCGCGCTTCGCGCGCGAAAAGTGGCATGCAACGTATGTCAAATATTTTACGAGTAGCACCCGTTAAAATCAAGGCCAAATTATCCCAACTAATTTAGGTTCGGTAGTTTAAGTATGATTAATAGATAGGATTCTGACAAATTTTCAGCATAATTCATGTTCAGGAACCGAATAATACGACAAAAATCAACAAATTTCGTCAAATTACGCGACTTTTACACCTAATTTTGCTTGCTAAAGCCGCGCACCATATAATATGGCACCAGGCACCTATTATATATAGTGTATAAGCGAAACTCACTGATCATTCCAAAAAAGTATGACAAATTTGGTACAATGAAAATTCTCACAGTCTCTAGAAAACAATGGTACAAAAGTTTTATAAAACCGAGCAAGTCTATTTTATCATGAACCCCTTGTATCACGTTGCGACCCCCACGGTCGTTTCACTATGTGGGTGTCAAGTAATTTGCGAGCCGCACGAGAAATCTCAGGTGCAACTGTACGAGAAGAACTCGCGTGCGCGAAACGATAATCTCAGTGCTAAATAGTTACTGCGTGCACTGTAAAGTCACATTTAGAAAGTTCCAGACTATTTGATGTTGTGTGTTAACGTTTTTAATGATGTGATCGCTATGTTGACAAAAAGCTTATCTCTGGGCTCTGGCTTTTTAAATTTTTGACTTGCAGCACTTTCTTAATCAATTATTCTTACTTGCTTACATGGGGACCCTGGGCTTTACTGTATAAATACTTAAGTCTTGGTATTGAGACTATTAAATCAGTTAAAGCCATAATTTTAGTCACAATATTTACAGAATGGAGCTTCCAAACTAACCACATAATTCAAAATTGTATTATTGGTATCCTAAGAATAATACATAATATTTAACAGAACTAAAATCCATCTGTATAATAAACTAACAATATTACGTACGTCAGTGCTTCAAAGAACTATGTTTTTGAAGAAGTTTTAAAGTTAATATTTGGGTCCATATCGGGTAAACTATTAAAGGGCATGATAACAGGAAAATAGACTGATATCATACTGTTTTCGGTCCAGTAGCCAAATCTCTAGACGGGTACTCTGTTACTTGTCGTTTGTGATAACATAAAAAGGTGGTATGTGGTAGATATTTATATAGCATACTCTAGATCTTTAAAACGAAGTAAGATTTGTCACGCCTATATTAGTCGTTTATCTCTCCGTTAAATCTACAATTCTAACATCATTGGGTAGCATGAAACAATCGGAAAAAAGACATACGAATAGATTTCAAGGTCATAAAGGATTGTTGTTGGAGACCAGAGATTTTAAACTTAAGTTTGATAGTCTAAGTTCTCCTGTAGAATTTGAGTCCAGGTAGAGGACTTTCGTTCGACAAAGTCCAACCTTAGGGTTTGTCGAACTACAGTTGTACGTGTCGAACTTGAGTATGTGTACCGAATTTACCGTGGTAAAAACATCTTCACACCGTGAAATGTGCAAAAAAACTACAAAAGGTTCGCCTTAAGATCGTGTATCAATAATTTAAGGAGGCTTTGCCGAGACAACCTATACGCCCGTTTAATTTTTACAGGGCAGCCCAGAAGTAATTGGTTCTGAAACAATTCAAGATTTAAATCTAATCCTTTAAAGTAGGCGGCTCAGTTAATTACACATTATTACCAAAACAATTAAAATATACCCAACTACCATCTATAGCCTATTTTCTAATAATAGAACAATCTTCAGCTAACATGGCAATTAGAACAGTTTGGGTTCTGCTGGAAGTTGAGGTTCTGCTGTAGGTTGAGGTTCTGCTGTAGGTTCGGATGGGGATACTTTTATGAAGTAAGGTCCAGGAAACGAGCTGCGGAGCAATATCTGTTCATCCAGCTCGGCCTTTTTCTGTTCATAAAATTGGCCCTCTGACTGTCTTTATTGGCTCTATCTTTGGATTTCTTCAGTCTCCTGAAATATATTAAGCCACATTAGATGATACGTAAAGATTTGTTTAAGCATACCCTAAAGGATTTCTTTTATATTTATAGCTTCACTATGTTTCACCCTGTAGCGTCTTCGACGCTACAGGGGGAGCCGCGCACTTCGTGCGCGGCGGGTCATACAACGTATGACAAGAACCCCCTACTTCGAGCATTCATTTTAATGTCCGATGGCCGAGCTTTGAAAGACTGACGGAGGAGGGTTTGACTAGGTCTGAGCCTTAATTGACGATGTCAATTCATGGCAGCTCGGCGCGGCACAGTAGCGCATCTCGCCGATCTAGCCAGAGAAGCCTTATTGAGTGCGCGGCGCGGCACAGTAACGCATCGCGCTACAAGCTGACGTCATAATTTTATAAATAATAAACAATAAAAAATATTATTTTTTAAAAACAATGAAAAATTTCACGTGCGACTTCGGTTTTTTTTGGTTTTGCAGCCGTACAAACAACAAAACGGTTTTTACTTGTAGGTTTATAATCTACCAGGACGCGCGCCGAGTTATGGAACAGATATTTTACGAGTATCACCCGTTAAGTTTTTACATAAACCCTAATTTCAACCATAATACCCCGAACTCGAAGCTATCCATAACTGATAACATTTACCACAAACCTAACCCTAGTCCCTAACCCGAGCCGATTCGGAATCAGAGTCCAAAAATACACCGAATTAGATCTTGTAGGTTTATAACCTCGAGCGTGCTAAATCACTGTACAGTCGATGTTCTAAATTGTTCCACGAGGGCCCCCGCACCCCGACAGTTGAAACTAATCTAAATCGATGTATTTTCGGACGCTGATTCCAAATCACCCCCATGACATGACATAGGGTTAAAATACTCCCCTGACGAGATATTGGCGAAAAACTCGCTTCTCGCTTTATGCAGATCGGCGAGATGCGAAGGATTGACATCGTGAATCAAGTTAAGTTATAAACCTCAAAACCCATAAATATCTTGTCATACGTTGACATACGTTGCATGCCACTTTTCGCGCGCGAAGCGCGCGCCGCCGAAGGCGGGATACGAAACATGTATCAAGTCATACGTTGTATGACCCGCCGGGCAAAAGTGCGCGGCTCCCCTGTATCCTCTAAACTCTACAGTGAAACGACCGTGGGGGTCACGACGTGATTGAATTGGTTGACCATTGTTAATGATCTGACCCGGCGCGCGCTACTTCGTAGCTCTTGCCATTTCAGAATTATCTGTGATAGCTGCACTGAAAGTATTTTGGGGTCTCGTATTTGTAGTTTGTACGTGTGAAATTAAATCTTTACTGTTTATATTTCATATGTTATGTATCATATTTGGCTTTTGTAACTGATCGTGGATGATTCAACTTAACTTTGGTATATCTGTTGTGCATGTTGATAACGGTAATTGGCAAATGGCATACTTACATTGACTGTATTGAGTTATTGATGGGATGAAATGTATTTGAATTCTTGTTCTGCTTACACAGACTGCTTCAAATTAACCAAGCCTATTTATTGAATGCCAACATAATGAAGAACTCAATCGATATAGCGAATTTAACAGATTACGTTCATATCAACTCTGTCCAGTATAGTATCTGTGCTGTCATAGTGTCACAATATGCAGAAATGATATAATGTGCTCGCGGTAACGCGCGATATTAGTCAAGTTTGCGCTAAGTTGAGCGCTCGATCTTTCGTTTCTCTCCCGTCTAACATTTCGAGAAGAAAGCGGCGCGCGCTACTTCGAAGAAATTTAGACGAGTAACATCCGTCAATTGAATTGGTACCTCATTGTATAATGCTATAGAATTCTGAAAATACTTAAGCTTACGATTAAAGATGGTGTTTTTATCTAAATTTAATTTAAAATATACCGATTTAAGGTAGTGAGCATTAGACTAGCAAGTTAGGTAGTAGGTAACTCACAAATCTGCTGTTGTTATACTCTACTGGAAAAATGATAATTACTGCAAACTACAGCAATATTCTGAATAATATGCCAACAGTTTAGCAAAACCTCTGATAGTTGAACTGGGAAAAAGCTTCCACCAACTGCAACAATCATAATATAATAGGTTGTTGCTCATCAGTTTTAAACTAATTACAACACTACAAATCTATTACATTTATTGAGTTTCAGGAAGCAATGTCAATGGCGGGCCAAAAGGGGCACGAGGCCCTGGCCAGTAAGAAGCTCAAGAAGACTCTAAAGCCAAAGAAGAACTCTGTTATACTTCCTGTATTTGAAGACGGCTCGTGTAAACAGTGTGGGAGTAATGACACTGTGAATGAATCGATTATCTGTAATGTCTGTGATGGGATGTTTCACTCCGCTTGTCGCAAAAAAACCGGTGTTCAATTTCCTGAGTCCATTTGTACAAATACCTTCCGTGCTAAGGTGAGACCTATGATTGCAGATCAAGCTCGTTGGGGTTATTTTCTATTCGTATGTGAAGATTGCATTTCACTGGTAGATGACACCCGTTCTTCCAAAAACGTTTCTCCACCTGGTCCACCTGTACCATCTGTGGTAGATGCTCCTAAGTCCAACCCTGTGATGAGTCATGATAATGGTCATGATGAAGCTCCTGATATTCTCTCCAAAGTTGAGCATCTGATGAGGGCAAACAACTCTGCCCTTCTGGAATCATTTCGTGAGGAAATGCATAGCATTATTGTCGACAAGCTTGCTCTATGTGCTCCAGCCTCTGAACATTTGCTGGAAGAGCGAGTTTCTAATGTTAACAAAGAAAACTTGCAATCCCGGTCTCCAAGTGCACTGTCCTCTTACAGCAATTTTGCTGAAGCTCTTGTAGGTGGTGCTAGTTCTCCTCAGCCAAGTAAAGTGTCTGCTAACATAAATCAAATTAGCAAGGAAAGTAAAGAGATATTGGTGCTAGATAGTCCCTTTCCTTCTGCTGATATTTCATCTGCTCCAGATGTTCTATCTGAGTTGCTCTATGACACACGATTGATTGCTATGAAAACTAGCCTACTAGATTCACATAAGAAGATAACGCTAGTTTTTCCATCTTCATCTGATAGGCTGAAGGCTAAAAGTCTTATTGAAAACTCTGATGTCATTAAATCACTTGGTTTTCACATCACTCTCTCACAGAAAGCTCTCCCTAAGGTCACTGTGTCTAATATTCCCAGTCAGATATTCGAAACCATTGATCGCTCTGGTTTGCCCGCTGAAGATTTCCGGTTACAGACTAAAAAAGCTCTTCTAGATATTATTCCCTTGAAAAATCCTGGACTTAAACACTTGCTAGATAATGAGCATTTCTTTGAAATTGTGTACATAAATGTTGGACTAAGGTACACTACTGCTGGGATCAAGGTCTCTCCTCAGATTAGGAACCTATTGACAGGAGACGGCAAAATCTTCATTCTGAATAGTGCTTGTCCTGTAAAGGATAGATTCATCATCAAGCAGTGCTATAATTGTCAGAAGCTCCACCATATTTCCCAAAATTGTCCTGAGAAAGAAACTCTGGTTTGTATGTATTGCAGCGGTAGGCATAGAACATCAGACTGTCATTACAAGGAAGACCCTAGCAGACATAGATGTCGCAATTGCAGTCTGTCAAAAGATCCAAGAATCTCATCTCACTGTAACACTCACCATTCCAGCTCAGAGCAGTGCCCCATCATGCAACAGGCATTGAATCGGTATAAACAAAACATCCTTACTTCAAAAAACTAGCTACAAACTCTAAGTCAGAATGTCAGAGTATGAACTTTGCCCTGTTCAATTGCAGATCCATCTGCAATAAAACTGCTGGAGTCATGCAATTGCTTGAAGACTTTGATACTGATATTTGCTGTGCTACAGAAACTTGGCTGAGAAAAGATGACAATGCTAAGTTTTCTGAGATGAAAGAACTTGGATATTCCATTCATAGCCAGCCAAGAGCTGGGCGGGGAGGAGGTGTTGCTGTTCTATATAAGAAAAGTCTTAAAGTGACTCCTCAGAAGTGCAAGCGATTCAAAACGTTTGAGTCTTGTGAATGTACCTTCAAATCATCTTCTGGAGATATACTACGAATTGTTTCAATTTACCGTTCTGGCACCTCCACATCTCAGAGTGCTAACATCCCCCAATTTCTAACTGACTTTGAGCAACTCTTGGTTGATTTAGTAGACAAACCTGGAAAGCCCTTGATCATGGGTGATTTTAATATCCACATTGAAGACGAAAATGATTCAGTTGCACAAAGGTTTAATTCACTACTTAGGTCTTGTGGGTGGGTGCAACAAATTTCAGCTGCAACACACAGAGATGGGGGCATATTAGATCTTGTAATTACCAGGGATGGTTCTTTTACTCACGATTGCATTGAAGTTCTAGATCCTGTCATTACTGATTCTGGCACATCGTCTGACCACTACTTTGTTGCTTTCAATTGCAATGTATCTCCAGCACCCATAGGCACTCTAGAACCAATTACTTACAGAAACATTGCTTGCATAGACCTAGATGCTTTTGTTGAGGACATTCTTAAGTCAAAACTATGTGACACTGATTGCTTCAATGACCTCGATAGTGCAGTTGATATCTATGAGTCTGAGTTGAGCAGTATTTTGGACAAGCATGCTAAAGAAAAAACTTTCATCCCAAGAAAAGATCATAACGCTGAATGGTGGTCTACACACTGTCAACAAGCAAAAGCAATGAGAAGAAAGATTGAGAGACTGTATCAAAAGAATCATGATTGCCCAGATTATAAACGACTGTACAGGAAAGCATCAGAGAGAGCATCCTCAGTCATTGTATCCACAAGAGATCACTTCTACAAAACAAGGTTACAAGATAGTGCAGGTGATGCTAAAAAGACTTATTCCATCGTTAATAAGTTGCTCAATAAAGAAAAAGTTAGTACTACTACACCTTCTTGCTCTTCGAATCTTGAGAGTGCTAACAACTTTGCACAGTTCTTTAAATCAAAGGTCGACAACATATACAACAACATTTATTTAGAACAACAATCCCAAGATTCTCCTAACTCAGATGAATTTGTTCCTCTTTCTAATAGCCCAAAGATAGTACAATTCCGTCATGTGTCTGATGAAGAACTAGTAAGCATCATAAAGAATATGTCTAACAAATTCTGTGATCTTGACCCCATACCTACAAAGATTCTCATCAAGTGTCTCCCAGAACTCCTTCCTCTGATCTCATTTATAGTCAATGAATCATTAGTTAAAGGTGAGTTTCCTATAAAACTTAAGGAGGCTCTCATTCGTCCAAGTTTGAAGAAACGTGGCCTTGACGGTGAATCTCTATCTAACTATAGGCCTATTAGCAATCTCTCATTCTTGTCAAAAATCATTGAGAAGTGTGTATCTATACAGCTCACCAGTTATCTTGAGGATAACAACTTGCTTTCTAAAGTTCAGTCCGGCTATAGGAAGTTTCATAGCTGTGAAACTGCAACAACCAGAATCCATAACGACATCTTGATAACTATTGACAAGAAAACTAAAGTTGTTCTTTTACTTCTAGATTTGAGTGCTGCCTTTGATACTGTCAATCACCCAAGATTAATCAAGAAGCTAAGATCTGCTTATGGCATTACAGGCATTGCTCTTACATGGATCAGGTCCTACTTGGCTAACCGTTCATTTTGTGTCAAAGTCAAGGATTCGTCTTCCTCAGCAACTGTTCTTGAGATAGGTGTGCCACAAGGTTCAATCCTTGGCCCCCTGCTATTCATATTGTACACCAAAGATCTTGAGAACATTGCAAGTATGCATGGGTGCTGTATTCATTTGTATGCTGATGACACCCAGCTGTATTTCACTCTTGATTCTGATGACCCATCACAGCTAGAGCACAATATGGAACACTGTATGTCTGATATCAAGAAATGGATGACAAACAATTTCCTTCAACTGAATTCTTCTAAGACTGAAGTCATCGTTATATCCTCTAAATTTGACTCAACAAATATTCCAGCCTCTCTACAGATTGTTAAGGATCAAGAGCCACATGTTGTTAGTGGAACTGTGAAGAGTCTTGGGCTGTATTTGGACAGTTATCTTTCAATGAGTGATCAGATTACGTCAGTGGTTCAAGCATGTAATATTCAGATCAGAAATTTGTGGTTTATTGCATCAAAACTGTCTTTTAACCTTAAGATTCAGCTTGTTCATGCTCTAGTACTCTCTAGAATTGATTATTGCAATAGCGTATATTTTGGACTGAGCTCTTATGATTTAAGTCGTTTACAGAAGGTGCAAAATTCTGCTGTAAGATTTATTTTCGGGAGAGGAAGAAAGGCACACACTACTCCACTACTTAAGAAAGTTCATTTTCTACCAGTTAGATTTAGAATAGATTTTAAGATTGCCCTACTTGCCTACAAGTGTTTAAATAATATAGCTCCTCCTTACTTAAAAGAGTTGATATCTCCTAGGCAGCAAAGTTTTAAAAATGTACGTCTTGATAATGATTATTTTTACCTTAGTTTTCCGCCCTCTCCTAACTATGTAAACACAGAGAAAGCTTTTAGTCACTGTGCAGTTAAAGTATTTAATTCCTTGCCATACGACATAAGATCAGCTGAGTCAGTTACATCTTTCAAGACCAAACTTAAAACATACTTCTTTTCTCTAGCATTTGATTGATTTTGCATTTACATAGGTAAAATGAACTTGTCATGTCTAATTTTCAATTAAACTAAGCTCAGTTAATGTAAGAGCCGCTTTAGAAAGCACTGGAGTTTATCTCCAGGATTAAATTATATCGAGTTATATGATTTAGCTATAAGGCGGTTTATAAATGTTGTATATATTATTATTATCTGTTTCATATAAAATTCAGCTTAAACTCAGATAAATTTAGAAGATATTTGAAGAGAAATCATTTTATCATTTTATATTTAAAGAACAGAAAGAATCTCTCAGATACAGATAAGTCTTAGCCTAACAGAGTTTTATCAATAGTCCATATCTTTGTCAGTCCCATCATTCGGAATTAGTTCCAGTTCTTTTTGTTTCTTTAACGTTATAGTTGAGTGAAAATATCCATAGCCTAAATACATCAAGACCCAAACAGCAAAGTAAGCGCCGGTCATCAGATGTGCCATTACATCAAGGGAACTGAACAAAACCAGGTTGAGAAATAGACCAATTGCTGGGATAAACGGCATTCCAGGACACACAAAACCAGGATTTTTCTGAGGCTGGATGTGGTAGATGGATTTAATGTAGATTAATATCAGTATTTTCATGAACCCTAGTATTATCATGATTGGAAGACGAACTTTCCAGAAGTGCCATGAGCTCGGCCAGTGAATAAATGCAATGCAAAGCGTAGAAATAACTATGAAAATACCCATCCAACTGACCACTTTCAACTCTTGATTTTCAATGTACCCAAGAGTCTCGATGTCCTGCTGATTCAGGGACGTTAAAGGCTGTTCTTCATTCACCACGAATTCGTTTAAAATAAGTTCAGAGGATTCATCAATAACTTCCTTTTGTTTGGAGTAAGAAATAACCACGAGAGTGTGACACACTGCTGCAAAAGTAATCAATGCCCCTCCTGCGACCAAATGAATTAGGATCTTGTAGGAGAACACTATTGTAAAGAAACTTATCACAACTGTAGCAGAGACTGTGGCAATAATAGGTACTTTAGTGCACTCAGCCACCAAACCAAGGCAACTGAAAATCAATCCATCATCGGAGAACACCATGAGCCCTCGGGCCAGGGTGGTTAGGGAGCACAGAGCAACACTTCCAGAAGCAAAAAGAATCGCTGCTACGATAATGTACTTGGGGATTGTGAGCCCGTGTGCCTGCAGAGAACCAGGAATACCCGTACTTTCGTTAAGGGTATACCAAGGCACCAGGTAGGAAATAGCAGCACTTACTAGTAGATAACATGCAACAGAGATTCCGAAGCTTAAACCTGTTGCAAGAGGGATGTCTCTTTTAGAATTCTTTGCTTCCGCTGAAAGGCTGACCACAGTTTCGAAACCTGCAAAGGAAACAACCACAACAGCTGCTCCAGTTATGACATCTGAAAATCCATAAGGAAACACCCCTCCTCTTCCAGTTTCAGTGTCTGTGGAGTTGGTGAATGTTTTGCTACTGCCATACGTGAATGAAACGATGCAGTACATGGTCAGAGATACAAAACTAAATACCACTGTGATGGTATTAACAATAGCAACATGTTTGACTCCAATACAGTTGATGATACAGCAAAACAAGATTAAAGCAATCGCCAACAAGTTGACATTTTCAGCTAAGTAATCCGGAAGAAAAGTACTAGAATACTCAACTTGAAGTTTATGGGCATTACCCTCAAAGATAAACTTGTCCATATTCTGTCCAAATCCCACGGCCACCAAACCAACGCCAAGAGCAATTTCCGTCATAATGAACGTTCCCACAAGTCCAGCAGCAAATTCACCCAAAGCAGCATACACATATACATAAGCATTCCCGATACCTTTGTATCTAGCTTCCAAATCCATGTAAGCTAGAACAGTAAATATGAGAACTGCTGCAGCTAAGAGATAAGATACTACCAATCCAGGTCCAGCAACCATCTTTGTAACTCCTGGTGTCATAATAAATATTCCCGCTCCCACAATATGAGCCAGTCCCTGCACTGTCAAATCGAAAATGTTCAGACATTTCTTTAATTCCTGAGTATGGAATTTGGGGGAAGATTTCTGGAATAGCCTCTCGAAGAAAGAAGGAGGCTTGCAGTTGTACTTTTCACAGCAAGATGCCATTATGCTCCTGTAAAAGCTCCCGTAAAACTTGTTGCTTTAAGTCAAGTCTTGAAAGTCATATTATGTTCAACACGTAGCACTAGCTAAAAAAAAAACAATGCTTAATCAAACGTGTCAGAATAGAATAGACATATAATATAGATTTAGTCTACTCAATTCGGTGAGATGCCATTATGCTTCAGTAAAAGCTTCTGTGACAGCTCCTGTAAAACTTGTTGCTTTACATCAAGTCTTGAAATTTATATTTTCAAGTGTACAATGCTTAATGGAACTTGTCAAAATAGAATAGACAATTTATAAATTTAGTATACACAATTCGGTGAGATGCCATTATGCTCCTGTAATAGCTTCTGTAAAAGCTCCTGTAGCTGTAAAAATTGTTACTTACATCATATTTCGGCAATTTAGAGTTTTCCAAAAGTTTTCTGGAGTTCTAGGGGCTGGAGATTGGTTCTGATGGTCTCTGATGGTTTTCACATTATGTAATAGTTCTTGGCCCAAAAACGAAATTGGTTAAATAGTCTAAGGTTTCTAAAATGATCTTTAGCACATCGTTTTATTATTTAAATCTCCTTTGTATATTATAACTTTCTACTAGAATTCAGGTATGTTTGAATTTAGCACAAACCCTACTATCGAGGTACTTCGAAAAGATTGTGAGATATTCAGATATGAGAAAATGAAGTGGGGTTCATGGCAAACTGCAAGAAATTTGTTTCTTGCCCTTGTTGGTGAACTAGGAGAACTTTCTACTGATGTTGCTGCTAACGAAGGATTTGCTAACCCTAAAGATTGCAGTGACAATGAAGAGGATGAAGAAGTTAATGTTGAGAATACCGCAGACAGCAAGGAAAAAGACCCTACAGTAGAAACTGTTTTGTGTGAGCTTTCTGATGTGTTCAGTTACCTGATATGTTTAGCACAGGAATGTCAAGTTGATCTTGCAATCCCTGATTCATGCAGAAATAGTAAACCGTCTTCTAGTTTTTCTGATGTTGCTTGGAATGAGATTGAAGTAACAGCCTTTTATCAGACTGTTAGGATTTCTGAGAAGACTAGCATAATCAAAGATTTCCTGAGCCTGTGCTTTTCTACTTCCAAACTGAATGATGTTTTTCAATGGATAACTGTTGAAAAGAATCTTAAGAATTTTTCTGTGGATAAGCAGCAAACTGTTGACAAGATTTTGAAACAAGTTTTCTGTCATGTAGTTGTCATTGCTTCGAAGTATGAGTATGATTTACCGAAATTATTGGAAGATAAGAATGCTATGATCGCAGAAAAATATTCTAAGCACATTGGAAGATTAACAAAGGATGATGTTATCGAAAGTCGATATTCAGATCTCCCTAATTTTTACCTTGATGCAGATACCCCTGGCCATGATTATCTTCTAGATAAGCCAGTGAACGACTTGAAAGTATCAGCTGATAATCTAGTATGTAAGCTTATGGAGTCAATCGGACTGATCGCTGAAATATTCCAGTGGGACACAGATGGTACAGAAACTGTTTTCTCCCCAGCAAAGCATGCACATCTGTGCAACCAGCTTTCCATGATAATCAATGTATTAAGAACTCTCGCCCAAGTTCACAAGATCTCTTTTTCAGATGCATTCAACAAGAAAATGCATAAAAATAGAGCAAAATATCCAGTTGGTAGTGGCAGTGGCATTTTCATCAAATATAACGAAATGAAAGGCAAAGTGCCTAACCTCCCCTCTAGTGATGCTTTAGAGTCAGTCCATACATATCAAACAGTTTCAACAATTGGTGGTGCTGCCATGGCAATGCAATCTTTCGTAGAAGAGAGAAAGTGGCAAAAATACCATAAGCATCCCCGTAATCTGACTTTAGCTTTGTTCGGGGAAATTGGTGAAGTGATTGAGCTTTTTATCATGAAAAAAGGGACAACTTTTGATCAATGTTTGGGGGATGAACTATCAGATTGTGTGGCGTACGCAGTACAGCTGGCTAGTTGTTGTAATGTTGACTTAAGTGCAGCCATGACGCATTATTTTCCGTAGTAATTTATTTGTATTTTGTCTTCCAGAAATTCCTAAATTTTTAGAATGTAGTTTATGTTGACCATTTACCTTATCGGACCTTATTTGGGCAGAGACTACGTGGACATAAATTTGGTTGGAAATAATTATTCACTTTCATTTGGGCCGAAATTCTCCTTAGCGTCGATGCAATGTCCGACCAAGTAAAATTCGATAAGGTAAACACATTTGTAACAGTACCGTTTCATTGGACTAAAATTTATAGATTTTTAGCGTATTTTTAGTTTTAATTTTTAACGTATTTATGACTATGTTCAATTTATCAATTACATTGTTTTTATTGTTACATTATAATTATTCAACTACATTATTCTATCCATGCTGTCTCATAACTCTCTTAACTGGAGCTGGTTCTGAATGTAAAAATGAAAAAAGTTTCTTTTAAAAAATAAATCCGTCAAAACGAACCTGCGCTATCTTCTAGCTATGATCGAAAATGTTTTGATTAACGCTCTGTTACTGATCGTTACTGATAATAAATGAATGGAATGCTGAGTTATTTATTTGAAAATTAATAGCCATCATAATGAGCTGATCGTATAGTATTTCATTAAAAAAAATACAATCTTAGAATGATAATAGTAATATAATTACAAGGCTGTATTTTATTTGCTCCCTTTCTATATTTTCGTATATTTTATTTCTCACATTTTTCACATTTCTCACATTCTTCCTATCAGTAGAAGAGTAGACATGTCAGCACAGCTTGAGCAAATTATCGCCCAACTGTTGGTCCCCGACAGCAATGCTATCCAAGCAGCAACGGTTAAACTCAAGGAGTTTTCTAAGGACCCTGCCATTGTACCTGCTCTGTGTCAAATTCTCAGGTAATTAATTAATTAATCAATTGTTTCTTCAATTTTACTATAAAAATGGAGATTTCACCCCAATTATTTACATTATACACCCTGGCCCTGAACACAAAATTGTAGGCTGTAAAATGTTAAGACTTAATATTAGCTGTGTGCTGATATTTGAGACTTAAAAAAGATCAACGTATTTAAAGATAAGCACAGTGTGTAGGTTTCTTTTGATATTTTTAGACCTCCTGCTCCTGGTTGAAATATTCTGGCTTGTTAACAATCTAATTATGAAGTATTTATTAGTCTATATATCAAGTCTATTTTATAGTCTTAGAAATTAATAACTACTAAATACTCAGCACATCGGAGAACAACACGATAAGACAGTATGCAGCTACCATACTGCGACAAAAGATTGAAAGAATTTGGTCAAAACTTGATAACGATCTGAAGAATGGAATCAAGACCATCTGCCTGCAGGTAGCTTCGCTGAATATTTCTTAATAATATTGGAGGAGGTTATCGACTGGCAAGTTTTCGAAACTGCTTCAACGACTAATTTATATAGTTAAACTTACAATACCGGCAAATCAATTATTAATTACCATTCTTTGTGAAAACTTAAACTGTACAAAATACATTGTAAACGTCTAACTTGTAATTCAGTTACCCTTTTCTTTCTGGTATGTAGCTCAGAAATTCGTGTGTATCGTATTAAGGTGTATTATACGGGATTATACCTGGTGTAGCCCTATAAAATCAGATCATTTAAGAATGTAGATATTACTGATTGGGTAGAAATTCTAACTTTCCTTGTTACGAACTCGAAAAATGAGACGAGGTAGATTAAGTAATAAAATATTCCCAATATTTGCGATGATCAACATCATATATTCATCAGTCTCCAATTATCTGTTAAATTTATAACAGTGTTATACACTTGATCATGTAACAGATACCAGGCTATTTTCTCCCTTTTCTCCAAATCTCATTTAACCAATCAAATGAATTAATTAACTAATTAATTCCTATTCCTGGCAGGTTCTACAAAGTCAAGTAACAAAAGAAGTGAGAAACTCAGTGACAGCTGTAATCTGTGTTATTACCAAACACGAGTTCAGTTCGTGGCCCGAGCTGCTCAACTTCATCACTGCGGCTTGTTACAGTGACAACCTCCCTGCTAAGGAGGTGAGTTGGTTAATATGTTAAATATGATAAATATGTCAAATATGTTAAATATGTCAAATATGTTAAATATGTTAAATATGTTCAATATGTTATATATGTTCAATATGTCAGATATGTTAAATATGTTAAATATGTTAAATATGTGAAATATTTTAAATATTTTAAATATTTTAAATATGTTGAACATGCAACCAGTGCTATTTAGTCATGTTATCAGTTAAATTATATTAATTCGCTTCCTGATAAGAGCCTTTTCGCAACAAACGGGGAAAAAACATATAAATTAATTTTACTCTCTTCACAACTTATTGCCCGTGTAATATATAAGAACTCGACGTACTTTAGTCATTATCAAGGTTCTAAATTACACTGCCCTCCAGCTGGGACTGTACATGTTGGGAGTAGTATCAGAGTCTGTGGGGGTGGAGATGGAACCTCACTTTAACTCCATGTTCGAGCTATACGCCAACTGTCTCTCTCACCACAACCAGCCAGAGGTTTGCACGACTTTAGTAAAACAAAGATTTTATTTTATACCCACAATCAACGCATAATAAGTTCCAAATATTCATAGTCATTATAGTCATTTCACGGAAGTGAAAGGGGTCGGTTGGGGCTGGGTCGCCTGATAGATAGCTTAATTATTGATAACTCTCAAAAGTTTGAGACAAGGTCAACTAGAATAAAATTGTAGACTGTACCCGTCTCCCCTGATTAGGTCGTTTCATCTTACAGTTATTATACAGATATTATACTTGATTGTATCTGAAACTCTAAACTATTAAATAAACACAGGTGCTGCATCTAACATGTGTTGCCATGAGTCAACTCGTTCCTTACCTTGGCTCCAACCATGCTCAGAAGTTTGGTGTTCTTCTGCCTAATGCTATCAATGCTATACAGATATTGCTTGGTAAGAGGTCTAAATACGATTACTAATGTCTACATTATTGTCGCAAAAATATTCTTAAATAATTCTTTAAAAATGTTATTAAATTTGAAAACGCACACTAAGTGCGGGCAGATACCATGTCTTCTCGTGGTGACGTTTAAACCCCTCAGGCGTGGACGAAGATAAGGCGTGCACCTCATTCGAACTATTCGACTCTCTGTTGGAGTGTGAGGTTGCGATTATTGTACCTCATTTAACCTCACTTCTGACACTTTGTTTGGAAGTAACTAAGAACACTGCATTTGATGATGGAACCAGGGTCAAGTTCATGACATTCCTGAGTTGGTTGGTGTCGACGAAGAAGAAGGCTCTGCAAGTTAGTTCAAATACAAGATTTGGTGTTTCTTTTGAACTCAAAAAAAATACTTGATCTAGTTACTAGTACGTAGATGTATTATATCGACAATGTTCTCACGAGCTTATGATTAAATCAGTAACTACTCAATTAACCAATCAGAACCAATCAGTAACCAATCAATTACAGAAACTACAACTGGTAACCACGATCCTTGATGTAATCCTACCTCTGATGGCTTGTCCAGATATAGATGAAGATGAAGATACGTCTCAGAATCCTGGATCTTTTGCTGGAAGCGTCCTGGACACTCTAGCTCTCCATCTGCCTAGCGGTAATTATTTTGTTGAGTGATTTATCGACCAATTATCAGTTGATTAGATTGATCAAGGTTGGCATGCCTTATTTGATATTTAAGGTCTTTGAATGGTGAACTGCTATTGGTGCTACTGGGCTGATTGTCACGCCTCAAATTACATGTTAGTAGAAACTAATAAAGCCCCAAAACATCTCTTAAAATCCACTTTTATCTTGTAATTGATCAGATCTATATTTCGGTGAAAGAAGCAATGGTTTTACATCAAAGTTATAATTTATCAGTCCTACTTAATCACATGAACTTATCTAATCACCCTACCAAACCTCCCAATCAAGGCCTTATAAGCTTGTACCTGACAGATTTTATCTAATTCTACTAGTTATCATTACATCATCAATTATCTTGAATTGTGAACTCAACTTCATCGCGACTAGCGTTATGTTGTACACGTTTTGCATTCTTTTAAAGTATAATGAGCCATTCTCCGATCACGAACAATTTGAGCATGAGAAATCTGCTGTTAATCATCTCGTCTAATCATCTCTGTTTATTTAAAACAGTATTATTATTAAATTTCCTCTCTTGAACTCTGGATATCCTTATTCGTTCAGATAAGCCACGATAATCACGCTCATCATTCATGTTAGAGAAACATTTTCGAGTAATATGCGTGTAATATTAGAGTAATATTATTAGAGTAATATGGTTTTGCTACTCAAACATATAATTTGAAATTTATAAATTACGTTATTTTTCAGATAAGCTGGTACCGATCCTGTACAAGAATTACATCCTACCACTCATGTCATCCGGACAACCTCTCGAGAGGAAAGCTGGTAAGTTTCATTGGTATTGGTTTACTTAATGGCTTATCTAGCGTCTAATCAGTACTGATTACAACCATCATAGCCGCATGCCCGGCTGCGCGGAACAAAATTGCGCGAAAAATAGTGTGCTTTTTTGTCATCGTTGATGTAAAAAGCAAAATGCTAAACCATAGCTTTAAATCGCATGCTTGCGCGGCGCAATTGTAGCCTCTGCGACGTAATAGATTCTCACTTCTAGTGATGCAATCTTCACGTCTTGCCGTTGTGAGTTTTGCATGCTTAATTATGTATTAATTGTTAAACAATAAACTCTCACTCCAGGATTAACAGCCTTGGCTGTGGTAGCGGAAGGGACATGCGAGTACATGCTGGAGCACATGATGCAAGACTGTCTCAAGTTGGCCGGTAAATTGGTGTTGATATAATCCGTGTACAGCGTGCTGTCATAGAGTAATTTTCTACTCCTGTCTTGAGTTTTGTGATATAGACCTCTGAGTTGTTTAACTATGGAATGTGCTGCTAGCATTAGGTAATAACAGCACATATTTTCACAACATTTTGCATTGAATGTGAAACTGATTATCAGGAAATGGGTTATCTGACGAGGCTCCAGAAGTAAGGAATGCTGCCCTCTACGCTCTGGGTCAATTCGCTGAGCACTTCCAACCCGATATCGTCAAGTACAGCAATGAGGTAAATATTGTTACGGTTTTAACCCTGCTTTATGGGTTTCGGTGTGATATTGATCGAATACGACACACATTTTTGGGTTTTTTCTCATTTCAAACCACTATGTGAATCATCTAAAAATCTATCACGGAGCCCTTAAAACAACTAACAAAGGATATTTGAAGTAGTAAAACTACTACTTATACTTTGCAGTGTTGATTAGCCTCACACAAATATACTGTAAGGTGTACTACTAACAGTGATCTGATTCTGCGTCCTTTACAGTATCATCTATATCATATTATATAGCTGACTCAAACATTTACCGATAAATTGCTGCGTAAAATTTAACTTTATTTATTTATCTATATTAATACTGAAATTTATCAGATCCTGCCGATTCTATGTCAGAAGATCGCGGAGGAGATGAGTACCCAAAGTGCGGCCCTCACCCGAACCTACTACGCTCTAGAGTCCTTCTGTGAGAACATGGGAGAGAACATTGTGCCTTATCTGCCCGATCTTGTGGAGAAACTGGTGGTTATGATAGCTCACAGCCCTACTGTTCACGGTTAACACTTTTACTTTCTTGTTAATGTGGTTATGATAGCTCACAGCCCTACTGTTCACGGTTAACACTTATACTTTCTTGTTAATGTTTATTAACTTGTGGTTATGATAGCTCACAGCCCTACTGTTCACGGTTAACACTTATACTTTCTTGTTAATGTGTATTTTCAATTACTGGGCTCAGTCGAATAATTCAATTTCTCTACTGTCTAGTATCTTATTATGATGAAATTGGTTGAACAGATTCACTGTAATAACTTTAACACGGAGGCCCTGTCAGGTAAGGAGCTAGCAATAAGTGCGTTGGGAGCAGTGAGTAACGCAGCAGAAGAAGCTATAGTCCCCTTCCTAGGACAGGTTATGGAGCATCTCAAAGTTTACCTGACCGCACCCGATACCGAGGACGGCATCAGGCTCAAGACCCAGGCTATTGACACTCTCAGTGTGTTTGCTAGAAAGATAGGTAAGTCTCGGGCAATAGTTTCACTTTTTAAGATTATTGGTAGACTTACTTTAGGATCGGACGGCATCTGTTCTGAGTCTCTTTAGTTATGTTAAATGTAAGATGTTATTTAAAAAAACAAAATTTCTGTCACAGGAAAGGAAACGTTCAGTCCTATGGCAGCAGAGTGCGTGCAGCTTGGTATTGCTAATCTGTCCTCCGCTGACGATCCAGACCTTAGACGATGTATTTATAGGTATCCTCAACTTTTTTAATATCACGTGCATACAGGTATCCTCAACTTTTTAATATCTCGTGTTTTTGGATTCGACTAGAATGTGTAATGCGTATATCTACCGGGTTGTCTATATTATTATTTTAACTGTTTCTATATTGACTGTTTCCTTCTCCAGTTTGTTTGCGGCAATATCATCTACATGTCCTGAAGCTCTTTACCCTTGCCTTGACCCAATCGTAAAGAAAATGTTCGAGACCTTAGAGAGCACTGAGGTTAGTCCATCTTATTATATTTTCTAGATTTTTAAACAATTTTTTCAGTAGCAGAAAATTTCGCGAACTTGTTTGTGGATTATGGAGTTAGTTAATTTAATGAGTTGAAATAAAAGTAAAATTGCACCATAACATGCCATTTGCAATGTCAGAATTCAGATTCTGCTTGATATATAACATTCTATTCAGATAAAATCTGCTTTAAAAAATAAGTCTGTTTTTAAATAAAAATCTGGTTTCAAATTAGTGTTGAACAACTTAATTTTTCAAAAACTGCAAGGTAACTAGTAATTGTAAACAATCACAATTTACCGATAATATCTAAAAATTGTTCAACTCGTTTATAAAGAATCTTACATAAATCATCTTAGTAACGCAAAGTCATAAATCTGCGATGATAAGAAACAATAAAAATTAACATGCTTCAGTCTAGGGTTTGCAACCGATATTATCGGCGATAAAATTATCGGCGATAATTTGTGAAAAAGTCATTATCGGTTATCGGCGATAATTTCTAACCGATCAACCGATAATATCAACATTTTTTTTCTTCAAAAATTATTTCCAAAAGGTTCGAAATTCCGTAAAATCACGATTAAAGTCATCTTATACACTATATGACTGATGACGTCATAATTAGTTTGAAAACAACACACGATCCGCGCCCCGCGTTTGTATTTGATCGCTCATTTGCTCAAATTGTTAATTGATTAACGTGCTTGGTTGTTCCCTGTCGTGTCCTATGAGTGTAAAAACTGTTTTATTTGAATTTGATATGGCAACCAACGAGATCTGAAAACATTTCAAAAAAGAGGGAGACAACGTTACCTGCATACATTGTAAGAAGTCTTTCCAAGGTACAACTGCCAAGAGGTCTTACACTAGTTTGTGGTATCACTCGCGAGTTAAGCACGCAATTGAAAATCCAGCCACTAAAAGTGCTAACTCGTCCACATCCCCCCAGGTCAAACGACCAAAAAGTCAACCCCTGATCGTACCGTACATAGAAAAGAAGACTCAAGCTGAAATGTAAAGTCGTCTAGCAAATGATTTGTAAATAAATTTACGATGCCGTTGTGGAATTTCAAATTACGTGTTTAGAATTCGTGTAACGGTAACTGATTTGAATCGATTGGGGCTGGCTACGACTTCATCATAACTGGGCGAGGCCTCTCCACCTGCTGTCGGTGTCATTTCATGGTCGTAGGCCGGTGGTGCTGAGGGGGCTGACGGGGCTGATGAAGATGGCCTCTCCACATCTGGTGTGAAAGGTGTTTGCAGATGTGGTCTAGATTGTTCTTCAGTAGCTCTCTTCCTCCATTGCACACAACGGATTATCAATAAAATAATACCAGACACCGGCGTAACAGATGCTATGCATATGATCAGAACTAATGGCCAATCTGGTGATTTTGCCGTCAACTTTGCTGCAGTAGTAGTACTGTCTACAGTAGTACTGACTACAGTAGTAGTACTGTCTGCGGTAAAACAAAAAGTGGTTAAAATATGATAAAATATTTGAGGGTTTGGGTTACCTCCCCCAGCTACTCCCCACCTTTTTTTGGTGATGTTTATGACCCAATTTAAAAGAAAATTCATCATAATATGTACATTTAAACATTTCCATATTGATTAACTTATCAATAATTTAGCCATTACCTCCACAAGTCAGAAATATATCCTCGTAATGCTTGCATTCGTGAACTGTCGTGAAGGAACACTGATACCATTCACTAGTCTGGCACCTGACACGGTCCAGATTAATAGTTTTCCTACTCTGAACAGCACCGTACAAATATATATATATATGTTTATAAGATGTCCATGTAACGTTGCTATGTGGGCGCCCCATTGCTATGCAGATCGATTCAGCGGAGAAGTCGCCAAATTCGTCATCACAGACTGTTCCGCCATCGAATAGTAACAACCCCTCATGTTGGTCCTCTACGGTTCTTGCATATTTATCGATCAGTTCGAAGGCCGCTGAAATTTTCGATATATAGGGTATTTTGTCTTTATAACAAATAGTTGAACTGGGGACGTATCAATAATTAAACAAACTATCGTTCATCTAGACTTAACTAAGACATCCCAAGAAATAGAAACCATGATTGTGTTCATTGTGAATAAGAATTACTTCTATTAGCATTTTATTAGCTTATTTACAGTTTTTAATACCATCCCATGTCCTCACCTATGTTCCTTGTACAGAATTTCACCGAATTTTCATGAAACCAAAATGTGTTTTCAAGTTTTTCTTTCCTCAGATTTGTATAAGTGTACGTAACTCCACTTTCTAATACCACTGTAGACTGTTATTATAAGTGTAGAGTCAAATATTGGAGGTAGAATGTTGAATATATAAATGTATACTCTAAGCAATTGCGTTATCATTCAATCACTGATCTAAAACATAATAATGAAGCAATCACTCACCTTCTCCATTATCCAGCCATCTGTACCCTCTTTCAAAGAAAATATCAAGCACTCCAAATCCAAGCTATTTGTGATAAATTCAAACTCCCTTACCACACCCTCTTCAAATTTGCCCAGTCTTTTCTCCTCAGAAATCGTCTGGTTGTCGGGATCCATCAGGGTAAGATAAACGTCTGTGTCCTCATTTCCCCCATCTACAGCCGTCTCTACGCTCACCTTTATTTTATACGCTGAAATGTAGCACATCACTCTCTTGTAAATGTAATACAAATACTGAAAAAATATTAAGGCGTCGTTCATATATATTAAGTAATACATTCCGTTATATCAACCGTAATCAAGGACCAACTCCCCCTCTGCTTCAAATTTTGTAAGTTACATTGAAGACAGATATCTGGCCGGATATCCGAATTCCGTTCGGTTCCTACATTTTATAATCATCAGGGTGGAATTAGAATTTAAAAGTTGTCGAATTGGTATCATTTATTGGTAATGTTGATAACCCCCCTTCCCCGACCCCTTACCCGACGCAGATAACTCGTTCTTAAGATTACTGTGATAAAGTGGCTTCTCCAATCTAACGTATTCAAATAAAAAGGCTATCACCTTATCACCTACCACCGTACCATCTCGAGGTCAGTTGTAAGAGCTGTCTCTTTGTAGTTCCCATGTGGTTCTCAGATCGTTACGCGTGATCACTTCATTAATATAATTATCTTAATCTTACCATTGAAACTAGGGATGAGATACACTGTTCGAAAGAGGATTATAGCCAGGAGTGCTGACATAGCTTGCTTCCTGATAATTCGTTATTTCAATGAGCTTGTTTCACTGTATCTTTTTATAGTGCCTATTTTAGAGTGTTGCCGTGCTTGTGAACATGCTTTTGGTATTTTCAATTAAACGATAAACAATAAACATTGTGTATTGAAATTTCAAAGAAAGGCGTTGAAGCAAACAACAGTGAGCATCTTAGCATAAAGCTGACGATGATTAAAAAGAAATTTCCAGCTTTAAACTTCAAACGAATGTATCACACAAACACAATTCAAAAGGTAGAGCCCTACAACGTGATCTGCAAATGTATATGATAACAAATATTCCATATATAGGAAGAACATTACAAAACAATTTTGAAGCATCTATATCAATGACATATTTTCACACTCAATGTTACACAGTATTTTAAAAGTGGAAGAGGCGTCATATAGTGGATCCTTTAGTGGAAGATCAAGAGGCGTTATATAGTGGATCCTATAGTGGAAGAGGCGTCATATAGTGGATCCTATAGTGGAAGAGGCGTCATATAGTGGATCCTATAGTGGAAGGAGCGTTATATAGTGGATCCTATAGTGGAAGAGGCGTCATATAGTGGATCCTATTGTGGAAGAGGCGTCATATAGTGGATCCTATAGTGGAAGAGGCGTCATATAGTGGATCCTATAGTGGAAGAGGCGTCATATAGTGGATCCTATAGTGGAAGAGGCATCATATAGTGGATCCTATTGTGGAAGAGGCGTCATATAGTGGATCCTATAGTGGAAGAGGCGTTATATAGTGGATCCTATAGTGGAAGAGGCGTCATATAGTGGATCCTAAAGTGGAAGAGGTGTCATATAGTGGATCTTATAGTGGAAGAGGCATCATATAGTGTATCCTATAGTGGAAGAGGCATCATATAGTGGATCCTATAGTGGAATAGCTATATTAAAACTAGCGGGCTGCGATGAAGAGGGACTTGCCACCCCATGGCAACTTTAAATATAGTGGCTCTATTTTAAACTTTTCTCAAGGCATGCATGAAACTGTTACGTAACAGACCAACGTAACAGTGTAACAGTGTAACAACGTAACAGTGTAACAACGTAACAGTGTAACAACGTTACAGTGCAAACAACTCTTATCGAAGAAAAGTGCGCGTAAATTTTGAACCTACGGTAATTAGTAATTACCTTCGCGTTCGCAAATACCAAACGCAATGTACGAAATAAACGATAATATGATCAGAGCTGTTGGACACTAGAATGTATACAGAAATGTATACAGGAATGTATAGAGGTTAGCAAACGAGTAAATGTTATCGAGATGTGACAAACGTCCTTACCATTAGTCAAAGAGAATGTACGATGTATACGCCACACTGTACAATACAACATGTAAAAGCTTCACTACGCAGCTGGGTCCGTTCCAGGAATAAAAGCTTCACTTTATGGTATAATTATGTTATAATTATGTTATAATTATGTTATAATTATGTTATAATTATGTTATAATTATGGTATATGTTTTAAATGAATATCGCTTATTTGTTAGGAGCAAATATGGGAAATATGCAAACGTTTCTCCTTTTGGGTGGCAAATAGTGGAGGAATAGTGGTAACTAGGCATATTTATAATTTATGTTACAATCAAATAAGCATTATGTAACAGATTTGAATACAGTTGTAGCGGGGTCCGGACTCTACGGCGTGAGACTCTACGGCGTGAGACTCTACGGCGTGAGACTCTACGGCGGGTTAGGGTTAGGGTTAGGGTTAGGGTTAGGGTTAGGGTTAGGGTTGGGTTAGGGTAAGGATTAGTGTTAGGGTTAGGGTTAGGGTTAGGGTTAGGGTTAGGGTTGGGGTTAGAGTCTTACGCTGTAGAGTCCCGGACCCACGCTCGAAGGCATTTATTTAATGTATTTAATTTAACTATCTTGTCGGACATTATTTGAACGGACTTTAAAATGAACGCTCCAGCATCCAATTTATGTCAAAACAGTCCGATAAGGTAGCTGGTTACCTTAATACCGGCTACAGTTTACGTAATCTTCTCCAATTCACACTTCTTTAACTACTCTTTTGCTGGAAAAAAATTTCATCCCACAAAGTTTTCATCCCACACATAGTTGGACACTACTTAGGATTAGGTCTATTTAATTATGCTTAAAATTGCAATTGCTTGTACCTAAGTACCTGAAAACTGAACTGTAGCAATAAAAATGTGGTACAAAGCAAAACGAGCCAGATTCAATGTAGTTTGATACCTGAGGTCCAATGGAACTGTCCTTTAACTACCCCCCCATTCTTCAAGGTATCATGTTACGACTATATCCTCTCACGCTCCTCACTGTTGATATCATATTACCCGTAGGTGTGTGTGTGTGTGTATTGTATGAGGGGAGTGATTCTCGTGTTGAATAAAATGGTTAGGTCATTAGTTATAAGTTCGGGCTGATTTTATTAGTTTGTCTGCCCTGCCCTATGACGGGCATCCGCGGGCAAAAATAAACCTTGTGTATTTGGAAAATTTAAATCGATTATGAGAATTTTGGATTTTTAGAGAACTGAAGCGAATGAAATCAGAAGAAAATAGAGGTTCAGGATTGTTATTAAAAAATTTACAAGATATTTTTTAGATTAAAATAAAGTTTTCAATAATAATCATGCAATGGTACTTGCTTTTAAGATATAGATCGATTATTTATATCGGTTCGACGAATTCATGAATAATTCAGAAATATTCACAAAATAATAAGTTTCTTTATCCAATTTTGTGATTTCTAATAAACAAAACCTATATTCTAACAAAAGGCTATCCAATCCATGTCCAGCAAAATGACTAATGGTTAACAAATTTGATCAATAATTTGATCAATGATTTGATCAATGATCATAAACCATACAAATTCAGGATTGTAGTAACGAACATTGTATCCCCTCATATATGACAACATTCTTATACTCGATCAGTGAAACTTATTAATTAAACAGTTCACGCATGAAGCATATTGGTTTCAAAAATTCACATGAATAAGTTAATATTATTTTATGATGTGTGTCATTCGGCAGATTTGATTGTTGGTTAGCTTGCAATGCTATAGCTATGGCTTCGGGCGGCCATTCGGCCTCGTTTCTGTGTTCAATGCAGCTTTCCTTCATTTCTCTCCTTCTTGATTATCTACACTGTCCACTGCTAATCTGATAAAACGTTCTCATAAAGTGACAAAAATGTGTTTTGCTTCATCCATTCCGATGTGCATCTTCAGTCCAGGAGAGCGGCACATTGGTGACTCGACAGTCTTCCTCCTCTATTTCCATCCCAAACTCCTCCTTTCCTATTCTCGTGGTCCAGCTGAGAGCCTCTCTCGATATCGTAGGTGCTGTCATCCCTGCTCCGTTTTTTCTGCTTAACGGTGTATTCTCCTGAGAATCTTTCTTAAGAGCAGAGAGAGCTAAAGGTACCCATTCCTCTCCAATCCCGATTTCGCTCAAAAGACTTTTACAGAATCCTTCTTTATCTTTAAGCAGAGATTCGTAGCTATACGACTTCATATTGTTCCTATCCAGTGACTCCAAATAGTAAGGGTGCATCTGACTGAGCAGAATGAAAAAGAACCTCTCGTGAAGCCCTGAAACCTTAACCTTTTCCCAAATCCGTCGGTATTTCGTCGGCAAAGCGGCAAATGTCGCATCCAAGCCCATGGTCGGGAAATATATCCTACCTAATATTCGATTAAATGATGTCAGAGTCGGTACCAGAGCTCTGTAGAGAAACAAATCTTTTATCCCTGGAAGAACTCGATGATCAACTGAACAAAGTTCCCAGTGAACACCCCGGTTACCTTTATGAAATAGCGTTCCTCGGGGATTTTGCAGAGGAGTAGTAACGTTGCTTTCAACATATCCAAATTCTTTTCTCCGTCAATGAGCTGAGATCCATGCAATTTATTTGTCAACACGATTGCTTCGAGGAGAGGGAAAGGCTCTGATAACACCTGGCACTGTCCCGTCTTGTAAACCATATGAGCAACCAGGGTGGATCCACACCTCCCAATGTTATGAAGCAAGGTTATACTCCCCCCATCTCTGTCTGGTTTTCCTCTGAGGTACCGGTAAACTGTCTCATGTGGTATTGTAATCAACTCAATAGCATGGTCGTACAGAGAATAATATACCAAGGGGTATTTGTCCATGTCAGTGACGTTGATGCCGGGTTCAGTACGAATGAAATGGAACTCTTTGGCCGTAACACCAGAGAGGAACACGTCCGGTTGTTCAATAACGCTGATATCTACAACTTTCTTAAACTTAATAAGAAACTTGTCTGTCCCATTCGGCCAGGCATAATGCATCTTCAGATTTATAAGTACGTGGTGGGCAATAGCTGAGTCCGGGAAAATAACCTGCTTTCTTGGCCCAAACACAAGGTTCAGGATCGTCTGAAGTATTGGCTGAAGGCACATACATAGTGGAAGTAGGACAAACGTCAACAAATCATAGGCTATTGTTAGTGCCTGAATCATGCTGATCAACAAAAAGTGCACGGGGGATCGAAAAATGAATTTAGTACTACTCCCTATTTAGTATAGCCATCCTCTTCCTATCTGCGATCATTACACAGCGTAATAAGATTGTTTAACTCGAGGGACGAGGAGCTGAATACACAACCCATAACAATCACTAATTTCACTCTTATTACCTCTAAATCTTTAGTATTACATTGCGATTACAAAATACTAGTGACACGAACATTCTCCGCATTTTTTGGTCAGAAGAGAGTTGGCGGCGGATACTCAGTGGGAAACTGATCGGTTTGAGGTTTTTATTTATAACAAACCGGCAGTGAACCAGTCAAAATAGTCAGGAACGGTTTAACTGCCTGGAGTCTGATAACCTGTCAGGTATTGTAGGTGCTAGACTCTAGAGGTTGTTACGTAGCAACTGTAGTCTATACAGGACGTGTCTGGTGTATCAATGCAATACTTTTATATTGCAGTTATTATCCAAAAATAGCTCATTACATACCGAGTTTTGTTGAACAAAGTACGGATAACTTAATCCCGGCAAAACATAGCGCTCACATGGCGATCACGCTTATTTGAATTTTGTAACATGTTAATGGTCAATTGCCTTATCTCAGTTTATTAATATTTCAGGGTATGACGACACGTTTGTCTTATCTCAGTTCATAAATATTTCAGGGTATGACGACAGAATACAAAAACGACGCTATGCCACGGTTTGATCTTGACGACAGTATCGAAGAGGGAAAAGGAGAGGAGAGCGACGACGAAGACGAGGTTTTGGGTGATTACGAGAGTATCGAAGGTAAGTAATTTATTTTTGAGAAACAATATTTAATTTCAGCAATGTTTCCCTATTTAAAGTCAATTTCTTGATCAGATTTGTCATTAAAAGTGGAATCCTATTTAAATTTCATTTTTAAAGTGATTTTGCACAAACAAAACGAAATATTCAGCCCAAATTTGTTAGAGCACTGCACTCTACAACCGTAAATTAAATTAAAACTATAGAATGCTTTTAATTAGCAATATTAATTAAATTTACATTTGAGCTCTCTTTGAATTATGAAAAAATGTCATTCATGAAAGGAAAAGAAATTAAATGGAATAACGTTCTTGTATCCCACTTAGCAACTGAAATAATAATAATAATAATATCATATTTGTAACTTAAATTCAGGGTTATTTCCAAGTTCCAACTTAAACACAAGGATATATTTTACAAGGTATATTAGTAGAGAACGGTTATTTGGAGGAGAAGGGTGATGCTCTGACGTCTCTGTGCGAGCTGGCTGATAACATGGCTACTCACTTTGTTCCTTATTACGAGGAGACATTCGGTCATGGTCTCAAACTGGTGGATTACAACGCGCCAATGGTGGGTTTAGTTGTAAATGTAATAAATTCAATAAAAATATTTAATTTATATAGTTTTGTTTAAATTAAGCAAGCTGAGGCGGTATTGTGTGCTAATTAAAATGGTGCAATTTTAAACTGAATTGAACTGTCGCGTCGTCTAATATAAATGTATATTTTACCAGCTTAATTAGATATTAATTTTGTAGAACGAAGAAACGTGGTTATTCGGACCATTATTTGCAATGATCACATATATATTTAAATCAACTCATTTTATATCAAAATATCAAATAGTTAATAAATTTTGATTTACAATTGCACGATATCAATAAAACTGGAAAAACTCATCCAAAGTTAAAACAAAAATCTGTTGTTGTAAGGAAGTGAGAAATTTGCTGATTCTTTCAAATTCTTTCAAATTCTAAATTTTAAGCTGCCGTAATACTACCAATGGTTGCCATACAACTTTTAATATTACAATAATTGCATTATTCGTTTGACTTTTATTTCTCCTTCTGAGTTCTGAAATCATCTATATTTCTGAACGAAATCGTCAGTTACGAAACAACAAACCACCCTTTAGCAATGATATACGTAATTAGTGCTTATCTTTATTCTTCATTCTTGTAACTTGCCTTGAATAAGAGATTATATCTGGCTTTATTACAGTCAGGTTTTATCTTCCCCTCCCTTGTACTTGAAACTATTTTTCAGGTCCGACGAGGCTCCATTCTGTGCATGACCCACGTTTGTGTGTCTCTCCACAAAGTCATCCAACAAAACAACTTCCAGGTTTGTGAAATATTGTTAACCACGCCAGGTTGTCACTCGAATTCCTCTTTATTTATATTTGAAACAATTTGACGTCACAATACATCACGCGTTCTTTTCGGTATACGTGCAAGCGTATCGTTCGTTTTCATTCTTTACTCAGTCTTTAGTTGTCCATAAATTATAAATGTAAAAGCAATACAAAATAACATGGACCATCCTTGATCCTGGCCCCACTTATCAAATATTCAGTCTTGATGATTCGCTGAGCTTTCTGATTCCCACAAATTTACTCCTGCAATGTGATTCATTTTCATCTGATCTTATTCTTTTATCCGTTCCAGTTCGTCATTCGAATCATCAACATTTCTCTCAAAAGAATCAGCCGCTCCAAACATTCTTTAAAATAAAACAACAGCAACTCGTTCAGTATTCCTCACGATATCACCATGGTGTCACACACATCACCCCCACGTCACCTGTACCCTCTCAAACGGGTCCGCTGAAATGATACATGTTTTCCGGGCAGGCTTCTGAGTATGAGGGAGGTTTTCCCTGGCTGTACTCTGGTTCGGGGCTGGTGCCGGGGTAGGGTGGTGCTGAGGGCAGGGGTGGTGCTGAAGGGAAGGGTGCTAGGGTGCGGTGAGGGGCGTCGTGTTTCCGCCGCTTTCTCACCATTACGCATATTCCTGGGAGGAGTAATAATTAGTAACTGGTAATTAGTAATTAGTAAATGGTTGTGGGATGTGTGTCAGGGAAACATTACACGACGAATTAATTATTGATTACATGGTTAAATTTAAACTTATTTTAGATATACATAAAAGGTTAACAAAGATAATCTGTTTCCTTTATTTAAAAGGCTGTAAAATATGGTTGACCGTCAATGGAAATAAATGTACAATTGGACCAAATCTAAACGTGGCTTTACCTTGACGATAAACTAAAATAAGAATCTCACCAAACTGATGTCTCAGTGTAGGTTCTTATTATTTCGCTCACCCAAAAATTATCACGTGACTTGGGTTTTAACGGTTTGTAACGTACCTACAAAAATAAGAAGTATGATGATACACACAACGGCTGCTATCGCTACTATGTACTCCGTTTGTATAGTTGGCTGTCCCCAGATCGGCTTCGGGCAACAGCCGTGCCTGCATGGAGTTCACTGGTTAATTGGGCATTTTTATTTGATATCAATAGATTAAATCAATGAAAAGACGTGCTTAAAGTTATTTATTTCGAGCTGAAATCTAAAGAGTCTTGAGTGTACAAGTATTGGTAAATTGAGTAAAATTGATGAGTAAAATGAGGATTTCATTACCAGTTGAGTTCTGTTGAGCAACATTCCTCCTGTTTGGTGCAATAGTACGGTGCTTTGTGTTCCCATACGTTTTCAAACTTAGTTTTACAAGTGATAATGTTGTTCTGCTCATCTTCTGTCATCTCAATATCCCAGTTTAAAGTAGGGTAACGCTTCATTCACATTGCTGTTGAGCCCATGGTCATTCTGATTAAGTGAGGTTAATAAAATCTACACGATTTAATGATTTAACGAAAAGTAAAAAATGTTGATATGAGTTCTGGAAAAGAGACATGCAAAAAGACATGAATAAAAACGAATTGCAATGACGAGTGTTCTCGAAAAAATTTGTTTAGCAAGACTGATAAATTATAATTATATGTGTGAGGTTCTCAAGCTGAATCCTCTGTTAGGATACAAGCATGGGAAAATAAGTATTGCAAGGATTAATAATCATGATTTTGACTGGACTAAACTTAGCGAACGTAGCTTGCTATGAAATGTCGTGTTCAATATTCCGTAATATTTTAACGACGGAAGCAAATTTTGATCGTGTGAATTTCCCAATATTGCTGTTTAACAAAATTTGAATAGTTGTAAATAAACGCTATTCATGCAACACCCTATTATTAATTCATAAATCGATAGAAAATAGAGCATTAAATTTTGAACCAAGCACTAATTCAGCACTAAAAACAAGGTCATGAATGTCAGTTTTTCCTCTGTTGAGTAGTATAAGTATAACTAGATCATAATTTGGTCACCGTATAGGTAGAACTAGATCATAATTTGGTATATTAGACAAACAATAGATTACATCGAGTGAAGATTATAATTTTATTCGTCCATTATTTCTGCAAATAAATTCGTTCAACAAACCAACTGCTACAACAACTATCTAACTAAACTTTCAACAAAAAAACAAAATCAATCAAAAAATTATCCACGAAACGCTACAGTCAAACTATGCCACAGTGCAGTAATGCATGCGGAGTGCTTATTCAAACGAGCTGTGCATGTCATCAAACTAACAGCTTATACAGGCCATTACAGGCCGTAATATAATATATGACATGCTACATTACATCTAGCTTATGACTGGTGGTAACAACTCCTATCAGTAATACGTCTTGCATATGTGTATTAGTTCGAGGTTAATCGAGGGAAGGGTTTTATCTTGAGTTGTGAGCGAAGCGCAGGTGTTTCGGAATTTGGATACTATAAAGTTGTGGAGTTGGAATGCTATAACATTCCTGTGACACCCGCGGATATATGTAAATATACTGGTAACTTTGATCTTGTGAAAGTTTGAAACCTTGATTAGATGTAATGACATTTAAAGCTCTAAAAAACGAATGTTTGAGTCTGAAGAAACCTTTTGTAAAGTTACGCTCTCTCTCTCTCTCGCTAAAAATGCCTCAATTAATCAAAGAAACCTTAAAATTACTAATTACAACAGACTAGAATAGCCCAGACCCAACGTTATAGCTGCCAACTCCAAATACATGACCCATGTTGGGTGTTTGCACACATGCAGTGCCACACAACGGGGGAGCACACACTGTGCACAGTATTTTGCCACCAATTACAGCACCACAACACGCAGTAGTAGAGCACAGCAAGGCCGACCAAGACAAAGCTACTTGTCTATGTTAGTGAAGGAAGTTGGGACAAACTCTAGAGAGGAACTGCGAACCCTGATGCGGGACAGGGACATATGGAGGGGGTTATCTGGCGTAGATCGGACTTAATTCTGACATAGTATTAGTAGTAGTACACGCAGCACGACCCCCCCCCCACTCTAACACTGCAACCTGGAGACAAGTCGCACCGTTATAACACTGTCTTGAGTGTCCACCGTGGCTTATTGCAGGACTGTGCTGTTATTTGATAGAACGACTATAATTCGCAAGGAAATTGCTAATTTACTGCTTATAGATATGAGTGCCTCTCTATATGGTGGTAGAAAACGTAATGGGAGAGAAAGAGAGGGAGGGCCTGTTGCCGGTAGGACAGAGTTTAATTAGGAGATAATTGGATAATTAGGTGATAATTATTCATGGCATCGTACTGGTTATTCGGTGATATAATGCGTTTATATTCGGCAGTGATTATTGCTCTGTTGCAAACGTATGCCGATTAAAACTTCATGAAATGACTGTTTTTTCACCAATAGCGGAGTTAGCACTTAGCAGTAACGTCAATCGCAGCAACTATGATATAATTGCTCCGGGAGGCGAAAGAAGGAAAACGATAAAACTGACAAGGTAGAGAGTTTTTGGAATCTCCGATAAAATTAGTTATTTAACTTTTGGAAAACTTTAACAGCTAGCGGAGGTGTGCACGTAATTCTAGTTTTGCTGGAAAATGATATCATGGCTCACGCGGACAAATTGTCTGGCGGACAAATTGTCTGGCGGACAAATTGTCTGGCGGACAGTTTATCTATCTATGTTGACTTTGTAAGTTTGAATAATTTTTGTCACATAATAAAAGAGCAATTCAACATCATTAGAACTAAAAGTGTCCGAACTGTTGAAAAGACAACTCAACATGGTGGTCATTGTTTATTCGCGTACAAAAGGAAAACGTCTTTCTGATCTTTGTTTCACACCCGATGTAAATAAGAACAGACTATGTAGTGGGATCTACAAGGGGATCTACAAGGGGATCTACAAGGGGATTGAAATTTATAGCCTTAAAAGTTCAGATCCTTACACATTCTGATTATTGGACATTAGTAATTTTCATGCTCAGAAAATGAATTGGAATTCCGGCGTTTTGTATTCCAGGCACATTGAAGTGGTTATTGTCCAATCCTGATGTTGGTTTATAAGTCCTTCAGTAAGCATGAGCAATTTTTTGAATTCATAACTCATAAGATGATAAAGTGAGCTCAAACTTGGCTACAAGATGCTAGATCAGAGTATATGTCCATTATCTTCCGCTACAGCAGTAAAAACATACCGTGGCCGTGATCTGAACTTTATTTTGTCAATTCAAAATGTTGCTTGACAGCGTGCTAGCAGAATATTACTTACTACCATTGCATCATGCATCTTATCTTACTAGGATTCAGAGACTAATGAAAATCACAGCTTAGAAGCCAAAAAACATGCATTTCATTCTCGAACGATGACAAAATACTACATAAATCCATGTTATTGGTAGATCCTGTTTCCTGTGTATAATATATAATTTAGCCAATAACACGATGACATTTCTTTAATAATATATTAACTAGGATCATGTGTGTTAACCGTGTGTCGCCATCGATCTAGGAAATTATATCTCTACAGGACCTTATTAATTGCTATAACTACCGTTTATTAAATAGCTTCAAGGACAAAATGAATTATTTTCCTTTTCATTAGTCAGCGTCAAAAAGGAAGTTATTTAAAATAAGATGTGTAGTATGTAAGATGTGTTGGTGTCGTGACTCGTGGTATTTTAATTAGCATAAAGGGAGTAGTTAAGATAATACAAACGGTCAGCTATTTCCGTGTTAGATGAGAATAAAATAGGTGTTAAAGCACGAAGTATAGAATATCAAATACCTAAGAGCAAGTGCAAAATTTTTGTGCACTAAAACCTAAGGCTGTCAAACTCTAAAGTTTTAACTTTTAACGTACCTTTCTATTGAGGCCACATCGTAAATTATATAAGTGACCATATAGCTAGGTATTATATTATAACTGTAAATTTATTCAGTTCGGAACTTATAGTAGAAACAATGTCCAACTTTTGGACAACCGGTCCATTCAAAGAAAAGAAAGCCAGCGAAGTTAGCAAACCTAACTACGCAAGAGTTGTTTGATGTCCAGTTGAGAACTTTAGATTTGCCCTCTCTATAACTTTAGTGCCACTGCAACTATTGTTTAACGTGGCAACTTCAGGCACCTCAACTGAGAACAGAGCCCACTATTGAGCGGAAGTAGCCAAAATACCGATAAGGAACAAACTCAACGTTCAACCTGCAATACGAACCCTTACAAGTCTCCAATGTTATAATTAAACCTCAAACAGCTTGCTGTCAAACCTCCAATTCCGTTCCCCTGTTCCGTCTGAAACAACCGTAAAATCGATCGCTAATAGTTTGGGGTAAATTAGTGAATAAAGATTTACAAGGTGGTATTAGTGCCTGAGTTAAATGTCATGACTGGGATGTATAGCTGAAACTGTGTGTGAGGGTTTAGTAGTAGTAGCCGGCTGGTTTAGTGACTACTGTACGGACAGGTGAGGAGAAGCTACACAACTTTATAAAGTTATTTCAAAGTATTGTACCGGTAAAACTGCACCGATTAGGCAGATTTGATTTGCCCCGGATTAAATGCTCTACTCTTTATGTTTGTGGTCGGCAGCCTACTTCATAACGTGACAAATTTCCTATAAAAAGAAAAGAAAACTGAAAAGTAGTAAATAGAGGTGGGTTGTAACCGTATCATGTCGGTACCAACTTCCAACATTGTTTAAGAGTCTCTGTTCTTTCGTTTGTTGACAGGAAGCCAGGTTATTCAGAGCAACTGTAAGGGTGGATCTGGGGGTACACGATGGGAATTTGGAGCGGCATTTCTTTCTGCTGTCCATATTCGTTCAGCTAGGAAATTCTAACCAAGGATAGGCATATGTTTGTTACTCAACTATGGACTGAAAGTATTTGAACAGGGATCGGCAGCTGTTTACTAAATCGTTCAGCTCTACTGCGGGAGAATTCTAAGAATGCAGGGTTGCATTTCTGACGCTTTCTACGAACCCTTAGGGACCTTGATTCCTGTCGTCAATTGATTCCTGTCGTCAATTGATTCTGATAGCCTAGCCAATAAGGCAGGCTTATTTTAAAAGAGGGATACTATTGTTTTAAAGTTGTATACCAACAATACAAAGATCTTATCTGATGCCATATAAATTCTTTCAGTATCTCGAAACTCCAAAACAAGACTTGTTGAACCAGAAACTTTTAAAATATTGTACTGACACATCCATGTCCATCTAGCCTGATACTTTTAAAAGATCCAATGTCCTGTTACCGTCTAACTTTTGGAGGTGGTCAATGTATAGTCTACTCGAATTGGCTCGGAATATAAAAGTCAGAAGCGGCCAATAAGCAAACACCGACCACCGGTCTAGAGGTGGTTAAGAACTGGTCTAGAGCCGTGTTAGGACCCGTTTAGAGCCGGAGAAGCACCTTTAAGAACCCTTTCAGAGGAGTGAAGAACACTACACGTTATCTACTTTAAAAATACCATTGAGAGTGGCGTGTTCGTATGCATAGACAGTTATTCAGTCTGCCCAAATTGACACAACTTGTAGGGACGTTTTGAGAAATTGCGAACTTTCTTATCGGTTATAATTTTTACGTCAAACTTTCATTCAATGTCTGGCAGTTAGGGCACTAAATTTCGGTAAAAACTGTCAAAAAAGTTGCCTTGAAATCATAATGTCACGTATCAGAGATCCGTTACCGTTTAACAGTCAATAAATTGGTTTGTCACTGGTACCTGTTAAAAGTTGAAGAAACTTCCTAGGATACTCCTTCAGTGCATACTGTAAACATAGCACTATTAACTATTAAATATTAACTGGTGCCATCAGCCAGGCCTGTGTCTGGTGCCGCTGGTTACTGGTATCCAGGACCCAGGTATCCATGGTAACGTGAGTACCAGGTATTCAGGAATTCAGATGATCTGCCGTACTAAACAGTAAACACCACCGCACTGTTTTACTGTCGTAATTTCCTCCGCCGTAGTGTCCACTGCCTGACTGCCTGCTCTAGAGGAGAGAGAGAGAGAGAGAGAGAGAGAGAGAGAGAGAGAGAGAGAGAGAGAGAGAGAGAGAGAGAGAGAGAGAGAGAGAGAGAGAGAGAGAGAGAGAGAGAGAGAGAGAGAGAGAGAGAGAGAGAGAGAGAGAGAGAGAGAGAGAGAGAGAGAGAGAGAGAGAGAGAGAGAGAGAGAGAGAGAGAGAGAGAGAGAGAGAGAGAGAGAGAGAGAGAGAGAGAGAGAGAGAGAGAGAGAGAGAGAGAGAGAGAGAGAGAGAGAGAGAGAGAGAGAGAGAGAGAGAGAGAGAGAGAGAGAGAGAGAGAGAGAGAGAGAGAGAGAGAGAGAGAGAGAGAGAGAGAGAGAGAGAGAGAGAGAGAGAGAGAGAGAGAGAGAGAGAGAGAGAGAGAGAGAGAGAGAGAGAGAGAGAGAGAGAGAGAGAGAGAGAGAGAGAGAGAGAGAGAGAGAGAGAGAGAGAGAGAGAGAGAGAGAGAGAGAGAGAGAGAGAGAGAGAGAGAGAAGAGAGAGAGAGAGAGAGAGAGAGAGAGAGAGAGAGAGAGAGAGAGAGAGAGAGAGAGAGAGAGAGAGAGAGAGAGAGAGAGAGAGAGAGAGAGAGAGAGAGAGAGAGAGAGAGAGCTCTAGTGTCCACTAACATTCTGTCTCACTGCTCTAGTGTCTTCCACCGTAGTGACTAGTGTCATATACCCATATTAGCATTTCGTGCCAATGTCACTTATTCGGTGTACCAGTTGATATAAGAACCGCACATAATTCAGTCTGAAAGTCTATTGTACGCGCAAACAACGGAAGCGTACCAATCACAAGTTCAACCATGAAGATAATACCAACAAGGAGATCAGTTCTTTTGCGATAGTCTAAACGCAATGGCCAGCGCTAGCTGGCGCAATACGATAGTTAGCGCTATTAGCGCTAGCAACTCCTTGGCTGGCGCTTTTAGAGCAAACTATCGCTGGCCATCGCGTTTAGACTATTGCAAAAAGAACCAGGAAATCTAACTACCACACACACACACACACACACACACACACACACACACACCAGCACATGCGAGAGAAACTCTGCAAATAGTGCAACTAACTGCACGCTGTACAAACAAAAACACGGTAGGTACGCGCCTAAACAAGCAGCTCAGATCTTCTAACATTACTGAAAATGTAACTATAGGAACAAGTGTGACTGATAGTTGTGCCTTACAAGAAAAACAATACACACGTACAAATATAACCACAGTATATTGCATCGACTGTAACAAGAACAAGATACAAATAAGTAGTTTTTAATTTGAAGCACGTGTGACTTGAACGGAGGGTCGAATGTGACAGGAATGTATGGTAGACATCAAGATATATGCTATTTGGTTGCGGAGGGAGATAGCGGAGGGAGATGAAAAAATGAGCCCTACTTCTGACCAATAAATGGAACAGATTGTATGACTAGAAGTGTTTTAAATAGACTCCAAAAAGAGACATATATTTGTAACACGGAGAGAGGTGTCGGAAACGTCACACCTCCCACGTGCTGAGCCAGCAAACAGGGCCTAACAAATAGCAACTTTGGTGGCTGTGATTTTTATAAATTGTAACCTAAGCTCCTCCCGGGAATGAGGGTTACTGTTGGGGTAAATGTTAGATTTAAATGTCAGGGTAACCCTAGTGAGCCCTGATAACGGTCCTGGTCTTGTGTAAAAGGTGTGCTTTATTCACCAGGATTTTTGGCCTACGGTAAAAACTGCTGTGAATCGGAGAAGAAGACATTTAGAATCCCTCTAAATTCGAATTCCAGCCTAAAAAGGCAGCGCTGTACACTAGCAAAACAATTCAGCGAACAGACCAAAAATCTCAACACATCCAAAGTACTGACCGTAGAAAAAAAAGAAAAGCGACCTATAAATCTGTATTTGTCTGCAATATCTGGACTGAGTAAACTTTTCATCACTTCTTAAACAAGCTCTGATTGACAAGTCAAGAATCCTAAGTCAGTTGATCGTATTAACTAGTGCAAACCGAACGTCAGGTCAAAGAATGTGCTGTAGTTACAATGGCAGTGTGTGTTCTCATAGCTTGATCCCGGGCTCAGGGAGTTGTTGAAGGGCGAATTAGATAATTCAGAATGCCATGAAAGGACATTTGGTCAGTCAGTCAATTGACATGTACCCTGAATACACATTACATGTCCCCTGAAAACACATTATATAGTGTGTCAGAGTAAGTCCTGTAATTTCAACATAGCAAGACCCTGTTTGGTGAAGTGAGGGGGAGATGGTGGGTTACCAAGTTTTGTAATTATTACAAAACTGAAATATGACAGGAAACTGAAATATTCCAGTCAAAACTACCTCTAATTATTAGAGGTAGTTTTGACTGGAATATTTCAGTTTCCTGTTAATTATTTCCCGGTCTGTCAGTCAGTGATTTAAGGTTAACTTTTGCAGTTGTTAAGGAATCATGGCAAACAGTACGTGGAGATACATTATGAGATGTGGAGTGGAGTAATATGAGAAATAACTCTAGATAAATGTTGATATTTTTAAGATTGATTAAAAGCAATAACACCTAAACAGACGAAATTTTGCAAATTAAAAAAATTAAAACCCATGGTTGTCAGTAAACTGAGAATAGACAACCGGAACCGAATACTGAAATTATATCTCCTAAGTATTTAAGAACGGCAGATCTGACTGCAGATCTGACTGCAGATGTTTGAACCAACTTAACAAAGTGTTGAAACGTAGCTGTAAACAAGGATGAGGATGAAACTGAAGGCATTAGTCCGCCTAGCCAGTTACTAACGAGCACTAAACGTCTGTGATGGTACTGATTAATCAGGGGAGACACTCTGTACCAGTGTGTTATAGTACCATCTGTACCACCTCACTGAGTACATGCAGTACTCAGTACGAATACCAGATTACTGAGTACAAATACCAGATTACTCAGTACAAATACCAGATTACTCAGTACACAAATACCAGATTACTGAGTACGAATACCAGATTACTGAGTACAAATACCAGATTACTCAGTACAAATACCAGATTACTCAGTACAAATACCAGATTACTCAGTACAAATACCAGATTACTCAGTACAAATACCAGATTAGATTTTTATTCCCGATAAGAATAGTCGGCAGTCGCCATCTAATTCCAGGCAACTTTGGAGAACGATGAAAATCATCTGCAGTAAGTGAGTAAGGATAAGACTTATAATCCAGTCTGAAATAAAAGCTTGTAACGTTGTTTCTAAGTTGCGGATTTAGTCAGGGCGGTACTAAACAATCGGATTAGTTACCACGTGCGTGGCAGATATAATACTATAATCATTGTGTTTAGTGATAGTTATTGGGAGTCCTTGGAAAACATTTTTAGTCTGTTCTTAGGAATCTAGTGACAGGGTTAGTAATCGTACTAGTTACCGGTAATACAGCCAGTGGAGTAACGTTACAACCCACCCCGGCCCCCCTATCCCCATTTTTGTTCCAAGATATCACGGCAGGCCCCATACTTTCGCCTTTATTGTACCCCATACTTTTTTTTTGATGTGTCCGCCGAACGCTAAGAAGTTTTCTAATAAAAGGTTCACTTTTCCCAATGGCCAATACAGCACGTTTACTCACTGAATATACCAACGACCAAAAAAGGGAGAAGCGTTTTGAACCCACAAAAGAAATAATCGAAACGTCGACATGCAACCCATTTTAGCAATTCCCAGGAATTACTCGACACCCTGTAAATGCTTGTCACGCCCGACTTCGAAAACTGGTGAAAGCTACTAGTTTCTATTTTTAATCGTTTGTGCCATCGGCACTCACATATTATAGGATACGATCTGAACTAATTATTCGTATAATGAGCAATGTCGAAACAATTATAAACATTTCGAAAATCCTGCTTTTTAGTCTGGCACTGTATTGCACTAAAACTTAACAAATACTTAGGGTTTTATTACTGTAATGATATAGCACTTTCATAAATAATTCAATTCATTTTTCATTGAACTGTTGAAGCAGTGAAGGCTTAGTTATGCATCGAAAGTACGATATTAGATGGTGATTCAGAAGTCGTTTAAAACTAATTACAACACTACGAATCTATTGCAATTTACATTTATTGAGGCGATACTTCGTTGTGGATGACCATAAAAAGCCGAAACTAGTGAGTGGTGTCACAAGCGGGTCGCCTCGAGATACGTCGTTTTCATGTTTTCATTACCATCAATCTTAAGAATTACATTCCAATGTTCAATATTGATGATACTAGACTATTTATCAATAAAACCCCCTCCCTCACACAGGACGAAAGTGCAATGCTCCCCAAGTTCCTTGCTGTGTGTGTTCCCCTCGTGTTTGATGTAGCTAGATCTGATAAGGACCGGGAGATCGTGTGTTGCGCTCTAGAGTGCATCAACGAGATGCTGAAGGAAATGAAAGGTGGTTTGGTGAGTTATAATTACAAATTAATTTACAAGTTAACTTACAAATACTTTGTAATTTACAAAGTAAAACGAGGTTGATATTTTTATAGGGCATCTGATGTAACTTTGAAAATGTCATGATTGAGAGGTGAGGTGAATGAGAGAAATAAAAAAGTTAAAAAAAAGAATAGTATCGAATACAAGTGCAATTAGCAAGTGATTAGTAATTACAAGTGGAACAAGGCTCATAATAATTTCACCCTCTTTATTATACTTAGATCGCTGAAGAAGAGTACTTCGACTCGCTGATAGAGATTGTAAAGGACGTGTTGCAGCACAAGACTGCATGTCAGAAGGACTCAGAGGATGAAACCTTCTGTGATGACGTAGAGGACGATTCCGGTAGGTATTTAATTTATTTAAATTTATTTAATTAGGAGGACTACCAGCGTACTAGGGCTGGTAGCGTTGGGGAACCAAGTGATATGACGTCATCACGTAATTAACATGCAAGCTTGAAGCGCGCCAAGCAGAGGAGAGAGCGGTGTCACGTACGTCCCTTGATACGAGAAGCTTAGCTATTGATTTGGTGGTGCAAACAGCAACACGTCTGTGTAACTTTTTGTTGTAGGCCCGGATGATGCCGGTGGTTCTAACCATTTACAAAAAATATCAACTTAATAACACCAGAATGTGTGTGTGTCTGTGTGTGTGTCTGTGTGTGTGTCTGTGTGTAATTTCCGAACGGTTATACAAAAAAAACGGTAATAGTTACGGGACTGGTTTTTTCGGTATAGTGCCGACAAAACTCTGACGAAGCCAATAAGCAAATTTTATAAAAATCGGCCGGTGGTAAGTGGTTTAATTGATGGTTTTGTACCACAAAATATGTTACATAAAATGGCTTGAGAAGAACGGCAAGAGTTACGGGGCTAGCTCTCTCTCTCTCTGCATATGTAGCGTATATATTACATGGCGTATATATTACATGGTCATATAATACTATAAACTTATTAGGGGAGGGAGTGCTCAAACGGTCTGTTTGGACTGTAGAGAGAGTTCATACGTTCATACGACAATGTAATGCATGTTCACAAATATGATAGGCTGGTGTGGTGCATGGTGTTAAGGGTTAATTTCTATTGATTATTGATTAAGAATTACTATCTTTTAACTTTTAAGCATACTATTGGATACGTGAGGGCACTCCGAATAGAATTGCTCGCCTAATCCGGGTTTTGACTCAGCGGGTAATTACTCCTACCCTTTTTAACTGCGGCAGTGAAATCCCGGCCGTAGGCCGGGTTACACTAGTGTATTCATAATATTATAACATAAATGAACTGCACGCATAATTTTTAAGTGGACGAATAAATTGGTCATTGACTAGACGTATAAAGATTGACCAAGTCAAACCAAGATCCTGAAATCTATTCAGTTTTGTGTAGGCACTTGAGAATGATTTTATTGTCTGTACAAGTAGTTGCTCGATCAAAAAATTCCTCCACTCAAATCTCAACAAAACAAAATCTGCACCCCACTGGCCACTGGGCGGACAAGTTGCGAATTTTTATTTCCCGTTAGGCACGCATTTTTTTGAAATTTGAGCGGCTTGTTAGAATTAAAGGTAGTCAATTTAAGATAAAAACCACAATCGAATTATTACAGTATGGTGAAAATCAATTCTGCATTATTAATATACGGGTATTATACGTATGTCTCATATCAAAATGAGAATTATACGATCATTCAATTCAATCATTCGAAATCAACCCTATTTTGGTCTTAAAAACTATAAAGCTGTTTTATCAGGTTATGGACGGAACTGAGTTTTTTCCATGCATTTAAATTAACCAGCAACATTTTAAATTGTTAATATTTAATGTATCCCAATGAAATTGTATTAATCAGCGAAAGTCGATTTGTTGAACGCTTTGGCATCAATTTGTTTCAGTTTTATGACGTTCACCTGAAAGCGCCCGAGCATTATTATAGCACACGCTATTCAATATGTAAAGGCCCCATCTCACCATTCTATCTGTAAATTATTACTCTGAGAGAGGTTGAAGGCTGTTCTAATAACGAAAGTAGTAGACAGCAGGCCTAATCGTAATTGCTCGAGGATCCCCAAAATACTGTATCCGCTTATACCTATCACCCACGTTTAGACGCCCGGACCCTTTCTTGTTGAAACGGTGCGACCCCCAGCTCCAATACTTGTTGGTTGCATCCCGGCGTGGTGCCCCGTACCAGGTTACTTTTAGAGAGTCCCAGGGTACTGTGGACATGGTCGAGTTTTTGTGAGGTCCATCGTTTTCAATTATATCAAGAGTAAAGTGGATGGCATCGATCAGTGCTAGAGATTCGTCGTGGAAATGGATGTCTTTTGGGTATAATTTAGGGTCGGTAACCAGCTGGATGTTAAATGTGTCGTCATGTTTGCTTGACTCTGCTTTTACACGTAAGATAAACCCACAATTTCCTTCTTCGTTGCATTTGGTGATGGATTCATCTCTGAATTTGAACTTGATGTCATGATCTTTTCCAAACATTTCTTCTGGTGTGTAAGTACGAATCGACACGATCCGATGATACCGATTGTATGTAATCAGACTGGGATTCATGTTCTCAAATATCTTCCTGTTAAAACTGTTCGCAGTATCTGGTCCGATGTAGTGGAGACTTAAGGGCTTCCATCCCCTTTTGGATTTGTGATCAGCAAACTGTTCAACAAGGCCATCGGGAATGAATTGGGCGTAAGAGGAGTAGCCTCTCTGGTTGAGCCAGATAGCAACAGCATCGTAGAAAATGTAGCAATTGCTTACTTCGGGAGATTCCATCAAAAACTTTAAAAGACCATCAATGTCGCTTATGCTCTTGAGTTTACCGTAATCGTGAAACAAGTTTGGTATGTCCGCGTAAGGGATCGAATCTTGGATTTTGCTTTTCGTTTGTGACAGTTGACGTATCTTAAGTATGAGCATGAAATCCTCCCCTGATGGGTTCTCAATGCTCTCCAGCTTCGTCAGTAGATCCTTATTAAGTTGCTTGTGAGTAAATCTTAATCTTTCGACAGAGCTAACTTTTTCTAGTATGTATCTACCATTGGGTCCGATAGAAGATTTGCATTTGTCCAGATTTTGCAGAAGTGCTTCTAACAGCACGTGTTCCTTGCTTTCAGCTATCTCAAATATGACATCAAGATGAGGTGAGGGGCAATTTGAAGGAGCACTGTTAAGGTAGTTCATCACAAAGTATCTCGTTTCTGATAGCTTGGAGGAAAAACCTTTTACAACGATATCAATGTAGTTTCGTTTGTTGAGATTATCCATGATAAACATTGCTTCGTTGAAAACGTATAGCTGATCACTGAAGTTATCTGCATCCATTCCGAATGTTAGCATTTTGAAGTATCCAAAGCAACTTTCAACCAGCCAGTCAATCTCAAATATGTGGGCCAGCTTATTCACATCCCGAAAGTTTGATTTGGAAATCTTTTTTATGGCGCCTGAATATGACGCTTCAAGGAAGCACTGCACTGAATTTCTTGAAAAATCTTGAACCTCAACAGTGTTTCGAGAGAGGTTGGTCGTGATATTCTCAATGACGGGGCTGTTGAAGGACATTATGATGGAGTTGGCGAGCAGCTGCTCTTTTCCGCCAAGAAGAAATTTTAGGTTGCTGTGTGATGGTAAACCAAGGTATTGAACCCCGAAGTCCATAGGTACTTGAACTTTGGGAACTTTTAGCATCGTCTTTGAGGTTTCCCTTCTTAAAATGTACAATTTTTAGATTGACTGATATTTGGTAAAGCCATAATAATGGATATAATGAATCAAAGTAAAGGGGCCCCAAATATGCCCTAAATATTTTAAAACGATCATCAATCGACAACAACTCGAATTCTCATGTTACAACAAAACTCCAAACTGCTAATCTGAATCGAATTGTCTAAAACCTGAGTTTTGTCTAAAACGTAAAATTTAAATTTGCCGATTATCATTAACCGTACAATGCTCCGGCGCATGCTGAAAAATTATCCCATTAATATCCCAAATTTATAAAGGGCCAATTGCCAGGTGTTGCATTCAGATCAATCCTGTAATTTATCAGGTTTATTACTCGCAAGCCTGGTAGGTATTAACATCCCGTATTACATTTCAAATATTATGAACTCTAAACAAGATAATTACCTAAACAAGATAATTACCTCGCAACGCATGCAGTTCAGGACGACTGCTGTTATAACACATCTCATATTTCATTATTATACGCATTATGGTGGTCAATCATGGCGCCAAAACGCTCATCCACTTGTGAGTTAATGCTTCCATTACTTAACTTAAATTAATTTAATTAACCTAAGTAAATTTCAGAACTGACGACTGTTTTGGTAGACTTCGCGGGTTCTATTCTCCCCTCCCTGGCTACTGCTATGGGAGGACAGCGGTTCACTCCTTACTTCAAGAACTTCCTGCCCCTCATTATACCTAAAGAAGGTACCTTCTTTTACTTATTTTGACAATGATATTACATATATATTTGTCGTTATTTAGTAGTGGTAAAGATTACCTCGACCTCTTTATAACCTAGATTGATCTCAAATCAACAGAACTCGATTAAAAGCAAACCAAAAGCAAACCTTAAAACAAACCAATAAAAAACACTTCCTGATTCATCGTTATAATGTGTCGTTATAATTTGTCATAACTATGATTCCATGACAACCGACGCAGTTTGAACTTAGATATTGACAATTATTTGCTACAATTTATATATCATTATCAAACCCTAATGAACGATTTAAATAAAAAGGAATCTCACGCAAGTTATGCATGCTTGATCAAGTAATCATTTTAATGACGAATTCATTTATCAGGTTTATTCGTAGACACTAGACATATTGCTAATGTGTTTACGAAAGAATTCATCGGTAAAGTGTTAGAAATTCGTTAAACACTTATGGTTAGAGGGGGGGGGGGGGGGGTAATGACTACATTACCCCCCCCCCCCCCGGTTAGAGGGCAACACTGTTTACCCATGCAATCAGTGTCTTGGAGAATTTATTCTCTTTCTTAAGTTGAGTGCTCCATTTTATCAATCAGCAATAAAACCATTATATTCTCAAACAAAAATTAAATAATGACAATACAAACTTTGCAACATATCTGAAATCTAAATGAATTACTGGAGAAATAAAACAAATTCGAGCTTATAAGTGATAAGGCAGCAAGCAATAGAAAATCCAAATTAGGTTCGATAAGGCACGTCTTTTAAACTTCAAATTAGGGCCGATAACCGATAAGGCATTAGGCAACCCTACAAATAATTATAGTCATAGTCGTCCCGAAATACGTTCTGACACTTCATCTTTACATCTGACCAGCACATCTTTGCCATCCTCACTAGGAATTTCCTCGTTCGTTTCTGAAAGGGAATTTTCAGTAGGAATAGAATATGTAAGTAATAAAGATAAAATTGACAAGTAGTTACGAGAACGATATAATATATCATCTTTAAAAGTTTTATTTATGCCTAAATACCTGGCACAGCAGCACAACACTGTTGGCCAGACTGTTAAGACACATAAATGCAACCCCCACATACAACACGTCACACAGGAGGATATCAACCCAGGTCCAATGTTGAGGAGAGTTACACATATCCTCGTAATTATCCGCTCCTCGCTGCTCTGTGAAGTATATCCGGACTACGTTTATCACGATGTAGTAGGAGTAGGAAACTGTTAGGTTGAGAGTGATGAAGAAACTTGTCCAGCTGGCACTGCGGTAGGTGGACGTGTTTATCTTGGACTTGTGGAACCGGATCCTGATTTGGGTGTACACTGCCATGGAGATCGTGGCTAGGATCATCAGGCACTCCAACAAATCAGAGACTTCAATGAACGCATCGGGGAAAGGCTGCCTCTTCTTTATTAAAAGCTTCCCAAAGTACGAGTAAAGACAACTCTCCACCCCACGAAAGTAAGCCAGTCCGACAGCTATCCAGGCAGCCATGTTGAGCTTGCAGAGCACATGAATAGCTGACATGCTGACCCATAGCACCCGAATAAGGGCTAGTCCGAACACCAGGACAATGCTTGCATCAAAAGTGAACAGGAACAGGTAACACTCAGTCCGCTCAAGCAGTGTGTCATTTCCCCAATGGTGTTTTGATTTGTGGTCAGAATTCTCCCACATATCTACAGAAACCACAACTCCGATTAGTGAGTTGATCAAGTCCATGATGACAAGATTGATGTAGATAATGTTGGAGGGAGAATTTTGAATACCATTGTTCAGGAAAACTAACAAATTGGTCAGACTGAGGGGTATGCTTATTCCAGTTACTATGGGCATGAAGTACTGGACAAAGTTATTGACCGAGACCTCCAAGCTTGAAGAAGTTGTGGCATTGAAAGACACTTCGTCCATCGCATCATGCGTTACAGAAATACGGACTGAATACAATACGGAATAAAGAATGAGCAAATAAATCCCGAAATGAACATCCTTCCCTATACCGTAGTGCAAATGTGTAACCCTCTCTAGAGTAGCTGAAATATACAATACGAAGAAATGTACAAAGTATTCAAGATGGTACAGCTATTGTACGCTTCATGCTGCAATTATTCATCTATAAAAACATTTATCCGAACTTGTGGATTCTTTAGAAGAATATTTTCCTGTACATAAGAATCTCCTGAAGTAAGTTCCTCGATATTTAATTCTTCGTTAAGTTCACACTTTATTATTATCAAATTATTTTTGTTTTTCATTAAACAATGAGACGCAACCTTACATGATAATTAAATAAATATGTAGACAAGTTTTGTAGTCACAAAACTGTACAAGTACATAATACGCCACGTTGCTATTAGTATTTGATACCTCAGCATAGTTATTAAAAGAAGTCTTGAGAAATTCTGATAAATTTGTATCTTTCCAAAGAAGGCACATACAAATAACATATAAACCCCACTTCCCGTCAGCGGAGATCCTAATCTCCATTCTCCCGCGATAATTCTCCCAATAACCCGTGATTCGTCTCACATTCTTGCACATAATTTTCCAATTTATAAAATATGTTATTTCATCTTAACACATCTCATGTGAAATATGTGAATAATATGTGAATAATTTACCAGGGAGAAAGCGAAGTGAGAGAAGCCTAGCAGCCGGAACACTGGCTGAGATCTGTCAAGCAATGAAGGAATCTATCATCCCATTCTCTGATAATATGTACTCCGTCTTTATGAGAGGTCAGAGAAAATATTTCTTAGTAATGGTATTTTACTTCTAATTACGCATTTTATTAGGAGAGTCAATTTGGCGGTGGCAATTTATACTTTCAATATCTGTTATCTATACGAGCTGGATATACATTTATTTTTCATTTTCATCGTCAGTGATGACACATCTTATCTTTAAAAATACCGCTAAAAAGCTAAAATATCTATCATAGTGCACTGAGATCCCCGATATGATCAGATATCGTGTAAACAATGTTGGTTGTAACACATGTGTAACACATTCTTTCTCTCAGGTATAAAAGATAACAGTGAAGAAGTGATAAGCAACTCAGTGTTTGGTTTGGGTGTGCTGATAGAGAGTTCTGGGCCCACACTCGCCCCTAGATACCCAGAGATTCTGGGTATACTCTCCACGTTCCTCAAACAAGATGGTTAGTTTATTTCAAATATATATTAATATAATATATAGTAAAACTGGTTAGTTTGTAACCAGGGGAGGTGGGGTTAAGTGTATTTCAAGTATGCATTGTTTGACAGTTTTTAAATTCACAGTTAACTAACAGAGGATTGTGTGTATATAATTTGGTAATTAGGTCGCTTCAAATTAATTAAGTGAAGGGCTAGATGGTGGGGCAGGGGGGTGCAAGAGTGTAGTGTGAAATAGAGTAAAAAAGTGTAGTGCACCCTCCCCCCCCCCCCCCGTCGCGTGGGGCATGTCATTCATGCAGTAACAATGGTGTAGTACTGTCACGCTGTAGTGGTGTATTGTGAGTAATGTAACCGGTGCTCACCATGCCTACACGTGCTGGTCACCATGCCTACACGTGCTGGTCACCATGCCTACACGTGCTGGTCACCATGCCTACACGTGCTGGTCACCATGCCTACACGTGCTGGTCACCATGCCTACACGTGCTGGACACCATGCCTACACGTGCTGGTCACCATGCCTACACGTGCTTCAACCAGAGGGTTCTCTTGTGTTATTCTGGCAAAAGATTCACGAGAATTAGTCGGGCTGTAGTGGTGTGATACAGTGGTTATTTTACTAGTTAGTTACTGTTAATACTACTAGTTACTGTTAATACTACTAGTTACTAGTAATATTACTTGTGCTGTAACCTGGCCTTCCTCTCTTTATCTTTACTTGCCATGCTGTGAAAACTCATTCGAGTGTTCGTTAAAAACCTATATAAGTTATACACATATACATATACATTATATACATTATATAATACACAACCGCCTAATATAATATTGGCAATATTATTGCAGATATCCATCTTTTAACTTTTTGAACTTTCTAGGAACTTCGTTTTAAGAAAAAAACTCAATGCTTGATATCCCGCCCATTTGTTCTGGTCCTTTAAGACGCTAAAATCAATGTATTATGCATACACAATTCCGTAATTATTACCATACGTTCACTGACTTGGCCAGATGTTCCGTATAAAGTATGATTTATGTACAATCTAGCTTTGTCCAATGTCCATGGCCATGGTGGTTTGATATTAGCATATCGATTAGATTTAATTAGTATGCGCTGCCGAGACCAACCACATGGCCATGAGTCATGGGCTGATATAAGATGGGATAACATTAATCATCAGAGTCATCATCCCTTGTAGCGTTGGAGTACGAACTGTTCACCTTAATAATATTTTCATTACTTATGAGCCAGGCGACGTAATTTTGTCATATTATCGAAGATGCAGGAAGCCATTTCAATCAAAGCAACCATCGTGATTGATTCATCTTCTTCAGATATTACTGGACGCGTACTGGTTCATCTTCTGAACGTACAGTCGTTTATAGTTTATTTCCATTAATCTTACTTTTACTTACAATTGCAATTTTGTATTATCCTATATGACACAGACCTGGTATTTTTTACAATTTGATGATTAAAAAGACGTACAGTGTAAAATGTAAACGGTATACTGAAGGGATCTGATTTTTGAACCTTTTTATTGACAATTTCAGTTGGTATTATTTTTGAAGATTTTAGTTTCAATTCAAACAGCCCTGATATTTAAACTTTTAAATTTCTCGTACTTATGTGTTAAGATAAGATTACTAATTAAAATCTGTCATATCAAACTCGACTTCAACATTGTATCTATCCACAATGTAATCTTTGCACGCAGAACTTGGTTCCATTCTGCCCGCGAGTAACTTCATTTTCCTCAGCTCTTTAGCACATCTCCTGTTCGTTCTAGTAGATAGCGAACCAACTTGCTGAAATCATAGTAATTATTGGTCAATCAATCACGAGCCAAATCATTACCCTCCTCTAATAATCTTGAATCATAAGATTCTTTTATTCTCAAATATTTCAATGATTATTGATTACCCTGTACAAATCATAAGTACAGGAAGCTCCCGCTTTTGCATATGGATTAATGCAACGAGATCGTTAATTAATAATTTGTAGCGGAATACTGACTTGAGCACAGATGGGGAGTCCTAGATCAGCTTTAATTGATCGCAGCATGAATGTGTAGGATTCCCAACCGTTCCTGTCTCTTGCCACTGAATACCACTGAATAATGAATAATTTAAATTATATTTTAAATCTCATCCACCTTATCCTCACATTACTGATTTAACTTAAATAACAAACTATGACTAGAATATTATTACTATATTAGCAGACTTGTTTCACTATCTTATTAGTTTACTCACAGCCCCTTGAAAGATCCAAGTCCAGCCTCTGATAAATCCAACTGACAAAGAATCCAGCCCTACAAACTTTCTGAAGTAGTTAGATCCATCACACCCCGCCCTCCACTCTCCAGTATCCGACTTGTACTCGTACAGTTTATCTTCCACTAGGAACCCTAGAGTTTGGGGATCTATCTGGAGTGCTCCGTCTATTTTATCTGGCGTGTCAACAGGCCACAGGTCTGATAGGGATCCTTCTTTGATAACTTTTCTAGAGAGCATGTTGTAAATGTAGTACTTTGATCCCTTGAACGCGTACAATTGGATGGAATTATCTAGTGATTCTACTGCCGCGTCTATGTTCCTCGGCAAACCAAAAAGCCCGTCAATTCCGATTCTTTTTGGTAAAACTGATGCGTCTAAAACAGGTAGAAGGTCTCCTGAATCAGAACTCCTTGGCACCAGTCTGTAATACCAAGATCCTGCAAATAAGTATAAATACTCTGGATTACCGGCCCAATGGAAGACAGCATCTATCTTCTCGATACAACCTGGAGGTATGTCAGGAATGCCAGCAGTGGGTTCTACATATTGGTTTACCACTTCAACTGGTAGGATGATCTCCTCAATAAGAGGCTGGACTGACCCCTCTCCAGCTCCCACTGCTGCTACACCAGCTGCCTTGTCCAGGCGCCCCAGTTCACGGTTGTCTTTGTACCGCTGGTAAAGGGGGAACATAACATTGTTTCTGTGGTCAGCTTCAAAATGAGGTATCCCCAACAAATGGCCTATTTGATGTGTCGCCACGTAGTGTAAGTTGGTCCCATATGCTGTCTGGACAGTGAACTTTTCTGCATCATCGAAGTGTAGCAGTCCCTTTGGAGTGACGTGAGAGTTTGCACCTCCGATGCCGTCACCATGATCACCAACTTCAAAGCTTATCCTGATATCCGCCTCGTTGTTGATTTGCACTTCAAGAAAGGAAATGTTTGCTGTGTTCGACCAAAGTTTAAAAGCTTCTTCAACCTCGCTCCTTACTAAATCTTTATCTAGATCATTTGTGTACTTATCAGGATCAAACCAGTACTTCAAAGTGTTCTTTACACGCTTAGTCTCTAAGGTCTTTTCTAAGATAAAAGATCTCTCTGCCCTGTTCAGGGAATCATACCGAACATCCTTCATGCCACACCGAGCTCTCATCATGTGACCCTGAGTCTCCACACTTGGTCTCCCAGTCACTGCCAGTCCATGAAACTTCTGTAATTCTCTCAGTGCTTTACTGAGATCATTGTGGTCAATGAAGTAGTCTCCTTCAGTCAACTCTGTTTCTGTTTTCTCAGTAACCATCTCGATATAACCAAACTGTAGGAGGTAGCCTACTGCACTGTTTTCAAGATGGTCACTGTTGTTGATATCCCGTGCTCGGATCCTGACAACTTTAGGTATTCGGTTCCTTTGAGTCTGATGAAATCCTAGATTGAACAGATTCACTCCAAACCACCCTAATGCATTGCTAAGATCTCTTACGTTGCTAATTTCCCTGCCATCCACGTACGCGTCTACTCTCTTGTTACTGCTTGTTCTAATTACCATCAGGAGACAGAGTATTAACATTAATAAACTTCGTCCCATCCTGGGTTAGCTGTGTTATTGTTACCAGTAACACTTTCTGCTTCAATCTAGAAATAGAAATCCTAAATACGTGAATGCAATAGAAACTCATTCAAATGGAACACGAATAAAGATGACAAAGAACATTCAAACACATGATAATGGATAATGAGAGAAAGATCGATGGTCCTCACTCCTCAGCGTCCGGCGGTCCGATGAATTATCAGTTGTAATTGAATCCTGCGTTAAACTTCAGTCCCAACCCGACCAGGCACCTCCAATACGGCACATTTTCATTATCCGAGATGATTCACCGGCTACTTTATTACACTTGAGATGGGGGATCACCACCCGCATAATTATGTGCGACTCAGTGCGGCAGCCGCATAATCATCCTCTCTAAAATCATCCTCTCTAAAAACAGCTGCTAGTTCTCGTACTCTAATTTATGGTTTCACGCCCTCTAGTTCTATTATCAATTCTAAGTGACCGCATCTGGATTGTTCTCTGTAAGCCCATGACGTTCTTCCTTATTCTGTAGCGCTGATATATTACTTTATTACACAATTGTTTTCTTGAGACAGATGCTGCAGTATCTATCCCAATCTTAATGATGTAGTGACGTTATCTTCCTCTGCGTTATTGCCTTCAAGGAAGTTGATGTATGCTTACGAAAACCAAAAGCTTATAAATTTAACATTTTCACTTTTGGTGCTGCTCATTTTATCATTTGAGCTCATACAATTAGCGTCATCTCTATTATTGTAATTAGTTAATTCTACTTATACCCATCCCGCTTCTAGTATAAATGTTGACCAATATACGTTGACCAGTAGAAGTTTATTATAGGCCACTAGGCCAGTATCATGGCAGACTGGCATTGGCAGACTGGCATTGGCAGACTGGCATTGGCAGACTGGCATTGGCAGACTGGCATTGGCAGACTGGCATTGGCAGTGTATTTGCAGTGTATTGTTTTATGAAAGTTTACTAGAGCACTATGTTGTTAATTTCTCTCTGGTAAGTCTCATGATCTTAATTCTGCTGCAAATCGCTAAGCAATCTCGTGTAATCGTATCTCTGAGGGGTGTTTAATTCTTGGTACCGCGTTATAGGTGTAGCTGCTTCGTTTAAAAGTCTCTGGTGACCTTTAAATTATGGATTACCCGAATAAAGGGTTAAATGAACGATTTATTGCTGCTATAAAATCTAAAGATCGAATTTAAAGTAGTTCAATTCTCTTTGATTTTAATAGAGCAGCTTACTGTATTTAAATTTCAACTCAGTCTAGGAGTGGACTACTTTATGCACTTAAAACTGGATGGTTGGTTATTTATGTGCTTACACAAAGAAGTTTCAAATTTATAACTCGTTCGTCAACGGAGTAATTCCAGTGAATATACTTATAAATGACTATTGTCTTATCTTTGGTAACATTTTGAAAAGAGACAAAAAGAATAATTATATTCTTTTCAATCTTTATTTTTACATACATAATTGATAAATCATTATACCATTTGTATGTGCACAGAGCATTGTTTAACATGAACGAAAAGCAACTTTTTTATCTGTTTAGTTTGTTTCTGTTCTGGGTGATGCTGTTCCAACGACTTGAAACCTAAACACGATCTGTCAAAGTAATCAAATATAATGCAATAATATTGCAACTTTTATATACCATTTTGTAACATGCGCAGCACTTAAGGAGGACTATTAAACGACGAGTTACAATGCCTAATTAGTCGTAGTATAATACTTTACTAAGCATCCCCCAGATTTATTCCCCCACGTTAGGTAAGTGGATATTGAACTAGATATCTATTTTTACTTTTCCTTTGATGGTTACTTTTGCTGCCATCATTGGTGTGTCGTGACATGTTGTGAAGATCTTTATCAAAGGAAGTGAGAGTTTCCGAACGTAACTACCAGTAAATGGTCACTTTAAGCGAATATCGAGGTAACCCCAAGTTGACGTTCATTGAAATGTGGGAGTTCCTGCTAATAAGATGATCTTCCTTTGAAGCTGAAGCTTCCTGTGATTGTGATTGTGACAGATGTTGTATTGCAGTAATAAGACGATCTTCCTTAACCTTTGAACTTTGAAGCTTCCTGTGATATGGACAAATGTTGTATCGCAGGTTGAGATGATAGAGTTGCTATATTACACGAAGTTTATTTGACGCGTTACTGATTGCACTAGACAACATCTAAATGGTCGTTTATGATTTGACCTCTCCACTATGTCGCGTTTTCGACAGTTGCAGTTACGATACCCAGTTATTTTGTTAATGAAGGTAGAGATCTAATCGTTTGGAGCTATTCACGGCTCGTTTACATGACGTGGCTCTCTCGGGGATTTTCTCGGGACCTATTGCCGTGATGTATTTAAGCAGTATCCGGTATTATTAGAAGCTATTTTATAAAGATTGCAATAGTATTCAAATATGTCAAATATGTCTCATATCTCAACCGTTTGGTCAGGCGCGGCAGACACGAGGTTGTCTGGCATTATTCTGCTTCATGTTAAACACTTTAGTTGAGTTCGCAACAATTCTTTGATCTTCGTGGTCGAGGGTTTGTTCTCATTTGTAACCATCAAAGTTGTTTTATATCTCACCCAATTAAAACCATTCGAATCATGCAGGATGCATTTCAATTCACTCTCATAACTGAATAAGTTTCATATTATACGTCATGATGATCCGAGATACTTGTAAAATATGTAGTTTAAACTTAAATATGCATAAATAATCAAGCGAATTGTGTATTTGTGACAAATGTTTTCATAGACTTGAATATAACAAAACATGATGATTTGATTGACAATCTCATAAGTTTTCTTCTGCTTATTTTGGGTAACCTTGATGTTTTCATTATAGATGACATAAAGGTTACCCAAAATAAGCAACTCTCAACCTTCACCTTTTCCTTTAAATAATTCCCAATAAGCTCTAGTTGGGAGAACTCTCCTACGTTCATGTTCCAGACGTACTCTTCAAAAGAACATGGTTCAGGACATTCCATCTCATTAGTACCCGTCATTTTAACACGTCCCTCTAATACAAGCAAGGCGCAAGCTGTTTGTGTGGCGAACCCACAAATATAATTAATATTATCTGATAACGATAATTTTATCGTTATCTCACAAGGTGAACTCCCAGTGCTTTTGGCACTGTCTTAGATTCAGCTTTGGAAACATTTCCTTCAAGTACAATGGAATACAGAGACACTCTACCTGTAATTCCATCTCCTGGATACATTCCCTCACTGATTTGCTGGACACCTCCTTGCAAAGTTGCAACCAAGCTCCTTCTTGATCCTTCATATTGAGTACATTGCAGTTTGGCTTTTTAATTTTAAAATAGCGACATGACACCACTATCAAAATACTCGGCCGACCAAAACTTGTGTTTTCTTAATTTCTAGCTGATTTGTTAAACTTACAAAAAAATAGACAAATCTGAAAGATCTGAAAGACTCAATTAGATAGCCATTAACTTGTAGTCTAGCAGTAGTCAACACATTATCTACTTCCAACACCCGGTATCCCTCTACTTCGCATTCTAGAATAATCAAGTGCGTGGTACTTGTTAAGAGCGAGCTATCCGATCATTTGTCCATTTTTGTCCATATTTGCTCATTTTTTCCATGTGGTACCCTATATTCTGAGGATGGACAAAAACGAATGGACAAAAATGGACAAAACAAACATGATCCCCTTAAGGTTTTGAAAGGTTTTGGTGTATGTCCCCTTAAGAGCGGACTATCCGTTCATTTGTTAGGAACCATGATCATAACAATGAACTCGAGATGATAGGCTTCATATTTACCACTACTCATGTGCGACACAACTACCAGTATTGTACGCTCACTATTTATACGGTTATTTAACATCTACATTGACTAGTCCCCGTGCAGCTAAAACCTTAAGTTACCATGACGACTAAAGAAAGTAAACATACTAAGTCTCCAATGGACATGCCCATTAAAGACCACATCACTTTCCATCTTCATTACATCGCACACCAAAAAAAATTTGCTTATTAGGTGATACAACTAACATTAAAGTGTCCCGCTAAAAGTAAAATAACCTAAAGTAACAACTATGGCTCCTCTCAGCTTCTTAACCCGGAAATCTTGTGAACGCGGAACATTTCCCTTGCTCGTTCTTTCATTACGTATATTGATCAACTTATTCAACTGGAAATTTGGTGAGAATTTTTTTGAAGTGAGACCTTCGAGTCTATATTTTATTTCTTCAACGTTTTTAGGACAAACTTTTAAAATCGTTACCTTTCTTTAATAACGGAGGATGAAACCATACGGGTATATGCCTCACAGAATGGCCAAAAAAAAGGAAGGTCTCTCAAAATCACAAAACACACTTTATTCCAGTTTTTATCTCATAAGAAGCTAAGTTGACACTCATATTTTTCTTCCCGGGGGTTGATTTAATCTCATAACCATTTTTTCTTTGAAGAAAATTGGCCGGAAAATCTTCCTCTAAAAATACATGCCTCACAGAATGGCCAAATCTGAATTTCTATAATTTTTTGATGGAGATACTTTTTAAATTTCTATCACCACACGTTGTTAGAAAACCTATTAAGGAATGGGGTAATAACCTAAAACTCACGAAAAAACTGAGCTGTGAAAAATTATTTCACAAAAAAGAAAAAATGCCTCACAAAATGGCCAAAAAAAATGAAAACAAGAAAATTTTATTTTTCTAAAACGTTTGGCTCTTGTTTCAGGCATGCTGCTGGTATTAATATGCCTTGTTAACACCCCCATGGCCCATATAGGTTAAATTTATTAGAACTGAATAAAAAGGGCATAATTTCCTACACCAAAAATGGCCATTTTGTGTGGCGTTGTTCATATTTCCTGATTTCATGATTTATAACCTTCATTCGGCTGTAAAAACACTCCATCTGGGGTGTTATTGTATGATAAATAGCTTGTGAATACTTTAGACTTATTGTTTCATTGAATAAAAGGAGTTTTAAATTTTGGCCATTTTGTGAGGCATATTTTGGACATTTTGTGAGGCGTTTAGCCATTTTAGCATTTTTTTTCTTCCTATATTGAACAATGTTCGTTTTGTTTGATGAATACTATTCTTTAAACATCTTCTGTCATACTGGTGCCAGAAGTTCTCACCAAAATGCAAACTTAGTTCAAAAATTTGAAAACAAATTTTGTGAGGCATATTTTGGCCATTTTGTGAGGCGTGTAGCCATTTTAGCATTTTTTTCTTCCTATATTGAACAATGTTCGTTTTGTTTGATGAATACTATTCTTTGAACATCTTCTGTCATACTGGTGCCAGAAGTTCTCACCAAAATGTAAACTTAGTTCAAAAATTTGAAAACAAATTTTCAGTGCTCAAAATTTCTACATAAACAGTCATATTTATGCCAGAAAATGTGGTCCTAGTTAATGATTTCACCACAGGAAGTGTTGCCAGAAGACTTTTGTTTCATATGGTATCCACAAAACCTACCAGTCTTATATAAAAAATTTTACAAAAACATTTACAAATTTGGCCATTCTGTGAGGCTAGCCATTCTGTGAGGCATTTACCCGTACCAAGTTAAAATTCCCTAGAAATAAGCAATTTAAGCATTAACAACTTCCCCAACTTTTGTCTATTAGAACACGCCACTCAACACTAGTTATTATATTATTATTAATATCATATTAAATTATATTACATACAATGTTGTTCCGGACCGGACTGCTGAGAACAATGCTGACAATGTTCTAGTCTCTTGCGAATTTTAACGTTTGTGTCGGAAGTTTCCTGTTTATGTTCCGTCATGTTTTGATTACTGCAACAGCAGGAACTAGTTTAAGATAGCAGCTGTGTTAGAACTTATACAGGGTGAGTTGAAAATAGTGTATAATAATAGACAATTGTCTTACTCGTTATCAACATGTCCTAGCTAATAAAGGACGATGGGTTGAGCAAAATATTAATTATTAAGTATTTTTATTGTTTTATTATAATATTTTTATATTTTCATTACCTAAATATGCAAAAATTAAGTGGAAATTTCATTTGTCAAAAAAATTAGAGCCATTTAAATTTTACACACTATTTTCAACTCACCCTGTAATACTAAGTAGTCGGATAAGTACGTACGCTACGTATTTCTCATCTTAGAGTAGTAATAGTTAATACTTAATAGCACTATGCTTACAGTATGCACTGAAGGGGTATCCTAGGAAGTTTCTTGGACTTTTAACAGGTACCCCTCCTCATTTAACCCTCAATTAAGTTTTCTGAGTCGACCGAGGAGATCGCATAGATCCAATGGATCCTTAGCTACTACCTATACTAGGTGACACTGGGATTCAAACCCTGAAACTTCTGCGCAGAAGGCGGATGCTCTAACCACTAGGCCACCTAGCCCTCGAGTAGTACGATTCTACTCTCATTTTTATTACTTCCTTGACCTCCTCAAGTTTAGATTGACGTTTCATTTTCCATGAATATTGTATTAATATGTTTATGCGCACGAATATATAGCTTCTTTGAGCTCATTAATAACCAATATCATTAGTTTGAGTTTACAATTTAGTGCAATGTTAGAGTCACGGACTGTAGGGGGTTGCAACATGACCATGATCACTCGGTTTAGCATCTATACTCAATACTCATTAGTCATTACTGGCTCTGAGCATATTTCGTATATATACGAAATTGCATTGTTGGGGTATATATATATATACCCCAACAATGCAATGCAATGGTTGGTAGAAATTATCGTGTTTATTCCAACACCATACTATCCAAATCGTTAGAAATGGTGATCAACATTTCCCCTGACCCCCTCCGAGTTAAACTCATTGATACACGAACATTTACCCATAAGATAAAATAACAAAAGCATTACTAAACAAACATTTGCCTATTTGATAAAATAACAAACGCATTGCTAAACAAACATTTGGCTATTAGATAACATACCAAATGATAAGAAAATACTCATTTAAAAACTCCTGATATCTTGCTGAAAACGCCATCAGGTTTGCTTCTATCGCTCCCTAACTCAGGATCATCCCGTAAGACCCCATCATCAGAATCTTCTTCACCCATAGCACGAGCACCTCTGTAACAAAACCAAACTATCAACAGTTCACACACCTGGAATACTGTGAAGAAGGAAAAGCTAATCATCATGTCCACGGTACCACCGAACTCAGCTATAAAGTTGAATATCTCGTACGCTTTCTCTTGTTCCATCTCAGTCACCTTGATGTCTTCATAATATATGTGTATCCTAGCATAGTTTTCTTCAGCGAATGTGAACTTCTTTTCCTTCGCCTCATCTTCAATAGACACCAAATCTTTCAACAGTAAATCCCAGTATTTTTCCGTTGGCGGGAACTTTCCCTGCTTCAGGGACCAGTCGTACTGCAGAAAAGAGCAGGGTTCCGGACATGTACTCTCGTTCGTTTTAACGATCTTAGCTAGCACCAGGGAATTACAGAGTGACTGAGTAGCAAAACCACACTCCTCGCTGGTGTCAACTTCCTCATCTGCGTGTTCCTTTTGTAGCTCGTACCAGTAGTTCATGTAAGAGGTGAGGTTTAACTCGGTGAGCCTGTCTTTTAGATACCATGGAACACAATTACATTCCTCAACTGCTAATCTTAGATTTTCTTCTTGGATGCACTCCCGGACTGTCTTAGCGATTTGTGGAACAAATTCGCTTGTTACGTTTTCACAGGAACCGTATTTTGGTGGGAGCCTGTTTACCTTGGTTTTGGAGAGGCTTATAAAGGTTTCTGTACCAGGAGAAACTAAAATTCCACCTGCATCGGTAAGAACAGTTTCATAGGGACTTCTGAGATAGACCATGAAGCCTCTAGTTTTAGTTGATGGTAAGTAGTCGCTTACTCGAGCGTTCAGATCGATTGTTAGACCTCCCTCCGGGCCGCCGAGAACTTGAACCATTGATTGATTATCATTTAAAGCGATGCATTTGCCAAATTGATGAGATTGAACATCCTTGCCTACAGATTTTGTGCCGTTATCGTGTTCAACGGTTTCAACATCAAGTTTTTGCCAGACTCCCGCGAATTTGATGTGGAAATGTTGATCACCGTCTCCTAGATGGGGGAAATTGTGTCAAATAATCGTTAATTCATATAATACCATTATAATGTAATATATTGGTAATCTAAAGTGTAAAGTATCCGTATAGTGGACTGATTTGAATTTGGCATGTGGCCAGCCATAGATTCTCAGATACAGAATACATTTCTGCTCATTAAATTGTAAAGCTAGCCACCTGTAACAGTATTATCTGATCCACTTCAGTCTCTAACTGTGAATCAAATAAGCGATGAAAAACTTTAACAATTTTAATTATTTTCTCAATCTAAATGATCATACCTAGAAGAAAGGATGCCGGCTCAAATTGATAATCCTCAAATATGTTGACATCATTACCGTCTTTATCTTTCCACTTGGCATCAAGATTATTCACCCAACTTTTGTCAATGTACTCTAAAATGCTGCCTTTCCCATTGAAATTATCTATTTTCACCAAAAGATCTCCCAGATTGCTAGTTAAAGTTGCATTAGTGATCTCCGTCTGAAAGTCCGTGTAGTTTATAAAGTTAGTGCTGCAAACCGTTATGGCAGGAAGTGGTACAGTCTTCTCCCACTTTACTGAAATCTTGTTAAAGGAGTTATACTCCAAATACTCCTTCATCAGCCGGTATATCAAGTAGACGGTAGTGCCCAGTAGGGCGAAGGTAAGGATCAGCCAGATTATTTTGCACCATTTTGGACGACCTTTTTGGATTAATGCCTGGTAATAGTCCGATGTTAGGTCTCTGTGTGTGTAGAAGTTTGGTTTCTTGCTCGATGATTTACTCTTTGAAGTGGAACTGGGCATATTTGTTCGAATGGCAGTTCTACAAAATCGCACTGAAGTCTTCGAGTAATGGTAAACGGATCACAAAAAGGATACAACTGATGCCTCAAAACGATAATGTCTAGCTTGCTTATTTGCAGCGTATACAATTTCCGTTATGAAATTTGTGTAAACAGATGGAGTTCCGAGAAGCTTACTTTTTATCGGAATTAGGTATATACCTCACCTAACATACGGATCAGACTGAAAAAGCAAAATTAATTGTGATTTCAGATTGAAACACATTGAATTCAGAGCATCACTCTGGAATCTGGCTGTTCTCAGTGTTCATACATAAATTTTAGCATGAAACCATTAGCTCTCCAACAAAGGACATCCACTAAAGCGTGTTGGGATCGTTTTTGAGAATTAGGTCCGAACCATGTCAAGGTAATGAATTGAGGAGAGGGACTGCCAGGCAATGAGGAGGGAGGGGGGGGGGGGGGTGCCAGGCAATGCCCACTGTGGTTGCCAGGCAATGTTCACTGTGCCAGGCAATGCCTACTGTAGTTTCCGGGAATCTCAGTTATGCCCATTTATTGCCATATCTCTAACTCTGGTGCTTTATTTTGAAAGGGAGAAATCCTTCAAAAACCCTCGTTTTATGTTTGGATAAAAATGCCTTTATTTAGAGAAATTACTCGTTTATGTAAGTAACACAGCGCTGAATGAGTAATTATGTGTCGTATACGTAATACGACTATCAGATCAAAGATTCACCTTTGTCCACGAAGTATCATTCGTTGATTTCTTTTTGTTTGGATTATTCACTTAAATGGTCACTGATTGCTTTGTGATATTGGACTAACCATCATCATCAAAATATGGTGTTGGTATGTTCCTACCTGTAAAACACTGTATTACTCACACAGTTTCAATTCCGGCCTTCTATGCGGAAATATTCATCCTTCACAAAGATTACAAGGTTTATAGCGACTTAATCAGATTATAATAGCAATTTTATAAGATTATACAATTTACCAATGAATTCAATTTAATTAGGTAATAATTGGCATTTCACACACTGTACGATTTATCATAGTGACATTGATAGTGGATAGCTTTAGGGTTCATTTGCGTTCCATCGTCTACAATCTACATTCTACCCACGAATATTGTATTTCTGTTTTGTATCGTATATAACTTCTGTTCCTTTGCTTTTTAGGTTCAGCAAAAAGGTTTTTGTGACCTCGCCACGCATCTCTATTATTTTGTTACATTTTATGTAAAATCCGGATTGGAGTATTATTTATGAGTCGCATTGTTGTAATGTATTCTGTGTAAAATTATCTTTATCCCGGTTGTTGCGACACGTGAAAATGCTCTTATTAGGGAAAGGAGTTTACTCGACGTTTCAATGTAACTACATCGTATTCATGATCTAAAAACAAGTGTTAAAAATTCAAAACGTAAAAAACATATATCTGAGGCAAAATTTGTGTACATTAATTTATTTGTAATTAATCAACTTTATCCAAAAATTCGATACAAAAAAAAGTCATAACAAAATTCATAACAAAATTAGTTTATACGACGACAAACTTTTATAGTAAATACTGTACATTCCTAAAACTACTACTAAATATACTACACATGATACATTTTAATGATTCCCCAATGCATCCTTCATAAAGATTTAAATAAGGTTAATAGTGATTTGATAAAATTATAATAGCAATTTTATAACAAATAAAATGTGCCAATAAATTTAATGTAATTAGGTTAAAGAATTCGCATACTTATTTGCGTTCCATTCTACTCACAAATTTTTGTATTTCTGTCCTTAACAGTTTGAAACTTCTATTTCTTTTTAGGTTTGGCAAACATTTTTTAAAACAATCAGTTTTCGAATCACTTAGCGTTGGTTTGCGATAGTTTTATTCAATAAGTAAATTATAATAAAACGATACTCAGCAGAGAGGCTCCTTCGTTTAGCCTTATACTTTAATTGAAACTGTAACTTTATTCTAATTAAAGTCAGCCATTTACTAGCATGAACGTTCTAGAATGAACATTTAGAGAGCACGAGAATAATTCTGTAACTTTGTCTCTTTACTATTAGAGAGGGCATATTTGCCATTACGTCAGCATGATTTTCTCACATTTAATGGTTCCTCAATTACGTGGAAATACTCGTCCGTCACAAAGATTACAGGGTTGATAACGATTAAGTTATCTCTCTCTTTCTCTCTGATTAAGTTAATCATTAACTTTCCTCCTTTCCCGTCATTAACCTGACGGTCATTAGCTATTTTACAAGTATCATTACTTTCCAGCTCCGAGTTTGTCCTTACATATCATCATTGTACTCAATCGTATGTGTAATATATCGATAGTTTTTTATTTGCTGAAATCTGATTAAGGTTTGTTCGGAATTCAGTTAACTTCATGAACAAGTTTACTGGGTCAATCTCATACACTTTAACTTAGTACAGAACACGTACTGTCCCAGCTATACGGAACCTGAATTTCTGTGCTTTATTTTTTGATTATTTACTCATGCTTGCCAAGATGTAACTCCCGGATATTCAAGATTAGCGAATTGACCTCCGTAAATTGAACCTTTTTGTTGCTCCCTCTCCTGAAATAGAATATTAACATTATAGATTGTTAACATTACTAATGCCTTATATAGAATTCTGTATCGTTTTAAATACTTTTATTAGTTTTCAAAATGTCATCAGAATCAGGTGGCCTCGCCCTTCTTGTGCGTCAAAATGACGTAGTCAAATTCTCTTCAACTTCTGTAATTTTACTGTATATAGAAGGTTTGTTCATATTGAAATGGTAGACAACAAATTATATATTCTGCAATGGTTCTGTAATCTGTATCCCTTGCAAGGGATTAGCCAAGGTATTATCCAAGGCCTTGGCTAACGTTTATTTTTAGTATCTCTGTCTTTATGCCATTTTCGTGAATAGTTTTTAATTTTTACCTCCGCCATTTATCGGTATTTGTTTTATTTCTCTCACAATATTTGTTTCCTCTTTTGACAGTTCTGAGGAAAGTTATTGTTTTAGTCACTGCACTTACTGTGGGTTCATTAGGCCATAAATACGACCCAATTCGTGTTGGTTGTGAATACAATGAAACTCTCAATATACCGTGACCATTCCTTTCTGTAGAAATAATAAGATATATATTATTTATACAGTAAAATACTCCATACCCTGATTTTACTATATCTCTCATTTTCATTTCACCCGAGACACACGCTACAGACAGTTTTACCTGTACTTCTTCAATTTGTGATGTTCTTAACAATATGTAAAGCGATTAGCCATTTTCATACGATGTAGATTATAGTTTTACGTAATTGTACGTAACGGATTGCACATATCATTGTTTCACCCCACAGGTAACTTAATGGCGTATTCCACCCCCGGATCCTACACTGTTGGTCTACCTACTCTTCCTTCTTTAACCTATCAAACAACTACCCCGTTCCAACTGACCACAACTGTAAACTCCTCAAATGTGAACACCACTGATCTTGCTAATCTTAGATTCATACCATCATCTGAAAATGAAACATTTCATGTCGGCCTATGCAACACTACAATCGCCGCTATTTCAACGTACGACGAAACTTTCACCACCCCTGAACACGTGATATTTACGACATATCTCGTGATCATCATTGTTGTGGGCCTCTCTGCTAACTCCTTCGTGGTCTACGCCAGCCTCAAATACGCCTCATTTAACCTGGACAAGGTTACAATAATGTTTCTCCGACACCTGGCCGTCACTGATCTGCTCATGGTCATCTTCACTGGGATACCCATGGTATACGTTCACATGACCAGACCTCAAGGTAACCCTTTTGAGAGAGTTGACTGGTTGTGCACCGTGTTGGGATACTTGTACGAGATCCTGGTTCATTCCCACATCATGTTTTACCTGGTTATAGCCGCGCACAGGTTCGTGAGATGTGTCTTCCCTTTTAGACTGCAGACAATGTCCATGAACCAGGGTCGCTGTTGCTGTGCCTTGATTTGGATAGTTGGAATCCTCCTCTTCGCTACATCTCCCTGGATATTCCACTGGGCCGGGAGATCAGACTTTGAGCGTGACTACCACGTGACGTTCTCAATGGGAATGGCAATGTGTGGGACAGCCACTCAGAACAAAGTATGGTGGTGGTTTAATATCTGCTACACTATAATCCTCATGTTTCTCATCATGATTCTCAACCTGGCCACGCTCTGCTTCTCCGCTTACATCAACGGAAAAGCCAACATCAAGTCCCGGCACGTGACTCAAGCGAGGGTTACTGTATCCACCATGTCACTTTGCGCTTTACTCTCCAACTTCTGGGCTCCTTATCTATTTGTTAGGATGGTAATGGGGGATGTATCTATTACTGATGACTCATTCGGAATGAAAACTTTATCTCATCTTCCCGTGATAACAGCCTTAGTTAACCCTCTCATATACACTATTGTGAATAGGAGGTTTAAGAAATTCCTCATAAAGGAATTCAGTCGAACGAGGCGTGGTATGATGCGGTCTTCCGAGATGAGAGCGATGAAACGGCGAGCTGTAAGCTTTAAAGATAGAGGACAACATATCTACTCTGGAGTGAGACACAGCATTGCCGGTTTGGGTATTAATAGTAACCAGCTGGTGATATTACAGAACAAGAATGCAAGGAGACATACGGCAACCACTGAAATTCATAACTCAAATGTTAAGTTAAACTTAAGTTCAGTTCCTGATAAGTAATAACTAGCTGATAAGCATAGAATTTTTAGATGCTCTTTTAGATTTGGAGTGATTAGATATAGATACTTATTATTCGGAAGTAGTTAATAATATTGATCAGCCTGAAAATATGTATTTTTTGCCAGATAATTAACATGTTGGTCATTGGTATTTACGGTCTCATAACCAAATTTGGTTTGAACATTCAGATTATGGGTTAATTCTGTTAAATGATTATTTGGTATAACATTTAATTAAAATAAATGTAGTCGTATATAGAGTATCAGATTGTGCCAAATGCTTATTTTCATTTTTTGTTTTGATGTTTTTTGTTTCTTATTGATATCGCAGATATCAACGTTTTGTGTAGCTCTAGTGTATTTGACTTATTTGGTTTAAAATAATCTTTTTGTAAATATTTTGCGGTTAAATTAGTTTATTTCTTGCCACGAGCAACAAATCAATAATGCCTTATTCATTTTCCGGTCGTCAATATTTAATCAACATTTACGATGTTACAACTGAAAATATTCCAATGTCTTTCTTGCAATGAATTGCACCATCCATTTACATTCGCCCTGGTTCAGTGGTTCTGTTAAACGTGAGACAATAAAGTATCCTGCACCACCAGTGACATGGTTTACTCTGAATAACTACTCCTTTCACTGTCTAGGAGAATTGATTTCATTTTCTAAGAGGCCGCCACAAATAAACTTTGGCTAGCCTAAATCCTAAACTAATAAAGTGTGACTAGCCTCAATCATACTCAAAGCCCATGTTCTCAGATCTTAATCATCTGAATAAGGTTTAAATCTGTTTGTTTACAAACTACAGACCGACCAATTAGGATATAACTGTTCAGATCCGACATCTAATCCTTTTTGAACATGCGGCTAGCCATTCAGAAATATGTTATATTATTCCTTCCGATGTTTTGAATCTTATTAATCAATTGCAAATCGACTGAAATCACCATAAATAATAGTCCTACCGCTAAACCATCCCAAATTTAATCTAGCAATGGGTTAATTAATAATTACTTTACTTTTCCAGGAGACAGAAGAACTATCGATAATGTGTTAGGGGCAGTAGCTAGAATGATGAAGACCAACCCTGGTTCTCTTCCGCTCGATACTATCTTCCCTACTTTCGTCAAGGTTGGTTAAAATCTTTTTCTAATTATCAAGTGGAGTATGATACCAGGAGAATAAGATACTGATCGAAAATATACAGAAAGCATGAGCAATTGGTAACTTTACATTTTCTAAGAAATTTCATGATACTTGATGGTTTATTTGCATATTATTTGCATATTATTTACATTAATTCCGCTCAGTGGTTACCCCTGCAAGAGGACTACGAAGAGAACATCACTGTTTACTCATCTATCTACGGCTTACTGTCATCTAACTGTCAGGTAGGAACAGTGTAATTAGTAATTACACTGATTACTAATTACTAAATGTTTCGTTGAAGGAGACCAATTAGTTTTGAACATACTATATTGTTTATGCCTTGAATTCCTTGATCGAATGTTAAACAGTTGAATTGAGTTTTAATTTTGAGAATGAACTTTTTATTAGCTGACTATGCAGTAGTTTCTTTCATTCAAATTTCTGATTGTTTCCGATTTCTGAATAGAATCAGTGAAGAAACAATCAGAAATTTTGATGAAAGAAACATCAAATCATGCTAACAACTAACTTTTTATATTTCCAGGTAGCGATAGAGCAGTTACCTACACTTATACCGCTAATGATAACACAGCTGACCAATAAGAAAGTGGACGATGAAACAAAGGCTAAACTCACTGAAATTCTACAAGGTGCGTTCTTAATCTTATCTACATTCAGGAAGGAAATTTAACGAAATTTCTTAAACGAAAATTTTTTCAAATCGTTCCTCCAAGTAGAGATGAGTTCTATAGGTACTGAAACATTTTATAGGTACTGAAACAAGTTCCTCCAAGTAAAGATGAGTTCTATAGGTACTGTAACATTGAACTAAATCTCAGGTGTAACAAGTCAATACCAAGATCTCACTCTGAAGTCTATCACATCAGACCAGGCTGAAATACTGAAACAAGCTCTAGCTCATGTCAATGGATCATAAAATTGCCATTAAATATCTAGGTTAAATGTTGTGATTTATTGGGCAAAAACATTTCAAAACTATTTAAAAATAGGCTTTATTCACTGAGCATTTAGATAGTATACTTTAAAGTTTTATTTGAATCTTTTTAAAATTCTGTTTTAGGATGTTTTTGTCATCTTTTTAATATTTGAGTTTCGTTTGGTGGCACAACTGTGATAACTTATTTGTAGAAGTGTTGCTTTTCATTTTTCTATCAATTCTCATGTCTAACTTATTTTATGGTTATTACAAATTAACTCGTATTGTGGGTTATTTGAGAACATAAGTTTTGGCCCTTCATGCGTGCTGAGCCAATCTACCTTCGTATAATTAAAAAATCTACTTTCGTACATCGAGCCTCATCTAAAAGAGCCCCTAGCAGTTGGACTCTACATGAATCGATGGATTTGCTAAATCAGCACAGCCCTGCGTCAAAAATACATCAATCTAGGTTACTTCCATATCCTCAGGGCCCTTTCACAAGAAATAAACGTATATATGTGTACTTTCCACGTCCACCATCTTCATTATATTATGACTTCATTATTCTCTGTTCTACGTTATAAAACAAAAGAAAACAACAATTTTATGTAATCTCAGTGTATTATCAAACTTAATAATGGTAAACGTCTGTAAATCTTAGGTTTGTCAAACCATATAAAAAGACAGTACCTCCATTTACAATATTCACAAGCTCGATATTAAAAATTCTAAGGTTCAAATTTAATGAAACAGTATACTCTATCATGAATGGTTAAATTGTCCATATAAGTAGCGTCCTGGAGCATCAAGAAGAACGGCAAAATGTGCAAGCATAATGATAGATTATTCCGTCTTGCAGTTTAAACTTCAAATCACAGCAAAAGATTGTACAGAAATTCTTCTGTGTTCAACTAAGCATAATGATAAATTATTCCGTCTTGTAGTTTAAACTTCAAATCACAGCAAAAGATTGTACAGAAATTCTTCTGTGTTAAACGTACAATTTAGTCATTAAGCACTTTGAATTTCAATAGATGTAAAAGCTATAAATCATCCCAAAACTATTTGGGAGATTCTAACATTTAATATTTGAATAAAACTCTGTTAAAGTTTTGAAAAATATTTAAAACTATGATTTTTTGAACAAAAAAAAACCTTATTGAAAATATGAAATAAAAAGCTTTCCTTGTAACTACATAAAACCACACGGTTTAAAACAAAATAGATCAATCCAATATAAAATAAAAATGATGAAAATATTACACCGATGTTGATTTTTGCGTCTGAACGTCCGTTTGTATGTAATGATAATGAAAAATTCTAACGTAAACTGGTACTTTCAAAGTGTGTTTTCATCATGTCACGTTCTAGCAATCATCAGTACAATCTTGTAGGATGGTTAAGAATTGTGTGTTTGGTTGCGGAAAGTTTTTACTGTTTTGACAGAGGATCCTCTTCATCTTCTTCTTCGTTACCGCTCAGTAGAACCTGAAAGTGAAAACAGGTTCTTTATACTGTATAATAACTATTCATAATTATTTATAATCATCTGATTTTTAAATATCATCATTTAAACTTTTTAAAAATGTGAAGAGAAAACAATGAGAAGATTTAGCACGAATACATTCCTATTATTAAGAACCGTATTTAATGAGATTTTTCAAGCTTCAAGACAAGGTAGGGCAGGCCCGTAATTCCTTCAGAGGGGCACACAATTTTTTTTGGAGAAGCAGTTAATTTTGCATTTTTTTCGACCCTTTAATGTAATCTCAAGTATCTGACTTCAGGGGGCACCACCCCCTGATCCCTGCAGCATATCTTAACAACCGGACGTGCATCAAATTCTCAGCTTTACATTTGCAAGAACAAGTCATTTTTAAAGTTAAAAAGTCCTAATGCTCTAATGGAACAGCAATCACACTAACATCTTTGCCTAGTTCTACATATTTCCATTCTGTGCCTCAAAAAAAGGTTCAAGACGCAATTTCAGAAATTATTAGAGGTAGGGGTTACACCCCCTGGACCCCCAGCTTATCAGTTTATGGCAATGAATTACGGTCCTGAAAGGAGTAAGTCGACGAGGAAATAAACATAGATCCCGGGACACCCAGAATGACAGAAGAGATTACAAGATTGCTTCACGTATTAACGACTGTTCGGTATGCTGAAACAAACGAAGAACATACGCCCTGATTTTTATTCAATGACGTAACCATAGCAACCATACATGACACCTCGCACTCACAAATACAATACTCACTCAAATAGCATTCTCAAACTGTACTCTCACGGAATTCGTTTAGTAACACAATCTTAGATGGCAAGTGAATAATGAACAGGAATTTAAAATATCAAGGTAGATATCATCGTGACGAAGCGTTCAAGGATATTTGTTTTTAGAGGCCCAAAATAGTCCGCACATATACTTAAAGCCTAATCATTAAACACGTCCTCGCAAATATGTATAATCTTTAGAATATCTTTAGCTTAAAATACTTCCGAGAATTCAAAAATGCGAGTAATCAGTAAACTACAAGGAAAACCTTAGCTGGATGAAGAATGTTAAACTTACCGTGAGGTTCTGAACTTCCCGTTGAATACCGCTAATCTCTTCCTTAGTCTCGTAGGACAGTTCAATAGTGGGCACTAAAACACAAAATAAGGTTACTAACAAATTTCACGGATAGTATTTTTACAGATATCACAATCCTGTCGTAGTTGTTAGAGATTTTAAGTTGTAAGAACCAAGAAACCACAGAATTTTCAAAAAATACCCGTATATTTCAACAAACAAGAGAAATATTAACAAATGCTATATGATATATAGTTGAAATTTACTGGGTTTCGAATTCAGCCATATCATCACAAAGTCGTCGTATTGCTATTCTATTAAGTTATTCGTAAGTCAAAAGAGTCTGTTCTGTCGGCAAAATAAAAATAATATGCCCACATGTCGCCAACATATCACTGGAAATATTGATTGTCCGTATGTTTGTTTGTCTGTTTGTTCGGAGGTGGTCGCTGCTTACCCTCTGGTTCTTCTGAAAACGGCACCACATAAGTTAACCACTCGTCGGAACTCTCTTTTCTTTTCCTTCTGCTGAGCGAGTTCTGCAGCGATCTACGTCCTTTGAAACTCTGAGAAGGATTTAGTGATATAACACTTTGTCTGGTAGTGGTAGACTTGAAAAATGCCCGACTTGTTCGCTTAAACGTTAGCCATAATATGTATGCAGCCAATCATTATCATCATGTATTACCGCAGCGGAATTCTTGTTAATCCCATTTACAGGCTAAATTTGGTCAGACTATTGACCATTGTTAATAGTCTGGCCCGTCGCGCGCTACTTCGTAGCACCTGCCATCGGGCAATATTATTTCGAGAAGAGCTACTTCGAAGAAATTTAGACGAGTAACCGTCGACATTTCCATGATCCATGACCGACGTATCTTTTTACCTTATGAACATAATATTATGTTTACGAACCGCGGATCAACTAGCCAAGCGCAGCTAGCTAGGTTATTATAAAGCTCTTAAGCTCAAGCATGCAATAACGCGCGGCTCTCTACTGCGCAAAATTAGATTATGTCTCTTCATAACATTTGCATGGCGCTTTACAACGATGTGATTCCCATTTTCCCTCAAAAAGGACTTAAGACAAGTGGGATGTCCAGATATATCCTGAGACCTGAGAATTGAAATATTCAACTTTCGTTGTTCCGCGGAACGAACAGAGCGGAAAGTCGAACTCCTTTTACAGAAGAAATTTCGACTTATCTATTCCAAATTATCTGAAGATTTATGGGACAAGATATGAGGACACATCAGAGAGGAAACTGCTAACCAACATGGTGAGGACCTTTGATGAAGAGACACTTATTTGTTCACTTTTTGACAAAAAGCGGCAAAACCTCTTGGCTCTTTCTCACATGGGAAAATACAATGACATTTGACACCACGTGGAATGCCCTGATCTATCAACTTAGTCCGGAACTGTTAAAGTTTCATGTCAATGCTATCCATGACACTGCGTCAACACCTAGCAACCTAAAGCTTTGGAATAAAGCCGTTTCAGGAAACTGTAAACTTTGCAGCAAACAAAGGACACTCAATCATATCCTCACGTTCTGCAAGGTTGCACTAAGACAGGGACGTTTCAACTGGCGCCATGATCAGGTCCTACGTGAAATCATGAAGACTGTTTCATCACAGATTGAAGAGTTTAATTCCGACATCGCCAAGGAATCGAAGAGGGCACCGTCGGTCTTTCACAAGGCAGGCAATAAGCGCGAGAAGGTTACCTTAGCTGACTCAACTCATCATAAGACCCAAAGATATTTCTTTTCAGATGCCAACGACTGGAAGATAATATTTGATGAGGATGAGAGACAGAGGAACTTCCCGCAGCACATTGCAGCTACACCACTAAGACCTGATGTAGTGAACTATTCAGATAAAGCAAAGAAGGTTTATCTAATGGAGCTGACTTGTGGAAATGAGCAGAACTTTGCTGATCAAGAGAAGCGAAAGATGAAGAGATATCAGCAGCTGACAGAAGAGATAGAAGCCAACGGATGGGCTTCCAAGCTCCAGACAGTAGAAGTGGGAGCTCGAGGCATTTACAACTATAGCATAGCCTCCCAACCTTTATGAACCACCTGAACGTAAACAACAAAGAGAAGAAGAAGGCCTGCATGAAGATCGCTGAGATCGGGGGTGATGCAACGTCAATTAATGTCAATTAATGTCAATTAATGTCAATTAATGTCAATTAATGTCAATTAATGTCAATTAATGTCAATTAATGTCAATGTCAGTTTTGCAAAATTTTGGAATACTGACATTAATTGACACGATATTTTTCGACCAGAGATTATGTAGTTCTACCATATTTTTAGCACTTTAGAACGTTTATATCATCAATTTATTCACTACTATCACCAATGGCGTAACTTAGGGCCCCGCAGACCCCGCTGTGCGGGGGGGGGGGGGGGGGGGGGGGCGCCGTATAAGGGGGGCGCAATTTTCCTGAATTTTAGGCCCTTTCACTGAAAAAACGCCTTGTTTGTGTATTTCCCTGTCCAATTTAGCGTTCGGTCGACGCGAAAAAATTATTTGGGGTACCCTTTTTGGCTTCAGGAGGCGCAAAAAGCTGTAGGGGGGCGAGAAAAAAAGTACCCGACCTTTTTTTTTTTTAGGGACAAAAAATTTTAGAGGGGCGCTTTTCGTCACTGAGCGGGGGGCGCCAACAGGCAAAGTTACGCCACTGACTATCACATATGGAAATGTGAAATGTGAAAAAAATTCAGATCATTAAACGATAAAACTAAAATAATACGGTTTTCCGAAATTTAATTTTCTTAAATGGGCGTGGCCATCCAAGGGCGTGGTTCTCAACATCATCAGAACTTAAAACCCACATTAAACGAAATGCCTTCATGACATTTATATTTGAATAACGAATCTTAAACAGCTAACATTACTCCTTCATACTAAAAAAGCCGATTCTAGATATTTTACCTGTATAATAAGAAACCAATAAAATATGGGCGTGGTCGGTGGGGACCGAAGACGGAAGAGTTGGAAGCTGAAATTTTTTTGGTGGTCTTTGAACCTAATGATCAACAGATAAGAACATACTCATAATTATTCAAGGACATTTTGTTTTTTTGAACCGGTCTAACTTACATAGACGTGAATATCTTGAATATTTATCAAATAATGATAATCTCAAATTTCAAGACAAATTAATGTCAATTAATGTCAATTAATGTCAATTAATGTCAATTAATGTCAATTAATGTCAATTAATGTCAATTAATGTCAATGTCAGTTTGGGGTTTTTATGGAATACTGACATTAATTGACGTTGCATCACCCCCCTGAGATCAGACTGAGGGCATCGTATACCATCTATTTGTCCAGAAACAATACCATATGGACAGATGATTGGGAGTTAGTCAAGAGACCAGTAATAGCATAGTAGGAGCGTAGAATGTTTGGGCCCAGAAAAACATGTTTAATACCGCTATGAACCCGTCATAAGCCGGGGACTACTATGAAAGTGATGATGCTGTGTTGTTGAAAGAACTTCGACCAATCAAAGATGTACCTCTTCACGCCAAGCAGTTATGCTTGTAGGTTAATATACACTTATAGATTACAACAACTTTATAACACTCCCAAGATTTGCTTCTAACTTAGGTTATCTAAGGTGATAAAATGGCTGTAATGTCAATTGTCAGAGGATGAATCCTAGATTTTGGAAACATTTGAGACAATTTCTGATACATGTTTTCTGGCTGTATATGTCCGTGAACTAAGCGGGATTTGCCCTGGTATGATAGAGGGGCATGTGTACTATTTTCAGCCTACTGTGAAATATTCTCTGATTGATGGAATGAATGAAATGAACACAAAATGAACATTTTCTTTTCACTCCCCTGAATTGAGCTAAAACCGATTGGAATCGATCGGTTTATATACCAGGAGTGTCCCTGGGAAGTTTGGTGAGCCTATCATGTTCAGAAAGGGCTCTGGGCTTCTGGGGCAATGTTTCCATTTTGGTTTCAGAGTAGTTGAGATCGTGGAAACATTTGAGACAAATTTGGAACCACGCTTTTGTAGCCATATTGGTTCATGGAATGAACGAAATGAACGAAATGAACGAAATGAACACAAAATGAATATTTTGCACTTCTAAGTGGCTGGAAATGTTAGTAAATGTGTCCCTTTACCATATCAGATAGATTCCAAGTCAGAACTAGCATAAATACGGCTGCAAAAGCCTTGTCTCACTTTTGTCTCAATTCTGTCTTATGTTTCCAAAATGTTTCCAAAATCTCGGATTCATAAACTCTGTAATGTTGACGATATGTGCAAATTTTGGCGAATTTCTATGCGCCAAATTTGAAATAACAAATAGATGCCTTGCTTTCGAAAGTTTAATCTGAGTAGATGCACAAGAAAATATCTCCAAATCAGCCGTCAGCGGATTCTACGGAACGCAGGCAATTGTCTCAACATTTTACTACGTTTTTTCTTAAGATAAAAATGACAATTTGTGCAAATTTTGGAGAATTTCTACGCACCAAATATGAAATAACACCTATATTAGATGCCCTACCTTCGAAAGTTTAGTCTGAGTAGATAGAGGTTTCACATTTTTGTCCGTTTCAGCTAATCTCTTCTCCAATAAGACGTGTGGTCCAACAAGTTTGTTAAATATAGTCTCGAACATTTGCCCGGTCACTTCAGAATGGGGTATTTTTAGGAGCTTCAGAAGGAATGCTGACGTTATCAGAGGTTCTTTTATCTGAAATAGCAAACATTTATAAAGGAGTAAAGGGTCACATGGTGTGTTAATTCAGTAGATGTGCAAAATTTGTGATTTCAACAGACATAATCTTTTCCGAGATAAACGGTAAATTTATATTTACCGATAAAGGGTAAAAAATGCCAGGTGTGGTTTTCAACTGTTTTGAGTCCAATGTACCAACTTATTTGTATACTATTTTAATATGGCTGCAAAAAAAGAGGATTTGACATTGTAACAGACTCTATTTACACAGAAAAACCAAGAAACTGCATCGGGTTGCATCATCAGGTCATTTTACACGTTAGGCTTTAATCATTACACTATGTAAGGTTTCTTTTAAGTTTCTAGTGTAATAGTTAAATCATAGAGTTATAACTTATTATAAATAATATTACGCTGATACAACAATAATTATGATATACAGAGTAGCGTTTTAATTTAACTAATGTTAAATTTCCCACATTTTCAAGCTGATATGAATAATAAAAGTAAAAGTGCTGTAATGTAGAACTTTGCAGACACAGGTTAAACTCATTCATCAGTGACAGTGGACTATGTGTCGGAATTTCACCTAATCCTATGAAGTAATTGTTTAAAACATCATATCATCATACTATAAGCTCGAGATAAAACCCAGCCAACCAATCACAAGTTGGCAGATTCTGCTAAAATTTTTAATGTAACTACTACTCAGAAAATCCCAGAATAGATGTCACACATTGAAGACGTGTCTGTCAAGCCTTACAAGTGACACCTGCATTTCATGTCACATGACCCGCATCTCAGAAGCCACTACACGTCTGTCAAACTAACCCACCCAGCAGCAGCCTCCCCACTGCTATTAGACACCCCCCACTGTTGAAATGTTTAATAGTTTTAAAGTTCTGTGATAGGGAGTAAAGTTTAAAGTTACAGAGCGCGCTCGTGTGCTTTAGGGAGGGTGTGACACTTTGCTGGTGACATTCGGGCAGGTTTTATGGCCTCTGAGAAACATCATCACACAAAACAATCAACTATTAAAGTAAAAGCCTTCAGTTTAGATCCCGCGTTTGACACAAAACTTGACAAAACAATCAACTGCAAGAGAAAAACAGTGTCCAGATAAGATCGACACACGAGAACGGAACTTGGTGGTCTTTATCATGTTAGTTGGAACTAAGAACCAGGAACAAATCAATCAGACAGAGGATTGTTTAGTGTAAGCTCTAGGATAGGTATATGACAACATCAGGTTTAAGGCCACAGGGGGGGGTCCGAGGTCGATTTTGAGATTTTGAGATATGTTGTAGAGCTCGATCTAAATTTTCAAATGCTTTTGTCCTTACCGAAAACAAAGTTTCCTATTTGAAGATATCGCGCGTTGAATTTTGAGGTTTACCTGTAATTCTATTGTAAATGAAAACTTTAAATGAAATCGTGTTCAAAATCTATCTTCTTTTTCAGTTTATGACTTAGAACCTTGTAACTTGGCAACAATGTTCTTCAAGGTATTTTGAGTTTTTGTTATGTAACGATTTATGATATCTTGCTCCAAAGCTGAGATATGAGGTTAACCATGAGTGCGGGTTACAAAATTTAAAATGGTTAACCTCATAAAAAGAGTTAGGAGCAAAATTACAACAATCGTTACATAACAAACTTTTAAATTTATGTCAGGAACATAAGTTCCAAATTTGAGGTGAAATGGATAAAAACTCTAGGAGAAGATAGATTTTGAAGTCAAAAATTCGAGGTTTTCAGGAGTGGCAAAAAACTGTTTTTTATGTTATGTGATTTTTGAGAATTTTGCCTTTATTTGTATATTTTTCAAAGTTTAACTGCTGAAATAACACAAAAACAATAAAAACAAAGCTTATCGTAGTTTTTAGTTGTAATGGCATCAATATTTCTGCCCTCCATTATCGATTTATCAAAAAAATGAGGTTAAATGAGAATTGGTTAACCTCATTTATAAAAAAAAGTAAAATAGCTACAGACAAATGAGTGGTGGCAAAGTATCCACCACAAAAATATATATTGATTCAAAGCATAATGTTTTTTTGCATTTTTTGAGGCCTCGACCCCCCCCTGTGGCCTTAAGTTCAAGGCATAGTGTACTGAACTGACTATGTTATTTATATCATGATTAACTGCACAGAGCACAGAGCTAACTTTTATAAGACAAAGCTGGAAGTTATTCCCTTCTTAGAACTGGTAATTGTAGTTATCAGCACTGTACTGCAGTTATCTGATAACAGTAAAAAACCGCGATCCAAATTATGTTCACACTATTAGGACCTATTTAAATTTCTTAAATGTGTCCTGTCTATGACAAAGGCGTGTTGCCGAAACGTCGACAACTAATTGTTTTGAAACACTGAGTGGATACTCTCACTTCGTAGGGCCTGTCGTGATATCATGGATCGCTTAGGTTCCACCAGGATCTGGTAGTCCTCATAATTCTGCGGCCTCTATGTATCGTCATCTCGTACAACTCTTTAAGAATCTTAGGGATTTGGCATGTGAAAATTTGCAGCCTTCCAGACATTGATTGGGTTAACGAGGTGTCGTACGTCACCTCAAGATCGGGTGACAGGGGGCTGACCAGGCCAGAACCCAATTGATTGGGTCTGAGGTCACGTGATTATGAGCCTGAGGTCACGTGACTATGACGTCACCAGACCTTGTTCTCCGTTTCCCGCTCATTGGACCAGGTGAGCTTGCATGCTTGTGAATGTGGGTGTAAGTACAGCTGTACTGTAGTTTATACCTAATTAACCCCTATAGAAACCGAAAATTTATTTTCTGGCAGAAAGCTAGAAATTTACCAAAATATCGACATTGTTATAAATTTATTTTGATGACCATTCCTGACCTAAAATTGCACGAGAAATCGATTAAACTTGGTTTCAGGACTCAACAATGCTTCTTTATGCCTTAAAATCCATGTTTTATCGATACAATCAACATTATGATCCCGTTGATTAATTAGTAACAGGTACCTAACAAATACGCAGAAACAACCATCACACCTAAATTGCATTCCTAACGGGTCGATTTCGAGTGACCAATAATCGTCGTGATGATACGTCATGTGTTCCTGATCATCATCAGCAATCAAGAGACAGGAGCGGCGGCAGCTTTAAACTTTTAAATCAATGGTTATTGCATATGTATCGAGGATAGCTTTACAAATAAGAGTATCAGTAAATAAAATTGCCACAAGTGTTTCTTTCACTCACTTTCGATAAGACACATTGGAAATTCTTACTTCCATAAGATTCGGAATTTTTTTAAACGCCGAAGTATATCGGAATTTTATAAAATTTAATCACACTTATCAACCTTTGAACGGTTAATCGAACACAATAATTTTCAAGCTTGTCAACCCTGAAAATTACATTTTAACTACATGCAAAGTTGTCTAACCAATTTTGAGTTTTGATCATTTATATCTACTATGTAAATAAAACACTTTCTATAATTACTCACGTTCAAGTTGCATGACCAATGACTAAAAATGCTTATTGGGGGGGGGGGGGGGGGGGGGGAGGGGGGGTGTCATGTCCGTCTATGTCCGCCTATGTCCTGTCCTTTTTGGATTCTATGAGACAACGGACGTGTTTTTTGGGACATTGGCGGACACGGACGGACATTGGCGGACTCGGACGGACATTGGCGGACTCGGACGGACATTGGCGGACTCGGACGGACATTGGCGGACTCGGACGGACATTGGCGGACCCGGACGAACATTGGCGGACTTGGATGGACATTGGTGGACATTAGCGGACATTGGTGGACATTAGCGGACAAACATTTTGAGGACTGAAGAGTACTGAAGAGTACTGAGGAGGATGACTGAGGAGGATGGCTGAGGAGGATGGCTGAGGAGGATGACTGAGGAGGATGACTGAGGAGGATGACTGAGAAGGAGGAGAAGGATCAGGAAGACCCAGGAGGAGGAGGACCCAGAAGGAGGACCTAGGAGGAGGAGGAGGAGAACTGAGGAGGATGACTGAGGAGGAGGAGGACTCAGGAGGAGGACTGAGGAAGACTGAGAAGGAGGAGGACTGAGGAGGATGGCTGAGGAGGATGGCTGAGGAGGATGACTGAGAGGGAGGAGGAGGAGGAAGAGGAGGAAGAGGACTGAGGAGGAGAAGCACTGAGGAGGAGGAGGAGGACCCAGGAGGAGGACCCAGGAGGAGGACTCAGGAGGAGGAGGAGGACATGGTGAGGAGAAGGACTGTTGAGGACTGATGAGGAGGACTGAGGACGAGGAGGAGGAGTAGGAGGAGGACTGAGGAGGGGAGGAGGAAGAGGACTGAGGAAGATCAGGAAGACCCAGGGGGAGGAGGAGGAAGAGTAGGAGGAGGAAGCATCTGAATGTTATTTCCATTTTTGTCCGTTTTTGTCCATTTTTGTCCGTTTTTGTCCGCTCTATTTTTTGTCCGTTTTGAAAATATAGGGTACCGAACGGACAAAAAACATGATCCCCCCTATAACAGCAAAAATTGAACATTTTATTTAGCAATTTAGGTGTCCATTAATGTCCGCCTATGTCCGCCTATGTCTGCCTATGTCCGCCTATGTCCGCCTATGTCCTGTCCTTTTTGGATTCTATGAGACAAGCGGACATAGACGGACGTGACACCCCCCCCCCCCTTATTCTACTGATGCTTATTCTACTGATTCACGGTCCTTGGAAACTTTTATTACTCGTTAACTGACCCGAGGTTTGTAATACTCACTCCCATTCTATATTTAAGTAATTTCCGGACAGTAAATTTATTTATGCGTCGTAATATTGTTATTATGAATCTGTAAAAAGGACGGGGAACTGCTCTTTTTAGGCAAAGATAACTGTTCAATGTAGTTACAATATTATATTTATGTCAAAATTCGTGATAATGTTACGAATACATGAAATGAACATGAAATACTTGGTATGCAGCGGTTATAAATATTAAATAGGAATAATGATGTGAAGTATTCGAATTCACAAAAATAACGTAAACCATTGATTTAAAGCTACCGCCGCTCCTGTCTCTTGATTGCTGTTGATGATCAGGAACACATGACGTATCATCACGACGATTATTGGTCACTCGAAATCGACCCGTTAGGAATGCAATGTTGGTGTGATGGTTGTTTCTGCGTATTTGTTAGGTACCTGTTACTAATTAATCAACGGGATCATAATGTTGATTGTATCGATAAAACATGGATTTTAAGGCATAAAGAAGCATTGTTGAGTCCTGAAACCAAGTTTAATCGATTTCTCGTGCAATTTTAGGTCAGGAATGGTCATCAAAATAAATTTATAACAATGTCGATATTTTGGTAAATTTCTAGCTTTCTGCCAGAAAATAATTTTTCGGTTTCTATAGGGGTTAATTAGGTATAAACTACAGTACAGCTGTACTTACACCCACATTCACAAGCATGCAAGCTCACCTGGTCCAATGAGCGGGAAACGGAGAACAAGGTCTGGTGACGTCATAGTCACGTGACCTCAGGCTCATAATCACGTGACCTCAGACCCAATCAATTGGGTTCTGGCCTGGTCAGCCCCCTGTCACCCGATCTTGAGGTGACGTACGACACCTCGTTAACCCAATCAATGTCTGGAAGGCTGCAAATTTTCACATGCCAAATCCCTAAGATTCTTAAAGAGTTGTACGAGATGACGATACATAGAGGCCGCAGAATTATGAGGACTACCAGATCCTGGTGGAACCTAAGCGATCCATGATATCACGACAGGCCCTACTCACTTCGTCACCAACCATCAAACTAATCAAGTTTCACACTAAATAACATGTGTAGTGGCAGTGTAGTCACCGTGTAGTGACTGTGTAGTCACTGTGTATAGTAGTCACTGTGTAGTTACTGTGTAGTCACTATGTAGTGACTGTGTAGTGACTGTGTAGTGACTGTGTAGTCACTGTGTAGTCACTGTATAGTCACTGTGTAGTCACTGTGTATAGTAGTCACTGTGTATAGTAGTCACTGTGTAGTGACTGTGTAGTGACTGTGTAGTGACTGTGTAGTGACTGTGTAGTGACTGTGTACTAGTGACTGTGTAGTGACTGTGTAGTGACTGTGTAGTGACTGTGTAGTGACAGTGTAGTGACTGTGTAGTCACTGTGTAGTCACTGTGTAGTGACTGTGTAGTGACTGTGTAGTGACTGTGTAGTGACTGTGTAGTGACTCTGTAGTGACTGTGTAGCTGTAGTGACTGTGTAGTGACTGTGTAGTGACTGTGTAGTGACTGTGTAGTGACTGTGTAGTGACTGTGTAGTCACTGTGTAGTAACTGTGTAGTGACTGTGTAGTCACTGTGTAGTGACTGTGTAGTGACTGTGTAGTGACTGTGTAGTGACTGTGTAGTGACTGTGTAGTGACTGTGTAGCTGTAGTGACTGTGTAGTGACTGTGTAGTGACTGTGTAGTGACTGTGTAGTGTGTAGTGACTGTGTAGTGACTGTGTAGTGACTGTGTAGTGACTGTGTAGTGACTGTGTAGTGACTGTGTAGTGACTGTGTAGTGACTGTGTAGTGACTGTGTAGTGACTGTGTAGTCACTGTATAGTGACTGTGTAGTCACTGTGTACAACAATACTCACAATCAGTGCTCCGTGTATCCCTGACTCCTTCAGAGCGGGCGTGTACTCCGCAAAGTAATTAGAACTCAGCCACTGTTTCACATTCTGGTGGGTCCAGTACATGACCTCTGCTGGGCGGGTTGTGTTGTCGATACGGGAACTGTTCAGGTAGTTTGGGTCGAAATTACACTCCCTGAAAAAGTTTATTTAGTGAAATAATTGTAAATTGGAAGAGAATTTAGTGTGTTCAATCCCATTGGACAGGGTTATTTTTTGTCATTCTCGGCTTTCAAAACGCTATAATATCAATTATCATCAACAATAATACATTTTAATATTTAGATGAATCAGTTAATACTAGTTTAATTCATTGGACGTGAAATCCGAAAACCTATAAAATACCAAAGCTAGCATTTACAAGAGTGAAAGTGAAAGAGAAATATTAAATCACTGACCTAAGAAGTTCTATAGCCCTCATAATGCTGACAGCGTGTAGTCTCAGTCTCACTTTTAGAACTCTTAAATCTTCATACGTCAACCAGTTCAACACTCGCCCTGAACATTTAATTAATTAATTAATTAAATTAATTACAGTTACTGAATTGAATTCATAAAAAGTTGGAAAGTTTCGGTATTCAAAACTGTGTGTTCATACTTTATAACTTTAAATTATCAGACTTGCTAACTTACTAATGTTCTACTTGTGTATATATGCAATAAATTCATTCCAAAGAAATAGTTAACTGAGTATTGCTGCTTTATATGTTTCAACAAGTCATTACCATCTAGACCTCTCAAGAAAATATTTAAGTTATTTAATTCCGTAGTTCGGTTATTCATCAAATCTAAAACGTTTCAAGTAAAATTTCTGGTTTGTTTAGACCAATTAAAATGATTGATAATGACTAGAAATAGTTGTTACGTTATTGAACGTCACTCACACTGAGACAATAAAGTCATTCATGCTATCATAAAGTTTTTAAAGTAACAAGACAAGTTTTAATAATTTCACTTTTTTTAGAGTGTGAGTATTACGTCGTAACGTAACAACTAGTGTCATAACTCATAAACTAGACCACTATTTTTATTCTACACGGAAACGCTAAATTCTTTACTACAAACGGTCACATTATCCCACATACAGAAAGTTTTAAATTTCCTCGCTGTCCAATGTTCAATGTTTCCCCCCTAAAAATTGTCTTAACCCTAAAAATTAGGTCAGGTCTTCTTCTAAAAATTTCCTTTTTGGCACCAAATTTTCTCCAAAATCAAAAATTTCCTCGCAGATTATCCGCCGATCTGTCGCCTTTCTGTATACGTGGGCACATTATCAAGACTCAACAACACCACACAGCTGACAGCAATATCTAGTTAAAGAAGTAGCTAATGAGTTAATTAATTAAGTAGAGCTAATAAATTAATTAAGTAACAACTAATGAGTTAATTAACTAGCTGATAAGTAAAACTAACCGTCGACCATAGCCTCTCTGAAAGCAGGAACATGTTGGGGTAACCCTATCTCAGTTAACCAGGGTAGCACCCACGTGTCACAGTGTAGACTGCCAGGCGTGTCTTCTTGGCCGGCGTTCTGGGGCAGTGTTGGGTCAGTATTGTGTAAGTATTGGGTCAGTATTGAGTAACTGGATCAGTATTGTGTAAGGGGGCCGGGGGGTGTAAGTATTGTGTAAATGTCAATAACTGGAATGTTTAAATTTAGAAGTAACATGAATAGCTTTGAAGCCTTTTTCACTTTCTAGTTCTACGCAGCTACTTTAATGTATTATATTATATAATATCATTACATAGTACAACCATGAATACTGAATAGTAACCTTGAATTAATTTATTAATTACCCTTAAAGCAAGAACAAGTTTCTTGACGTGAAGTGGGTGTTTGATACCCAACTGCTCCAGTCCTGCTATGTCCAGTTTCAGTATGTTGGCACCCGTCCAACCTGCTGGCAACTTCTGTCCGAATATCCCCAAACCTGGTGAGGTGTGAAGGTATTACTATACTATTAATAGATTAATTAGTGTTTTATCTTAATAGTGGTGTTAATAAACTTCAATTTATTATTATTATTATTATTAGCATAAAATACTGAATTAGTTGGCTTCAGAGTTCAGAGGTTACAGAGCTACTACTACTGATTTAGTACTATATTTGTTGCTACTTTACTATTTATTTGCGACGTATTGACAGCAGATGAGAATTACTTCCAAACACCAATATTAATCCAGATTTGTTCTATAAATAGATTGTTTTTGTATGGTCGTAAAGTTAATACTAATTTATATAATATTACTTACCTTGAGTGTCCATCCATTGGTGTAATTTCCACGTTTCCCAGTTGGCAAAGTCGACTTCTTGTAAATCTCTGAAATGTACGGGTTATAAATTCTTAGATCCATGATCTGCCTAAATATAATCCAGCAAACCAAACATAACTTTAATGATCAGGTGACCACTGAAAAAGATCAGAGCTTAATTTAAATAGTGGTAATTTTTAAGTGGTAATTTCAGAAACATAATTTTTCCACACATAAAATAACTACTAAATGATATTACTAGCTGATAAAACTCGAGCTAAATATCGATAATAAATGGATAAGGCTTTCAGAAAATTCTAGAAACATCTAGAAAAAAACAAAAATAGTTCTTACTCAGCGGTGACGACTTCCTCGAGAGTATTAATACCCAGCATACACGGGTACATGGTACGTGATTTATCTAACTGTAGTAATGTGTAGTCCCCTTGTCTTGATCCGTCCGTTGAGGGTGTTCTCCTGTACAAGTACGTGATATTATAGTTAGGATTATCAGAGTCATTTATAATCTGACAAACGTCTCAGTTGATTTATATTTGCAAGATTGAATCTGGGAAACTTTTATAAATATAACAAAATGACTGAGATGATAATTAGATGATAATTAGATGATAATGAGTCAGCTTGAGCAAGCTAATTAAAACTTACCCATAACGAACAGTATTAGTCCCGAATATATTCTTCAACCAGCTGCCCCGGAGGGTACCATCCTTACTGAACTCTGATCCAGTCTCCAGAGCTGATAGGTTAGGGTCTGATATTGACTTCTTGTTGCCCCGGTTACGTCTGACTTTGTGCATTGCGCGGCTCATTGACGCAAACAACCCTACAGTGGAGTAACGTGTTAGTATTTCACGACTAAAGATCTAACGAGTGATTTCTAAAGAAAGTGAAACCAAATGAGGTGCTTCAATTACTCTAGTAGCAGAGTGATATGCTCCAATGTATCGTTTGTCGTTACAACTTACAACGTGTTACTAATTTAAGGCTGATAATGTGGAGCGCAGCACACTGAGATTGATTTCTGAAAGCAGAAACTCTAAAAAAGGAACGTACAAAAAAACGTTAAGTTATATTTATAATTAATCAGAGCTTTCTGCGGTAAAAGCTACTACAAGAGAGCGCAAAATACACGATGTCGATAAATATTAACGTTAGCCGAACGGGAAGCCTGAACAAGCACTCGTAGGTACTCTCGCACTAAAAACATTACTTTTAAGAGTGAAGATCTGACACGGTATAACGGGTAAAATTAGAGATGTAGGGCACAACACGTATTAAATATCAACCTAGATTGAAAACATTAAAATACAGCCAAAATACCTTAGTGGGGGTAAAGAATCAACCAAGTGCAAAAAATACCAAGTTTGTATATCCATGTGATCGTTATGAAAGATATGATAATTTAAAATTAATGATAAATTAAAACACTGTCAAACAGCACTACCAAATGAAGGTGCAAGTTCTAGAATCTACTACTTATCAGTTTTACAACCTTCACTCTTATTTACCGTGTTTAGGAGTGTTGTAAACTCCGCTCAGATCACAGGTGTGATCTCACGTACTAAAAATCTTACAGTCTTCATATGTAAGGCTTTGAAATCTACTAGTATAACTCTAGCACACGCTCACCTATCATGACAAAGCATAGGATAAATCCTTTGCTGTGTCATTCTGATAGGTGAGCGCATGTCCATCCGGAATCCGGATGGACATTGGACATGGCACTGTTTTTCAAAGCCTTACGTGAAAGTGAGATTCCTTAACTAGACTGTGTTGGTTGAGATAGCTGGGAAAACCGTGCCTGCGCTGTCACTTAATATTTTACAATTGCAGTCAATATGTGTGACGACATGTTTTATTATAGTAAAGTAACCTTGCAAACTTGACCAGTGAATATGGTGTACCAAATGTTCACGCTCAACGGTTTCTTAATTCTAATATGGCTTTGGAAAGCTGCACGAATATCACACAAAGCTGGAAATAATGCCTTAACAATATATCACTCCTTACCAGGCACCAGGCTGTCTGACGAATAGTTACCTATCTGTAGAGGAAGAAACAAAGAAAGTTATGTCTAAGAGGAGCAAAAATACAGCTTACCCATATTACCCGTGGCTATATTACTCATTTTCCTGGGTCTGTCCAACGTTAGTGTGGCTCCTCTTATGAACTCTGTAGAGAATTGGAAGTGCTAGTACCGTTACTTATTTCTGTGTCTATTCTGCTGTAGACTAGAGAGTTGGAAGTAGCACTACTTACCCTTGTTTCTCTGTCTATTCTGCTGTAGACTAGAGAGTTGGAAGTAGCACTACTTACCCTTGTTTCTCTGTCTAATTTGAAGAGAGTTGGGAGTGCTGGTAGCGTTACTGACAGGAGTGTTGCTGGTGGGGGGGCGTTGCAACGTGGCTGCTCTGTTCAGTGTGCCGGTAGGGGATGCAGGGTTTATAAAATTTCTCATGTCGCGGTCATCTAACGTCTTCACCTGTTGTTGAGGGTAATTAAATACATTGACAAAACTGAAAACAGTCAGCCACCAAGGTGCTGATTAATACGAAACAAATTAAATAGCATTTAAACAGATAAAACAGATAAAAAGAGAGTTGAAAAACAGATAAAAAGAGAACTCTCCCTAACCTTAGTGACGTCTCTGTTACCGCCAGTATTTCTTCTCTCCACTAAATGAGGACTGGTCCTAATGCTGGGTGTTACTGGCTTGGTACTAGACATTAGAGACTGCTGGGACGTGTACTGGGTGGTAGGTGTGATCTATATTTGTGTTAGTGCCAGATTGATGGATAATGTTACTTAATCGTTAATAATAAAGTTACTAAATAGTTACTAGAAGTAATTATTGTTTGTTCGCGTAAAGGTTGTATCTGTTTATTTATTTAACTATTTAAAAGGTCGCTTGGAAACTGGAAAGTAATGAATACATCTTATCGATATTTACTGAGCTTGGTAAATTTCATCACATCAAGAATTTTAAGTTAGAATGTAGGTACCTTTCTTTGTCCAGGGTTTATGTATGTTCCCTCTTTTTCTAACTTTAACTTTGCCTTTTCTCTCCTAAGTTTCTCTACTTCCAACTCTGAATTTTTGAGTTTACACAGTGATTAAAAATATTTAAATCCTAAATCACTGATTTATATACATACAAGATTACGATTTAATTAAAACAACAGCAGTCACAAAAACAAATCACAAAACTTAGAGACTTACTTAGTTCTATTATTGCCTTTTCGTTATAAGCAGCCCCTGAAAAGAAGAAGCTGTTAGCTACAGTAATTAAGTTCAAAGTAAGCTAACCACAAAAGAAAAATCAACCAAAATTAACATGTTTCTTTTAAATGTGTGCACTACAGCATACAAAACTTAATGATCAGGCCGATTGGCAATGCATCAGGAACAGAATTTTTCCACCTACCTTTTTTGTTGAGTTCGCAAACTTGAAGGTCATCAAGGAGGAAGGAAACATGTTTCTTTAGTGCATTTATCTCATCCTGCTGCTGTAGAATGATGTTGTGCAGAACAACAAGGTCGTCCTGTAGAGGTAAGTAATTTAAAAGCTAATATAGAGAACTAGCACTTACGCATCCGGAATTTATAATTCCAAGAAAGATGATAATTTGGATGATTAAATCGAATTGTGCTCCACACTCAAAAAACCAACCTGTGTTAACTGATCACAACTAAGCATAGTAGCTTCTCAACCTTTTCAAGAGTCAGCTAGTTAATTTCATAAAACATGAAACATGAGAGACCTATAAAATATTGCAAGATTAATACAAAAATAAATTTCCACATGCAACCCTTGAATTTTGCTCCCAAAACATATTATCTCAGACATATCTTTGGTGAATCCCCCTAAATCAACTAATACGTTCAATTTCATCATTTTATCTTCTGAGGGAAAAGAGGCACCGATAGAGGGGCCTGCGTCATCATGAATTGATATAACACTGAGTGGTTGTGCTCTTTCTCTAATTCAAAAAGTCACTGGCAATGATTAAATACTAAAAAGATACATTTAAGCCATTCAAGCAAGCATCAGTTTGAAAAAATCAGAATGCACTTTTTTATCAGTTCAGAATTTATGGACTAATTGTATGAGAAATATCATCAAAAGCTAGTTGGAAATAAATTTTTCTTAGTGCACTTAAAAACATTATACATTTTATAATGCTCTCACTGAGCAAGGTAGTTTGTCTTAAATATTTTGTCGCTAAACATGACTGCAGCATCATTTTATCCGAAATATGGAGAGAAGAAACATTAAGCAAATTAATCCAATCTTCCTTCACACAACCCTGTAATACCTCTTGATATTCTAGAAAGAATTTAACACAAATTACAGGAAATCGAGAGATGGGTTTAATTTAGATTGCCCAATAATTTCTGGATGCCTTGATTAGGTTCAGCTCACCACAAAAAAGAAGCCAAGAGCCAAGTCAAAAATCATATCAGAACACGGTTGAGATCTGATCTGTTAAGAAGTACACTTATTGCACTGAGGGGAATCAGAGGAAAATCAATGGCCAAACATCTTGAACTGCAAGACGTTCCCTTCAAACTCATCCCTCAGAAGATGAGCTTTGAGGTCTCCTAGATTTGCTTATGTAAATTTTGTAGATATTTTACTGTACTATTTGATAGGATAGATGAGTCTGTGTCTAATAGGAATAGTTATATAAGTTATATGAAAGAGAATCCAATGATAGCTAAGAGGAAGAAGGTTAATATCAAAGGTATTTAGATGAATTTTTTTAGTTTGTAATTGTTCATTTACTGTGAATTTCTTGTTGAGATGCCCAGAGAGGCATTATTTATAATGTTATGTTATGTTATGTTACTATTTTATATTGTTTAGAGGGGGCCGGGGATTTGTTCTAAAACATATAAGAGATACGAAAAGTTTGTTTTAACAAGAGCTTTCAAAATACATGTGTAAATCGTCTTCAGCTATGATCCCAGGGGGGACTCCCAACCCGACGCTTCGGCTTGTTTTGATTGAAATAAATTTTCGTGCACATACAGAATGAATGGTTAATAATTTAATATATATGTAGACCAAGGTCTGTGCACGGGATGCTTCCTGGAAGAATCCAGTTCTTTTAGCGGGGCACCCTACCTAAAGCCAAATTGAGATATAATAATCATATTCCTAGAGAAATAATCAGAAATCGAATACCAATCAAATAATATGATATATAGGAGTAGTAACCATATTTACTATGCAAAATGCCCCAACCACATAGTGTAAATTTATATAGAATTCAAATTCCATATCATCATTAAACCTCAATAGTCAATATAATAGCCCAAGCAAAATTAAATAACTTCTTATATACCTTACTGTCATACTACAAATTAATTAAACATTTGAAATCTGTTAACCAGAGAATAAATTTCTAAACCTAATGCAAGTGAAATAATTTAGATGCAATAAAGAATGCCTAATGTGAGTATCATCTGTCAATGTCCTTGTAAAAAAGTCTGTAAAAGAGATATGAGTAACTAATATAGAAGAAAAAACAGGAAGTTGTCGTCTGTTGAAAAATAAATAAAATATCTAGAATATAAATTAGAATAAAATAACATTCAGTCAATGTGTCGTCAATAAACTGTACAATTATCAAATGTTAAAACTGGGTGATACAGTCACCAAAAATAAATACTAAGTATAATAAGTAAATAAATTAAATGTGGTCTATAAAACTACCACTAGGTATAATAGGTCAATAAATTAAAAGTGGTTTGTAGTTGACGCTCTGTTCACAAGCAAGAGCCACTATGGTCTACTTTCTGTGAGGTGTCTCAGCTACATGGGTTGGGGACCCCCTTTTTATAATTAGGTTCAACTTAAGTAAATTAATCCAGTCAGTAGCTTTTGGTTGAGAGAGGGTATCACATTATATTATCAACACATATCAAAATGGTCAAAAAATAGCCAGGATGAGCATAATTCACTGAAAATATTGACACAAGTTTGAGAGTTTAAGACACCTAGAGGCGATTATCAAATATTGAGTACTTAACTGGAAGAACAGTCACTTTATTATGATTTTTAAAAATAGTGAGTAAATGGTAGCGCCCCAATAATAAGTGACAAAATTTTGCGAAACTTTCTAGAAATTTAAATAAAAAGAATGTCTAAAAATTTTAAAATTTGTGGAAACAATTACAATATCATATTAAAAGAATATTTTTTTTCCAATAACGCAAGATATATCCTTGTGTGTTTGGGAAGCGCTCATTACCGGTCATTACATCATTACTGATGCAGTCAGGCAGAACTGCTTCCTATCCCTTCAGTTTTCGGATTAAAAAATATTAAAAAATATTTTCTTCCAAATTTACAAATACCAAAAGTTTTTACTAAGCACTAATTGCTAATATATAAGCACTAACATCAACTACAGCTTATTCAAAATGCCTGTGCAAAAGCAGTAACTGGAAAATATAAATTTGATCACCTAGGCGATGATCTTGATAAATTGCACTGGCTTAATATACCTAAAAGAGTGATTTTTAAAATATGTCTCCTATCTTTTAAGGCTATTAATGGAATAGCGCCACTGTACCTTCAAGATATGTTTAAGTATGCTCACCATGGACACACTGTTAGGCTCATAGTCCCTTATCGTTCAACCAAGGGTTTTGGTGATCGTAGTTTTAGTGTGGTTGGTCCACGAGTTTTTAATGCACTACCAGACTCAGTTAAACAATGTTATTCTGTTGAGGCGTTTAAGTCCGCACTGAAGACTTATTTGTTTACTTTATCTGACACTGAGGTAGCAAAAATGTTTTATTAATAATTTTAACCCTCTCTTTGACTTATCTAAATTATATTAGCTTTTTGGAAGTTTTATGAACGAATTTATACATAGAACTTTATTTTGCTTTTGATATATAGTTTTAAAAGTATTTTTGTAAACTAGTTGTAGTGACACTGCTGAGTAAAAGTGTACGCTTAATAGTGGTGTTTTTAAATTTCAATTTTAATTAATTAATTAATATAAATTATTTAAAATAATCAATACTATAACTTTAATGTATAACCTAACTTGCTATTAGTTTATATTGCTCGATTAACTTTTAAAAAATTGTATAGCCTGAAGTGCAACGTGGAAAGTGGAAGGGTTGCCGCGCTCAAAATGTTCAATCTATGCCACATGAAAAGTGTTATTTCACAAAATTGCAAATTGTAATTTATCAAAACCGAACAAATTTTTGTTTAAACTCTATTTTGCGTTAAATATTTTACAAATAAATTTTAAAGTAAATAATTATTTAATTTTTTATGCTCTGTGCTCACTCGTGACTGAATTAAAAATTATATTCATGGCCATGGTTTTAGGTTGTAGGGCAATGCGTTACTGTGCCGCGCCGCGCACTCAATAAGGCTTCTCACAGCGAGATGCTTGATACATGTTTCGCATCCCTTTGGCGGCGCGCGCTTCGCGCGCGAAAAGTGGCATGCAACGTATGTCAACGAGATGCGCTACTGTGCCGCGCCGAGCTGCGATGAATTGACATCGTCAATTAATTGTTCCATATATGGACCGAGTCCAACTCGGCGCGCGTCTTGGTAGGTTGTAAAACTACAACTCTTTCAGATCGTTGCTCAGCTCTGGGAAGCAAAATAAAAGTCTAAAATCAAGTCTTCAAAGCTTTTTGTTGCGATGTGAATATGTACCATTTTTATAGCATTTAATCTATTATATTGGTTTATTCATTTTTCGAGGGTGTCTACCCTAATTACCATTGCTGAAATTATCTGTATATTGTTTGAAATATATTTCCTCAAATACACAACAAATTATCATTTAGCCAAATATGACTACATCATACAGCATACAAAATAAACCATTTATATTATTAAGCCAGGTAATTGATTTTACGTTTTAACCATCGGAATCCAATATTACCAAAAAGTATGTCAAAAATAAAATCAAAACATAACCATAATGATACAAAAATTATAAAACATGTTTACAAAAATATTTTAACATAAATCCATAAATCTCATATATCAGATATTTCTAATTAGACTCAACAGCCATAGTTTAAATTAATGAACTTCTTCTTTGCTAAATATGGATGAGACCACAGATAATCATCATTGTTACTCTTGCTCTATAAATAATTAAGACTCAGAGTTGTAATTTGATTCTACCTATCACCAGGTTAGAAACTTTTCAATGATAATGACCACAAGCAATTCCTTTTAAGATACAATTCTTCTAAAATATTCTAGATTTATCTTAAAATCATTTACACTAGAGTTCTTTACATCCACTGGTACTTGGTAGGGCATTTCAATAAGGTTTAACTCTCTCAGGAAGAAAAGCTTTATGAAGATCGTTTAATCCAGAAGATAATCGTTTCATTCCAGACATACCATAATTCTGTGGTTGCATGTCTGGGTGACATCCTCCATGGCAACATGGCAAACACCATTTGCTGCCCACTAGGCCTAGTCGGCTTAGAACATAGTTCAGGTGTAAGCTCAATCCTGCACTGCAGAGGGACCCCATTATATGTAAGCCCCTTTAGTGCAGTGGATGTAACATCCTTACTTAGGTATTGAGGTAGAGTTGGTGCCCACAAAAAAACGAAAATGAAGGAGATGAGCCCTCAGTCAGTTTATTTTAAATTTGTATTAGCTGTTTGTGAATACAATTATAGTTTCGAGAGTCCTATACAGTTTTGGGACTATTTTGTACAGTTTTGTACAGTTTTAGCATAATATAATATAACTTTTATTACATATAAAAAACTATTGCAATTCTGTAGGTTGTAATTTCAACCGGATGTTCTATCAAGAGTTTTTCAGTTCTGATTAAAGCTGTAGTAACAAGGAAATTAATCAATTTTTTATTAATAATATTTTATTAATAATATTAATTATTTATTAAAGTTGCTTGATTTTTCAGCATAGCAATGCTTACTGGGTCCAGCAATAGAATGAGAAATAGTCCAGATGATGACAGATACACTTTTGAAGTGTCTTGGGAGGTGTGCAACAAAGGTCAACAATACTTTCAACACAGTTTTTTGTGCATATTGAGATCATATAATTACAGTGTAGGTCTTGTAGTTCCTGTTGTTTGAACTTGACTAACATGCTGTATCTTTAATTTCAGTTGGCGGAATCAACACCGTGATCAGAAGCAAGGCTGCTGTTACCGTAGCTGAGCTTGGTGATAACTACTTTCTACTTGGTGAGCTATATGATTTAAATAAAGACATGTAAATAAAGACATGTACCTATTCAGTATTCATTAGTCACTTGAACTAGATCATAAAACTATAATATATATTTATTATACCATTACCCTACCATTAACCACATATAATATAAAACCAATTATATACAGTAAATTCAACTCATTAATTGAAGTTAATTTTGTTACAGTCTCCAGAAATGTGGATACAAACCCCTGTCTAATGCCTCTATTTTAGGACCCTATGTCGAGGAGAAGATGCGTACAGAGGTGGAGATAGTAGAGCCAGATGATTATTATATTAGAGCTGCTGTAGAGGCTATGAGAGATAGAGGTGTTAGGGTAAGTAATTATCTGTTATCTTCATTTCGTATCCTGTTAGGGTAAGTAATTATCTGTTATCTTCATTTCGTATCCTGTTAGGGTAAATAATCATCTGTTATCTTCATTTCGTATCCTGTTAGGGTAAGTAATCATCTGTTATCTTCATTTCGTATCCTGAATCTGTTATCTTTATTTTGTTAATATCCTAAATTGTAGCCTTAAAACGATACTTCGTCATTACTTACTGTATAATGTATATCTATGAGGATCCTCTCTGTTGTACTTTTACCTTTATCAAATCTTGTCAGGTCGTTACAGGGAGGTGGCTTATTGCTGGTAATCCATGGGTTATTCTTTTTGACTTAGGCAGCTCCTGGAAGAGGTAAACCAAACTCTTGATCATGTCACAATACTTATTTTTGTCTGTACTCAAATATTTGGTCACTAAATTTTCTCTGCTTAATCTGTAAGGTTTAGAAAACAAACTCGCTCGATTAATTATTGCAATAAATAAACCCAGCGTCGTGAAATCATCGTATATTATAAACAGATCTACCGTATACAATTAAGTCCACTGTATAAGCATTAAGCTTCTTAAGCCCTCTGAGTACAATAAATGTAGGTGTCTCAATTCTTCTCAATTAAACTCCACCGCTACATTCTGACGCTCATAACAAGGTAGTAGTTGTTATATTATAGTATGTTATATCTGGCCAACATAAAGGCCTAGTCTCAGCAATGAACTAATGGCCTAAATGGCCCGAGACCTTAATTCAGTTACATTGGCTAAGGTGCTTGAATAGCGAATGTATATTATGCATTATGTTGTGTTCGCTATATATAATTACTGTTGTCTCACCGAAATTAGATAAACATTAGTTTAATGTCATGTTAATATATGTAAGTAAATAAATATATTATGTTAGACTTGACTACGCCAGGGAGCAAGAGGTTGCAACGTATGACTATTCCGGGTTATCTTTACAGATAAATAATCTATTTATATTAAAGTATTAAATACAAGAGAATTGCCACTTTCTTTAGTACGCGAGGATGACCACATAATATAATATTGTGCTACATCACATAATATAATATTGAAATATTCCTTAATTCTTTATCGTCCTCAATAAATATATCTATTTGTAGTTATGAAAATAGTTTGATAAAAATAGTTTGATATGGTGATGATAGAAACATGTTTCAATACTCGAGCTACTGATTTAAGTTGTCAATGGAATGTGAACTTACCTTTTAGTTGAGATAAACAATGACCTTGTAAACATAATATGATAATCGTTCCTACAAATTATAATCGACTATTTAAAAACCATTCACAAGCGGTTTGTAAGCGTTTATAAACAGTGTAAACTGTAGTTTCAAGAGAATCGGCTTGTAACCCCTGAATAAGCGATTATTAGCGACAATCAGAAAATCCCATTTGTGGCAACTTGCCAAACAATACGCTGAAAAATAACATGATAAACGTTCCCACAGACGTGACGAGTGGATGAAGGATTTCTGGAATGTGTCCCACATTAGTATTCCGGACTCGGACAAAGAGACAGTAAACGCAGTTGTGTTCGGAGAGCTGGTTACCTGGTTCCTGGGGGAGGTATGTGCCTCATTCCTGGCAATTGTCCAGTTTTCCACTTCACACATTCCTGGCATTCTGCCAGTTAATTTTACTGTTACATGTGGTCCTTATTAGCTTGACAGACCAGTGATAACAAATATTAATTCGTTGTTGCGATTTTCACACTGTTATAACACGTTAGAAAAAAGTTATTCATACCTCGCCCTTGCATGCCATAACATATGGCTTGTTTTAATTCTAAAGAAAAGCTCGAACATCTCGAAAATAACTCAATTTAAACTATCACAAATTTACAAAATCCTTAAAACTCATCTCGTCTAAAATAAGGAGAAACAAGATAAGGAGAGATAAGAAAATGGAAATTAGCCTGTATTTAGTTGATCCCATTTTCCTTTGTTAACTTAATGAAAGGTATGTCTTATCAGTACAATCTGTCAGGTTACAACACGGGTAGGTGACACGATAACGGGCATACTACGACGATATAAACTGTCACGTGATATCAAAATGTTTTATCTCTGAAAATAAATTGAAATCAGAATATGGCAAAACAATTATGGTGATATCTCTGTATAGTATGTTTGCACCTTTTGAAGCCAACCTTGATGTACAGTGTTCAACTGGTATATATCTATATTATATTTTAAACTTGACGAAATCCCCCGGCAACGGGGACAAAAAACCACTGAAAATAGACCAAAATTGACCCTATGGTGAGGCCAATTTCAGCTCGAAAATGGAGTTAAAACCTCGCAATTTTTAGCTGGGTTGTAAAAAAGGATAGGAAAAGGAGATAGCATTCTTAGAATTTTGATTAAGGCTTTAGATTTTCTATAATTAACGCGTGTTGCCATGCTTTATTCTGATACGTGATACGTCATAACTAGCTCACATTTACGCTCACGATATCACTATTCATAACTTTGGTTGTCATTGATATTTTTCGATGCGGTAGAAAGTATCGTTTAGGGAATCTGGATACTTACATCTTTGTCGTCAATGTGAAATAAAATCCACACTTTCTACAGTACAGAGCTTAGAGCTAGATGATTAGAGATTAGAGAAATTTAAACATAAATTATTTTTTAAATTTCCTCGAACAAAGCTTTCGACTAGCAGGTTTCTAGTTTACTATATTTTAGTCGAATAACTGAATAAGCAGCTCACCTAATTTATTAACCTATTAACCTATTAACCTATTAACCTATTAACCTATTAACCTATTAACATATTAACCTATTAACCTATTAACCTATTAACCTATTAACCTATTAACCTATTAACCTATTAACCTATTAACCTATTAACCTATTAACCTATTACTTAAGTAAAGTGTGTGCTGAATTAAAATTATTTCAAAATGTTATTTTCGTTTTTGTCTCGTAACTTGTTAAGCAGCATCGCCCCTTTTACCGCAACTATTTGTATTATAAAGTGGAGATATTCTTTTGAGCACTTTAGTTCGTTAGATAAAATATATGTAAAGAAACTAAAGTATCTATTTAATAAATAACCTGCCAACTTCTCAGTTCAGCTCCAGGAACTCCAGTAAAAGGACGGTAGCTCACTTTCACGAGTGGCAGGCGGGGGTTGGCTGTATCCTCACTAGAACTAGAGGTAAAGTATATTTTTAGGGAGTATTGTTTCACGGTCACCTTTTGATGAACTATTTTTAGGAAAATACCGAAGTTTTGATGCTTAAATTGGGAATTATAGCTTAAAACTCAATTATGTGGTGGTTGTGATACTATTTGTGCAGAATGTGGCTGAATGTTAACCAAGTATTCAATATACGTTACCGATTATTATCAGTGGCTGAACGATGAGCCTTAAAGTTAAACAGTCTATATATCATAGACAATAGAAATTTGCACTCAAACATAGTCATTTGCACTCAATTTTAAACATAGACATTTGCACTTTATGAATTATGATAGACATTTGCACTCTACATATTACTTCACAAACTCACCCCTCCTAAAATTTGATTCTAAACCGACGGGCTGGAACCTTGGTTTTAATCTCATCATAAGCTGCAGCTTGAAAAACTGTAACACATATGAACCATCTAGACATGGGCTTAATTTTTGGCAAATTTATCAGCTAAAAGAAACATTTACATGAAATTTGATATGCAGCGTCACTTTTGAATCAAATCATCAAATTCTTGGCATTGTTTATACTTACTTGGGACGCTGGTATTATCATGGTTTGCTTAAACAATATGCAAACTTATAAACTACCATTCGTCATATTGAAATGTGGAGTGTCTATGTTTTACGATGACTCAGCTAAAACTGGCACTGTTAAAAATCGTCTTAACTGTGTATGATAGCTTTTTATTTAGAAGCGAAAAGTTAAAAATTTCCCATCTCATCACATCTTTACATAAAACTTAAATGTAGCAAATTTACAATAAAATATGCAATGCAATCAACAAAATATGTTTGTATTATTCTTTTGAACTCCTGTAGAGCTATAGATCGGGACTATATTAATATACTAGTGTAACCCGTGCCTTCGGCCGGGAATTTACTGTCACAGTTGCAATGTAAAAGTATACAACCGCATTATATATTTGATATCACGCATAATGCTGTCTTATGAAAGTATGAAATCTCCCTACAGTTAAAACAAAGCGGCCGCAAGAGTGAGCTCTGATATTACGTGGGGCTAAACTAATTACGGTACATGTTATCCTCCTCGTTCTCTCTCCCATCCATTTATGTCACATTTCTGGAACAAAATCATCAATTAAACCACTTACCACCGGCCGATTTTTATAAAATTTTCTTATGGGCTTCATCAGAGTTTTGTCGGCACTATACCGAAAAAACCAGTCCCGTAACTATTACCGTTTTTTTTGTATAACTGTTCGGAAATTACACACAGACACACAGACACACAGACACACAGACACACACACATTCTGGTGTTATTAAGTTGATTATAGATCGGGACTACATTATATATTTTGTTATATTATTTATAATATTATATTAATTGTATTATTATATTGAACTACCTGTAGGCCTGGAGATCGGGACTACATTATATATTTTGTTATATTATTTATAATATTATGTTAATTGTATTATTATATTGAACTCCTGTAGGCTTGGAGATCGGGACTACATTATATATTTTTTTATATTATTTGTATTATTATATTAATTGTATTATTATATTGAACTCCTGTAGGCCTGGAGATCGGGACTACATTATATATTTTGTTATATTATTTATAATATTATATTAATTGTATTATTATATTGAACTACCTGTAGGCCTGGAGATCGGGACTATATTCACGACGCACGCGACTCTACTCGGACGTTATTTGTGTGCTGGATCTTCGGATTTCTATAATAACATGCCTTATGTATGTATATCCTGGTGGAATGTGATGTTAATTAGCTGCATGTTTGATTAGCTGCATAATTAATTAGCTGTATAATTAATTAGCTGCATGTTTAATTAGATGCATAATTAATTAGCTGCATAATTAATTAGCTGTATGTTTAATTAGCTGCATTATAAATTAGCTGTATAATTAATTAGCTGCATTATTAATTAGCTGTATAATGAATTAGCTATATGTTCAATTAGCTGTAAAAATGGCGAATAATGTACATTATTTTTTATTTTATTATGCTGGTGTTCCAAATTTTATAGTTATCCATGTTTCGGTTTTGAGGTTTGTTAAAAACACACGTTTTAACGTTTCTAGAGAGCATGAAGGACTGCATGAAGGGTTTTATTAATTGAATCCAAACATCCATATTCCATAACTTTCCGCACGATGTAAAACTAGTGTAATGTAATATAAGTAGTGTAGTGAAGTAGTGTAATGTGAACTATAACATCCAGTGATCCAGTGTACAAGTGTAATAACACTCTAATTAGATAGTGTAACTATGTCTTTAGCAGTTCATGTCACGTACACACTGAAAATGAGTTTATCCACTCCCACTCTCCATGGGTGTCGCCCCCGTGTTCCTGCACCCTCGTGTTCCTACACCCTCGTGTTCCTACACCCTCGTGTTCCTACACCCCCGTGTTCCTACACCCTCGTGTTCCTACACCCCCGTGTTCCTACACCCTCGTGTTCCTACACCCTCGTGTTCCTACACCCCCGTGTTCCTACACCCTCGTGTTCCTACACCCCCGTGTTCCTACACCCCCGTGTTCCTACACCCCCGTGTTCCTACACCCTCGTGTTCCTACACCCCCGTGTTCCTACACCCTCGTGTTCCTACACCCCCGTGTACCTACACCCCCGTCTTCCTACACCCCCGTCTTCCTACAAATCCCGTCTTCCTAGACTCCCCGTCTTCCTACACCCCGTCTTCCTACAACCCCCGTCTTCCTACACCCCCGTCTTCCTACACCCCCGTCTTCCTACAACCCCCGTCTTCCTACACCCCCGTCTTCCTACACTCCTGTCCACTCCTGATAACTCGCTCTGATCTGTTGAGTGTTGGTGTGATATGGCGGTGTCTGCAATGTAATTATTGATCAGTAACACTTAGAAAGTAAACACACCTGGCGTTACTTGTGTAGCTTATTTTAGGAGTTATTTAGAAATTCCTGCTAGCTAAAAGCGAATTGTTGGCATTAAAAAAATACGTGCTCAGTAAGAATGAACCTAGTGGTAAAGATTAAGAAAAGAGTACTTTATTAGAATAATACTTAATGTATAACTTAATGTATAATGTATAGCGAATGACATTAATTAATAACAGCTTAATGAATAAGCTGAGGTTTGTTATTTGTGCATGATTACTTTCTCAAAAAATCAGAGAGCTTTAATTTAATTACAAAATATCTCAACATTGATCCACAAGAAGCTGTCAATGAACAATGTGAGGAATGAACAATGTCCATTCCTCACATTTTTGTCTGACATCCATACCAAATTCCAGTTTGACTGTGAAGGAGAAGCAAGGAGAAGGGGTATTCACCACCGATATTGTATGGAGATGGCAGCTTGCCATGCCGCCCATATTTTCACTACTGTATCCAGGTAATGGCATTTTTAAACTTTCAGTCTCGGGACTACCCGTATTTTGGTATGTTCATATGTTTATAAATAAAAATATTTACTTATGTATAATGAATGATACACAATACTTTCAACACTATTATATACCAAATATTTTGGGCAAACAATGGAGCCTTTTAATGACAAGATAAAGTCAAGAGACTTATGAGCCTGAAATTTTATTGGGTTGTGACCGATCGAGGAACGATGATTGTTGTTCGTTAAAAAAAAAACGTATATAAGTTATATTTGTTTGGGGACCGGTTTTTGGTACACCGGCCAATGTTTACAAAATCATATGATACATAACAATATAATTTTACGTGAATATGAAAATTGAAAATTATGATGTAACCTTATACGTTTATTCATTTAAAAAAAAACCAAAACTTTAAAAATTATATTCCTCAGAATAACACAAGATGAATCAGAACATCTGTTAAAGAGGAGACCTGACCTGATAACTCCTAACGGTCTCAACGTACACAAATTTAGGTAACTCAATAATTCTACATCCGTTAATATGGTTAACTTGATACTTTTACATCCGCAAATATGGTTACCTTCTTATTTCTACATCCACAAATATCAGATACGGGTAAGTAAATTCCTTATTGTTGTCTGGATCAACTGTTTTCAGTATTTATAATATGATTATATGCCCAATGCCCAATGCCCATGGTATGTTTTGTTACCTTACTGTTTTGGTCTGAACTAACTTATTTGGCTTTCATGATCCTTCACTATCTTAAGATACTGCACCATAGTTAAAACAAGCTACTGGGTGATTATTAGAATTAAAATAAATTAAATACTCTGGAGAAAGTTCCGTAAATTCAAGAACGGATAGTTGAACGGTTCTTTATATAACCTTCACTTAACACATTGCTTTTTTATCTGAAATCGCAACTTTCTTGAAAAAGGAATGGGTTTAAAATAATCAAAATTTTGAAAAATCAAAATGAGTTGAGAATTCATGCTGGTTTCTTGATTTTAAGATTTGTAGAAGTAATCAAACGCAGGATTAAGATTATCATTTTTAGCTTGATCTTTTTTAGAAAACCATACGAATAAATGTGATAGGTATTTTATGTATTTGATATTACATTTTCCTGTTCGCTGCTGATTACGGTGGTTTTTACTGCACGGCTCACAACCCTAATTCAATTAGTGCAGTCCTGAAACGTCTGAGATTACTGTCACAAATGCGAGGAAAAGTCCCACCGTGATTCGTCTCAGGACATAAATATTTTACATATCATGCAAAAAATATGCTTCCTAATTCCTTCCTCGAGCATAATAATGTAAAAAATGTTAAGAAATGCTGAGAATTCTGATAATATTAGATTATTTACTGGTTAATACTATAATGAATTAAAAATAGTATTAAGCTTTAGGTACGTGATTGGTTGTATTGGAGCAGGATTGTGCCAGCGATCCTGCTACATATAACGTGATATTTAGGCATCAATCTTGTAGTGTTACGATGTTTTTATACGGCGGAGGAACGAGAAATATCAAGTTCTGAAACAAAAGTATGCCAAGGATTTGTAGTGTTTAACTTTAATATTATCTGCGGTCTTATTCATTTAATCTTGTTATATAAATATGTAATTTTATAAATTTATAAGTTGGGTTATTAGTGCATCCGTTAGATTTAATATATTTATTGCATTCCTTGGAAAGGCAAGATAAGGAGTGATTTCAATGCTAATATTATTCAAAATATTACAAAATATTATACAAAATACACCCTTGGCCTTGCAAATATTGAGTATGAAATGAATTAAGAAATTAACTTACAGTTATTTCAACCAACATGATTTCTTATGTAATTAACAAAAGCGAGTGTATGATTTTGAAAGAACAACACTGTACAATAGTACCTTACCCAATATCTTACTCAATATCTTACTCAATATCGCAAATAACCTAACTACCTCTCATTAAAAAAGTTACTAAACTTGAAACCGACCCTGCAAATCTCAGACCTTGCAATTTCAGTCACGGAATTGCGCCCTACATTCTGCTACATGTAAAATTTATACACTGGATCAACTATATTGAGCTGTACATGATCAATACAGCGAAGCTTCGGGCGAAGAAAGTGTGGTATTACACCTTAACCGTCGCTGGCGTTAGACTTGATCCTTCGGATTCCTGTAAGTGCCGGTTATATGTCGTAACTATAAAGCCATGGTTGTCCGAACTAAAGCATAAGGGTGGTTATTTCACTTGATGGTCCTGCTGCAGCGCAGCCTAAAACAGCAAATAAGTAAATAAGTAAGTCATATTACGGACAAATAAATCAAGGGTTAAGCTCTCATTGTGATTAAAACGATTATTAATTAATTGGAGTGTTATAAAGTTGTTGTACTCTATAAGACTGTGTATATTCACCTACAAGCATAACTGCTTGGCGTGATGAGGTACATCTTTGATTGGTCGAAGGTCTTTCAACAACACTGTATCATCACTTTCATAGTAGTCCCGGCTTATAACGGGTTCATAGCGGTATTAAACATGTTTTTCTGGGCCCAAACATTCTACGCTCCTACTATGCTATCACTGGTCTCTTGACTAACTCCCAATCATCTGTCCATATTATATTATATATGGTAGTGTTTCTGGACAAATAGATGGTATACGATGCCCTCAGGCTAATCTCGGCGATCTTCATGCAGGCCTTCAAGTAGGATGTTCAATACTATAAGGAACAGGATCACGGACAGTGGGTCTTCCTGGAACAGGCCTAGCTCATTAGTAAATACTAACTTTTAACTTTTATTACTTTTATTTCAGTGCTATACACGAGTTCCAGAACCTACACGCAATAGCAAAAGAGAAGATTAATAACTTTGTTCAAGGTCACTTCTACGGTCACGTGGACTTTGATCTGGATAAAACTATTTACCTGTTCAGCGCTGGAAGGTAAGCTGCTAATTATTCTATTAAATATTTCATTTAATCAGCTGAACAGTTTTTAGTTAAGGTTGAGGGGTCTTGTATATTTCGTGATTTATTGTCACCTTAAAAACCAAGGAAGCTAGCGACATTCGATAATTCCACGGGGTTTCACATCACGGTTTAAATGTTATATTACTGTGGAATATTGTTAGAGATCCAGCCCGCTTACCGTCGAATACTTAGTTACAGGAAGGTATGCTCAAATCATTATGCCTAATTTATAACTTCAGTACGTGATAAATCCTGAGATTTTTGATAAATGATCCCGGTCTACCATCATAACAAATGACAATGACCCAAGACGATTGTCTGCTGCAAAACTTTAAATACTACGCTTCTGCGTTTCTTTTGTAATGAATCAAGTCTTACACGACCCACACACTATAAATTAAATTAAACACAAAATATTCAGTTTGTAACTGCAGTAAGTTATGTGTGCAGCAGCCGGGAGGACTGTTGTAAATATATATATATATATGATATAGAGGCCGGCTCGAATGAACCGCACTGGACAAATAATGTTATTATTGAGTTAAGATATTAGATTTCTCTGTGTAATGTAAGCTGGCTGATTGTTGTGAATGTGCGAGATTGTAAGGAAGCTTTGAACGTCGTGATAAAATGCTTGAAAGGTATGTGAGAAAAGTTCGAGGAATTTTGTTTTCCACGAAATGAACATAAAAACTCTGGTTTGTAGGCCCGTGCAGTGAATTTTGTAGACCCGTGAAACCAATCCTTCGGGGTCCCTTTTTACTTCCTATTTTACGGGCCTGCTCCTCTGCGGAGTTTTATCATAATGTAAATGATATTTGTTTTACTTTCCAATCATGAATCAAAACATTAGTCACCATGGAAATAACGATTTACTGATATTAATTCATCACTGCCATTCATTCATTCGTTGGTATTTACGAAGGAATGCAACCCATGTGGTTTCTAAATCCAGCTCCTATATCCACACTCTCTCTTACATTTGGGAGTTAATATCAGAAACTGAAAACTTCAATAATGTGGGCAATCTAACGGATATGAAGCCAGGGGTTTTGTTCAGTGCTGTGATGCACACTCTACGAAATTCTAGAACATTCGTGATAATGATAAACATTTATAATAATGATAAACATTTATAATAAGCTACTATATATTGCACATCTGCGAGGGCAACACTTTCAGGAGTATTACCTCTCCGTCAACGACGTCTTTGACAACCAACATATTACTACAATTGTCAACTATTGGCAACTATTGTCAACTATTGTCAACTATAAGCAACTATTGTCAACTATTGTCAACTATTGTCAACTATTGTCAACTATTGTCAACTATTGTCAACTATTGTCAACTATTAGCAACTATTGGCAACACGCTCTAAGCGTCTTATTGTACCCGAGGAACTGGACCTAACCGGAGTGACCTGGTTTCTATCCTCTAGCTGTTCTAGCTCCTAATCTCTGGTTATCATCCTCCTGGCATTCGGGCATTTAGTTGATCCCCTTCATTCCACCTACCACTTTACACTTTACTTCCATTATCTTCTCGTAGATTTCCCCCGGCATCCTCTTCCTGGAGGGTGCCACACCCCAGAGGCAGACAGAGAAAGGAAAAGGAAAAAGCGGCTCCTATTTTGTGTTATAATATGATATGTTAGGTTTGAATGTAAAATAAAATACATACTTTGCATTTGATATTTTTAAATTGACTCTTATCTTGTGTTATAGAGATCTTATCTCTAGATTATACATACAGATATATCTTATCTCTTATATTATAGAGATTATCTTTATCTGATATGGGCACCTTTTTTTAAACGGTTACATTGTCACGTACAGGCAGGATAGTAAATATTATATTTCTTTCTTAATAAATTCTTTTAAACAAAACAATTTGAATAGTTCAAACATTGAATGAAACAAGGTATTCTCCTCTTCCCAAGTATGAAGGAATATAAATCGCTGATGTGAATAGAATACAGAATGTCATTGTATATAACAGAACAGTATACATAGTGTATGGATCATGCACATTACCCACTTAAAAATACAAATAGTCCCCTCACTCCTGTGGTTCTCCATCATCAATATTCATCACGTCGCCCTATTCAACACTATCAGAGGGTGCGAGCTCTGTGTACAATATGCAATTTACACCACCGGTCCCTTCGAGTGTGATGAATCATGAGCACTGCATATTACCTGGTTACCTGGTTACCTGGTTACCTGGTTACCTGGTTACCTGGTTACCTGGTTACCTGGTTACCTGGTTAACTGGTTACCTGGTTACCTGGTTACAGTCAGGAGGTAACCTGGTTACAGTCAGGAGGTAACCTGGTTACAGTCAGGAGGTAACCTGGTTACTGTCAGGAGGTAACCTGGTTACTGTCAGGAGGTAACCTGGTTACTGTCAGGAGGTAACCTGGTTACCTGGTTACCTGGTTACCTGGTTACCTGGTTACCTGGTTACCTGGTTACCTGGTTACCTGGTTACCTGGTTACCTGGTTACAGTCAGTAGGTTACCTGGTTACAGTCAGGAGGTAACCTGGTTACTGTCAGGAGGTAACCTGGTTACTGTCAGGAGGTAACCTGGTTACTGTCAGGAGGTAACCTGGTTACCTGGTTTCCTGGTTACCTGGTTACAGTCAGGAGGTAACCTGGTTACAGTCAGGAGGTGACCTGGTTACTGTCAGGAGGTAACCTGGTTACCTGGTTACAGTCAGGAGGTAACCTGGCTACCTGGTTACAGTCAGGAGGTAACATGGTTACTGTCAGGAGGTAACCTGGTTACCTGGTTACTGTCAGGAGGTAACCTGGCTACCTGGTTACAGTCAGGAGGTAACCTGGTTACTGTTAGGAGGTAACCTGGTTACCTGGTTACAGTCAGGAGGTAACCTGGCTACAGTCAGGAGGTAACCTGGTAACATACTTTATATTCTGTAAACTTTTGTCAATAGACCATATTATTTAAGATCATTGTTTGACCGCATCAGTGTTGTCTTACACATTTATTGTCCACATTCAAACTCTAAATATAGCTCATTCTGTCTTCTGTAAGCTTGAATAACTCTGTTTATATATCGAATTGGTGTTGTTAATAGTGTTTCTCAAGGACAACTTACTGTGTAAATTGTAAATGTTAAGATTCATGACTTGGCTTCTACTGCTGACTGCAAGTTGTCACTATTATTCTGCAAGTCGTATCCGACAAAGCAAAACTTGCCTCCAATCTGGTGTATTCAATACCGATTTATAATACTAGAAACAAAAAAAGGAGATAAGAACAGTCAACAAAATTAATAGAACGAAAGATAAAGATAGTAACAAAAATCAACAAATGAATATATAAATTTAACAAAAACCCATATAATGATCTGACACATTAACAAATCCTAACAAACTTGACAGAAAGTTGGCAGAAAGCCAGCCAGGCCTGTCTTTTCACCACCCTAACTCCCCAGAGACGAGTTTTACGAGTCCTACTGTCGTCACACATAATATATATAATATGGTATTTTTAACAAAATTATAGTACAGCTTGGGGGGAAGCCAAGGGGTATTTTGGGGTATTTTGGGGTATTTTGGGGAATGGGTTTTGGAAATCCCCCATAATACCCCAAAATACCCCTTGGCTTCCCCCAGCTTGATACTACTTTTATATCTCCCGTCAGTTTATTATCATTATGTGATACTACTGTGTAATATTTGGGCTGATAACACTAGTATTTACCTTAGAGTTACACTGTGCAGTAGATAATGACTAATGAGTTGGTCACAGTTACTGATTACTCATTTTAGCATCTTTAACTGATAATAATACGTAACCAGCATCGTTCACATCACATACATCACTTCTATGCTGTTATAAATATATTTAGGTCACATATTCGTGCAGATATGTCACGTGACATGTTTCACAACTAAAATAGACAGATAGGCCCCAACTCAGTCGGTTGAGGATCCAACAGACTCATATACATATGAATATATGTATATATATAATATTAATATGCCATTTTCACGGATTAGTTCACGCAAGTAATAACAGCATGACATTCCAATGCTTAATACTTAGTGCAAGCTCCAGGACCGTAGATTTGTGCAAGGCCTAGATAATTCTGCTCAAAGTAATCCACAATTCTCATAAGATCAGGGTAAATGCCAGGAATATGCCTTTTTCAAGGTCCACTTCACGCCACTATGATATAACACAGAAGTGGTCTCATTTTAGTCATAATTTAAACTTGCAGAACTCCTCAGGTGTGATACTTCACATTTTAATTCTCGCGGGATTAGCCGTCAAACAGTCTGACGGCTAGTTGCTACCTAGCTAAAAAACACCTTTGTTAAAGTTATATTTCCAAATCTTTGTTTAGCATGATGCTTTTATTTCTATCTGACCTAGTGTTTGCAATAATATTTTGCGGTCATGCGTACAATGGTTAGGTTAGCATAATATTGCTTCCAGTCATATTTCAAGTGACTTTGTTATCAAGTTTTTAACCTGAGGTTGCGAGAAATTACTATTTCTTTAATATTTCTTTAATATTAAAGAATATTCCGTTACACTGAATCTTTAAAAACTCCCTCTAAACCCAGTTAACCCAATTAGCATCAGACATGTCCCACTTACTCCGCATCATAACGGTTGCAGTTTCCCTGGTAATAATCACTCAACAAACCACTCTCAAGATCCTCAGCACCCCTAACAACACAGGTTCCCAACCTGGTTCCCAACCTGGTTCCCAACCTGGTTCCCAACCTGGTTCAGGTTGCCGTGAACCCACCATCTGCTCGGGAGTATCCCTCCACTCGGACCCTATCCACCCTATATACTGCTGGTGGGACTCCAGCTTCTACCGGGGCCGAGTAGGGAAGCGTGTGGACATGTCCGGGTGTGGTTTTATAAGCACTGCAGTGGTCACCACTACATCCCGGACTCTGAACGGGGAGAGTACGGGAAGTTGTCCGGGATTGTTTACCAGTCACGTGACCGTGTCTTCTTTTAATGTGTACTCAGTAGAGGAGTTGAGTGAGGAGGAGATAGGGGAGATTATGTGTGATGTACACTGGATTGCTACTGGTTACTCTGCTTGTAGCGAGGAATAAATGAAGTAAACAAAGGAATTTGGTTATTAATTTCATTGCTCGTGTCTTGTTTATATTTTTTACTTTTCATATGCCATTTTTATCAAGTTTGTTTTATTTTTACTGTAAATAATTTAAATAAGAAGCTCATTACATAACACGCAGCACACCACAACTCTACTTAATTCGTGTATAATATATAGACACGAAAGACTAAGTATCACTACTCAAATGTCTGTAAGGCAGACAGTCTACATACTTAACTTTCAAGACATACTAATAGTACATAAAATCTGAGTGTAGTTTAAATGCACCCCATTTGCTTAGCCAATGATCCTTGACTCACTGTGTTAAATGTACAATGTTACACATATTATGTTAGGGAGGGGTTTGGATCATTAATTCCTAGCATTCCTTGTATATTTCTTGGATCAAAACAGAATTAATTAATATTTCCCCTTTAGCATAGCAGTGAAATTCATGAATATTTAAATTGCAATGCTCATTTTGACATACTCTAGGAAAATTTATTCTGGATATTACATGCAGCAACAAGTCAACCAGCTAGAATTACATTTTTAAAGAATTTACAGCTTTATTAATATCCAATATTTATTAAGAATTTACAGGATTTGTTCGAGAACTCCTAAGATTGTATGCATTGCTTATATATAAGGTTAAACGCAGCGAACTCCCTAGATTGTAAGCAGTGCAGACATTCTAGATTGTACACGGTGCCAGTATTCTAGAGTTTTCTCCGGTTTCCCTTAGTGATTAGGGAAGCTCAAGCTCACCATTCTTAATGAAACTTCTACCGTGATTTCCATATCCCCAGCTGAATGGAATGTGTACCCGCTTCGTTTTTATAAAGCAGAAAATTCTGATAAAAACATTTTGATACTCTGTATGACTGTTTGATGGTATTTGTGATGTTCCTACAGCCTACTACTACTACAGTGATACCTAACTGTTCAAGTAGCTGTGCTTCCTAAAATACTGCCAATTTCAAAATGATATAGGGGGCCTTTGTCCACTTAGAAATGTGAGCCACACACACAGAATAACATGCCACACACATAACATGTTTGAATACGTGCCATTTTTTGAGACAGCCACTTCAAATCAACATGTGTTTGAAAGAGTGAGAATTAATGTTTTTGGGATCAAGTTATTTTACTTTATGTTGGAATTCTTTAGGCTAGTTCAATCCTATTATATTATCCCAGTGAGGGTGTGTAACACGTGTGAGCGAGTTTAATGTAGGTCCGTTGTACGTTGTGGTCTGGTAGTGAGAGATACAGTATATTAGGAGATATCATGTTACTTTTTTAATGTCATTTAGTTGAAGTTAGTGGTGAAATCTCTTCGTTATGGCGCCTCCTTAAGAAATGGGCAATGTGTTGTTTGAGTGGTATTGTGAGATTATGCATTGTTGGTGAGGCATTCTAAATGAAATGGTCTCACAATTAATGAGTACCCACGGTGTTGGTTACTTTAATCGTCTTAAAGTCAACAATTTACAACATTGTTGTAAATATTATTGAGCAAAAGTCACATACTTAGACAGATGGTTGGATTAATTAAACACTATTCTCAAACAAATCCTGTATGTCCCTCCTGGATGTCCCTCTATCCCAGTGTAAGGAACTTTAACCGGTCTAACTCACCATACATTGCAAACACGGAGTATTGTAATAATATAATAACAAGGTGACGAACAGGTATCCCAGCGTAACACATTTTGTGTGGTCATGTGACCGAGTGTGAGATGAAATTAAACTCTCTCCTGGAATTAAACTCTCTCCGTCTCGACTGTGATGGCACCGTGATAATTCCTCAGGATGCCACCATATTTAAATGGAATTATTTTCTTGGCACCTTGGACAGATTCGACACGGGGGACTAGTCATTGGGGTTACTGAAAGTAAAGATCGTGACATTCTAGTCTGTTCGTGTATTAATATTGAATTAGTGTGAATATGCAGTCTATAAAGTCACGAACGTATTCCAACAACATCATATCATATTTCTCGCCGTTATTACCATGTTATTGGCCATTTCGGCCATGTTAGTTACGTGACGCGCGAAGCAAACCATATGTACAAATTTTGACTGTCGTCACAAATTTTACCACATGATTGAATAATAATATAAATTGCGCGCATAGTGCTGCGCAGATTGTGCGATTTCCCCCTGATTCAAGACTTTTCAGAAACGAGTATTTTAACAAAGGAGTGGATCTGTTCCTGGAAGGATTAGCAAAACTGAACTACTTTTTGAAGCGGGATAATTGTGATGTCACTGTCGTTGGTAATACAAATTTTATAATATTGCAGATTATAGAAACGGAATTAGTTTAGAATATCTGTTCGTGTGAGAATTAACTCACAAAATTGCATACGTATGAAAATTCCATTCTCATTATCTGAATTCCAACGTTCACTGCATCGAACTTGATTCAAACTAGCAACTTATAATTATCAAATATCGCAATTGGTGAGTGTCTGTTACAAAAAGCGCTAAAATTCAAAACTACAATTTCAGCGTTCCTTATATTCCCGGAGGAAACAAACAATTACAACATAGACTCTCTGAACGGCCAGGCTCAGCACAAGAAGCTCAAGGAAAGTGTTGAAAAGATACAGAAGAGTATCGGCGACAGAATCTTCCAGACCGTCCTCAGGTCAGTTTCGCCCGGTCTCACGACGGTGCCTCTTTTTTAAAAACAATTTCTATAATTGATCATATAATTCATAATTTAGCTAACAAGATATTTCATTACCCAGGGGCCAGCTACCAACAGAGAAACTGTTGACACGAGATGACGAAGTGCTCCTCAAGAACTACCTCTACCATTCCAAACCTTCCTCCCTTCCACCTATCGTCACCCATAACTTAGTCAACGAAAGGGGCAGTGAAATAATGAACCATATTAAAAAAGTTCGACTGTTCAACCATCACGCTGATAAAGTCAAGGTGACCATCTCATACAGTGTCCTTCAGTGACTGAGCAATTTGTTTCTTTCAAAACTTTTGCAATTGACGATTCCAAATACTTCTACCATCCAATGATAACCGATTACACAAGAAATTATTCTCCGCATACGTTCACACAAGACATTATCCGCAGGTAATCTACCACCCAGAGTTCCTCTCGACAACAAGTCCTCTCCTCAACATAGACTACCCGGAGTTTGTGAGGGGTTGTCATCTGGGAGTGTTCCCTTCTTACTACGAACCGTGGGGCTACACTCCCGCTGAGTGCACTGTCATGGGTACACCGTTTATATCTTGTAGAATATTATCTTGTGTTTGACATTATAGCAATTCAATGAAGCTGATTTAAATTTGATGAAGTAATACTTCACAGGTCCTTTACCGGGTCACGCCAGACGGTACTCTGTTTTTATAGTTCGGTTCGATAGGAGTCCCAATTTAGATTCTAGTTTCTCTTCCAAATTGTACTCCTGAACACATGTCACATGTCCTGTTTGAGGACACGTGATGCGCGTCACGAGCCCACGTGACCCCCACGTGGTAGTATAACACGTGTCACCTGTCCTCACTGACAACAGCTTTAGAGGGCACCCACACACTCTCCCGTACATTCCTACTCGCCCTCAAACTGTGGATCCTGTAGATCCGCTCACTGGCACTGCTCAGATCCTTAAGAGTGATCCTGAACTTGGTGCACTTGTTGAGGTCTAGCAGTAGGTGAGGGGAGGCGGTTACCGAGGGAACCATCACAGAAGCAGGCACTAGGTTGGTGCTGTCTTGCGGAGGGATGTTGTTGTGAGGGTAGTTCAGGCTGATTGGTCGTGCCAGGTAAAGTTTCCGGGGGACTATTTCCAGGTTATGAGGTTTGTTGGGGTTGAGAGGAGTGGGGTCGTCTGGTTTTGAGTGGTGGAGCGGTCCAAGCTTCGGTTTGTGTGTCAGCTCGCTAAAAAGAGGGAATCTCAGAAGTTTAAATTAATCAAAACACAAAATTAAATTAATGAAAAACAACCTAGCTTTATGAAACAACATAAGGGACCCTTAGTTTTCAAAACGCTTTATAATATGAATGTTACCTCTTAGAAGATCTTGTTTCCGATGTAGCGACACTGTATCTAGTACTATCAAACGTCCAACGAAACACATAATCACTGTGGATTAGAAGGGTAATTGTTGAGATTTTCAATATATTTTATGTTTTCAAGTTATCATATTGTAGTGCATAATCAAAATAATAGTGAAAGAATTACTTAAATAGATTATCTTTAAACTAATTTTAATATTGGTTATCATAACTTCATTACACAACAACATGCTCTAATGCCGTAGTACATACATATTCATTACACTGGAGCTTACACAGTGTAATTTCCTCCAGTCTGAGCCGCGTACGTTTATTATACACGTTTTATATATGATATAGGCGCGCGGCGCAGACTGGATAAAATTACACTGTGTAAGCTCGATCCAGTGTAATGTAATATGTATGTACAACATGCTCTTATGATCACCTGACATTAGTAAGGCTCCTGGACAGGGTCCTCTTACAGTAATCCTCGTAGTACGGAGCGTAGTGTTTGTACAACATCTGCCTCTCCGGCGTCTTCCGTCGGAATTCCGGAGTTTTCCTCCGGAGATCATGTTTAGGAGTTTTTAGGTTATCCAAGTCCGGATAAGTTTCCGGATCTTCACTTATGATGATTTGGGGCTTTGGCTGTATCGTTACTTTTTGGGAAGGTATTCGTGGAGTTGGTTGTGTTCTCTCAGATATAGTATTTGTTGTTGTGATATTTATTGACGTGGTTTGTGTGTCCTCACATTTTGTGGTATTTGTTTTTGAGGAGTTTGGTCTTATCTTGAAGGGGAAGAAGTCTCTAACTTGAGCTTCTATCGCCATTAATTTGGGCAGCTTGTTCTTTGTTTGTCGCTTCGCACTTTTACGGGATTTCTGTTTGGTGTGGAAAAACATAGCCATATCCCTCCCTGTACACTGAGCGTTTAAGCCGAGTTTATGACAAAAAATTACCAGTCGCAAAAATGAAACGCACCTCAATCAAGCTAAACGAATGAATAATAGTCGATGTTAAAGAGATTTTGATTGTAACTGATAACACATATTCAGTGGTCAATATGCCGCCACCTGCTCTATTATGACGGATGTAGATCTAAATTAAGATGCAGTGTGTGAAATACTTAGTCACAGTGGTTATTATATTCAGTCAAATAGTCGAGCAGGAGCTACACATATTGATTGTGTCTCCTGGACGCTGCTTTTGATGCGGCTATCTCACTTTTAATTAACAGTCTGGTTAACAAGGGTGCTGTAGTGTTTTTTAGGGAGCATCACCACTCTCGACAGTTGACAGAAAAAGTAAAACAAGGCAAATAACTGGTGAAAACTAAATGAAAATAATCGACGTTTTGGCTCTCATTGGCCTTTTTCTAAGATTAGAAAGGATCCTAAGATAAAGAAGCGAAAAAAGTTAACTTAACCACACTAACAGGGGAAGTTAAGGTTTAACAACTACGTTTGAAAAGCAGACTAACTGAAGAACGAACCCTCTGACTACGATAGAAACCACTCATCACTGTGAAAACTGCTAAACTACTTGGGGTTCTATTGTCCCATATTATAGACCCCCTTCTATTGTCCCATATTATAGACCCCCTTCGAAGAATAATAATAGCTCGTCCTTTGTCATATTAGCTTAACTACCTATTATGTCTGTAGTATTTTGATGGTGTCAAAGGCAGCCATCCTTACAAACTTTGTAAACATTGATTTGCTGCTCAGCTGAAAAACTCAACAAAGAAGCTATCAATCATTGAAATGGTAATCATCAACAAACAAATCGGTGTGAAACACAAAGCGTGAACCCTAATTCACCGGGAAGTATGTCGAAAAGCAACTGTACGGCTACACAAGCGTGTACGTCGAAAAGCAACAATGCCCGTCCCTGAAACTAACAAAAACATGCGGTGCTTCATGTCATTTCCGAAAGTAGTACTTCATCAACAAATGAAATACATGTCCGAGAGACCGTTTGCAGTACACGCATCATTAACTTTAGACCTACATAGAATAACAACTGCATATCACGAGAGCGTACAGTGTAGCTCAGTACGAACAGTGACAAGGTGCTTGCCAACTTCTCGTACTTTACAAATTAGAAAAGATTGGTATGGTGGTTTTTTATGGCAGTATGTGAAATGTTGATTAGATACTGCAATGAATTTGGAGGGAAACGTGTTGGGAGTAAACTGATTAGTCGAGTGCGTGATGTTTTTCGGCGGAATATTCAGCTGGTTTATGTGATATACGGGTCATTGAGAATAAGCCATCATAAAGTCAGACTGCGACAGTGTGACTTGTAAAATCAATCTTGTGATATTTATTATTAATTATAAAGGGTATTAATCAAAAACCTAGAGAATTACCAATCTGTTTTTAATTATAACCGAAAAACTAGATAATTATCTATTTGTTTTGATAAAACTTGACCAATCCTTGTTCAGGAATCCCCTCGATAACGACCAACCTGTCCGGATTTGGTTGCTTCATGGCGGAACACATCGCCGACCCCACAGCTTACGGTATCTACATCGTGGACAGAAGGTTCAAATCACCTGAGGAGAGTGTTGATCAGCTTGCTAACCAGATGCTTTGTTTTGCTAAACAGGTTACTAATCAGATAATTTGTCCACTAACAGTAACAGTAACTGATCTCATTACCTGAAAATTTATGCTTTTGCTGCTACTGTGTAACAAGGTTTGCACTTGTCCTACATATCTTGACGATATACGTAGACGGAGCGAGTATACAGTAATGGGCTACTATTGTACTTTTAGTTTTACACCGATCCGATTTTAACTTTTAAAGAATTGTTTTGTGCGGGTATGGGGACCCCTTAACCCTGTTCACTCACTATCGCGGGCAAGCCCACGTGTCACCCCACGTGTCATCCCACGGCCCACGTGTCACCCCACGTGTCATCCCACGGCCCGCGTGTCACCCCACGTGCACGATTTGACTGGGCGAGTCAAGTAGTGCCGGCAAGTGTCCGACCCTGAGGGGTTCCCAGGCTGCTATAACAGCTGAATGGGACCGCCCTATGGATTGCTCACCAGGCCTTATCTTATTCCGATAAGTTAACATTGTTTTACACTACAGATAATCTCGAACTTCCTCAATTAGAATAAACGAGGATTCGGTTTATATACACAACCCCGTTCTAGAAAAATTTGCGTAACATTTAAGTCAATAGATTATCAATTTCGTTATCATTGCAGACACGACGACAGAGAATAATACAGAGGAACAGAACAGAGCGACTCAGTGACCTCATGGATTGGAACAGTCTTGGAAATGTAAATTCCTTCTTACTATTACGTGAAATATTTCAATCTCCAATTTTATGTGCACAGTTTAATTAAAAGGAAATTCTTTTGGAGGGTTGAAATGTTGATCTTACTAATTGTTCCTGTTCCCAGTACTATGTCCGAGCAAGGCACATGGCACTGAAAGCTCTGGATGTCACCTACAATATACCGACCGTTACCTTGGGAGACATCAGTGGGGCACTTGATAACGGACCTGACTACAAGGTTACAACTTCATATGTTTGGTTCCGCAATTTGTTCACTTTTTAAATACTGTCTGTTGGCTGGTGTGTCTGTTAATGTATAATTCAATGAATTATAAAGATTATATCACCCCATAATTGCTGAATTTTCATTCAGAACATTTTTCGCGATAAACAATTTCATTACATACCGTCACCTCAACATTGAAAATTTGCTAAAACTGGTATCTTTTCAGTCCCACTCCCCAAATAGCTTCCGATTCCCACGACCTGCCTCGCAGCCCCCTTCTCCCACTCATTCCAGAAGAAGTAGTGTTAACATGGACAGTGATGAAGAAAATGAGGACAGGCAGATGATCAAGGTAAAGCACGTGATGTTATAATATTACGTGACGTCATCATATCACGTGACGTAATAAGTAACGTGACCTCAGCACGTGACTAATAAGTTATACTGTATTTTCTCTTACTGCTTAGGCCTTAGATTATGATATTTACTCTTTACTATGGCCATGTACTCTAGTAGCAGGGAATAGTTGAGTGTGCACTTCGATGTACACGATTTCTGACAACACAGGGTTGTTTGTTAGATCATTCTTAACCAAAATCGTTTAGGTACGCAATTTGTGTCGCTAGACATAACCCTACAGGGCAACTTTTCTAAATTACCCTCAGTCGCGTATACGGGATTTTTGTATTTCAGCTCCTGAAGGTCATAGAGACTTAAATTTTAGCTTAAAATTACCGCAATGGCCATATTTATATACAAGTTATGAAGCAATATAAGGTCTCCAGTGCTTTGTTTTATAGATATTGACAAAAAACTGTTTTTTGGCTCAGCGAACCAAAAATGGGACTGAATTTTGGTAACTTGAACTAGGAAGATCGGAGAGACTTGAATTTTAGCTTCAAATGAGTGCAAACATCACATTTATATACAACTTATAAAGCAATATAAGCCCTTTAATGCTTATTTGTTAAGATATTGACAAAAATCGGTCATTTTGGCGACACGCGTGAGGAAAAATATCAAATTGGGCAACAACTTTGGTCTTTTTTTGACCAGTTTTGTGCTCAAGTTATTAAAATGTGCTTTGATGTTGTAGATCGGGTGTTTTCTTCCAATATGGGTTTCGGTATAAATCCGGAAGCACCCGGTTCATGGGTGATAGGGGTTAAAAACCCTAAAATGTCAGGCGATGGGCGAGACAATTGTCTGAATTTTGTTATAAAAACACTTGCACTCTTTGGTAGGGTTTGCTTTTTTCTGCTACATCGATCCGATTTCTAACTACTAATCATCCTCCACTACATCATTCTCTTTTAGATACATGATTTCTATAAGTTCTTAAAGGTACATCCGGCATGATGTAAAGTCTATATCAAAGCATTTTAATGTGGTCTTAACAACTTGCAAGATATTCAAGTTCACTAATAAAATAAAGATTGTAGGTTATCCTTCTTTTACATAATATTGAGCAATTGTGGGCTTTTTGAGGGAGAGGCTATAAAATGGCCAAATATAACTTTAACGTAAACGACCCAATAATAATATTAAACGTAGAATGAAACTAATTAAAACTTATACAGATTCATGGTATCCTGTTTCAAGACGCTTGCTCCTGATTTTTAGCAACAATATCAACTGACCCCACGACGTTGTAATATAATTGTGGGTAGACAATCATTTGATCTATAAGTTTTGAACGGTAGTTTGTAAAAATAATTACATTCTACAAACATTATACGCTCCTACTATGCAATTACTAGCCTCTGGACTAACTCCCAATCATCTGTCCATATAATGGTGTTTCTGGACAGATAGATGGTGTATGATACCCTCATGCTAATTTCAGCAATCTTCATGCAGGCCTTTTTCTCTTTAGTGTTTACGATCAGGTGCAGTGGTTCATAAAGATTTGGAGGATGCAGTTGTAAATGCCTCGAACTGCTACTGTATGGAGCTTGCAATCTCTTCTGTCAATTGCTGATATCTCTTCATATTATTTTCTCTTGATCAGAAAAGTTCTCTTCATTCAGATGCACATTCTTCGCTTTATCTAAATAGATCACTACATCTGGTCTCAGTGGTATTACACTAGTTAATGTAATGTCTAACAATAACGTTTATAAGTGCTAAAATTTCGAACTAGCGGGCCATATTCGGAGGAGAAATTTGGGACAGTTTTTTGCTTGGAAATACTGATTTAATCGAATTTTAACCACAAAAATGACTCCCAATAATATTCTTATGGAGAGTGTGGATAAATATTAAATATTTAAAATAATACAGGTTTAACTATGAAGTTGCGTCAATAATCATGTAAAGAATAATAGATAACCTACAATCTTCGTTTGGTAAACCGATTTGGTATCTTTCCGCACATGTGTAGCCAAAATTACTCGATATGTAAAAGAACGATAACCTACAATCTTTGTTTTATTAGTGAACTTGAATATCTTGCAACTTGTTAAGACCACATTAAAATGCTTTGATATAGACTTAACATCATGCCGGATGTACCTTTAAGAACTTATAGAAATCATGTATCTAAAAGAGAATGATGTAGTGGAGGATGATTATTAGTTAGAAATCGGATCGATGTAGCAGAAAAAAGCAAACCCTACCAAAGAGTGCAAGTGTTTTTATAACAAAATTCAGACAATTGTCTCGCCCATCGCCTGACATTTTAGGGTTTTTAACCCCTATCACCCATGAACCGGGTGCTTCCGGATTTATACCGAAACCCATATTGGAAGAAAACACCCGATCTACAACATCAAAGCACATTTTAATAACTTGAGCACAAAACTTGTCAAAAAAAGACCAAAGTTGTTGCCCAATTTGGTATTTTTCCTCACGCGTGTAGCCAAAATGACCGATTTTTGTCAATATCTTAACAAATAAGCATTAAAGGGCTTATATTGCTTTATAAGTTGTACATAAATGTGATGTTTGCGCTCATTTTAAGCTAAAATTCAAGTCTCTACGATCTTCCTAGTTCAAGTTACCAAAATTCAGTCCCATTTTTGGTTCGCTGAGCCAAAAAACAGTTTTTTGTCAATATCTATAAAACAAAGCACTGGAGACCTTATGTTGCTTCATAACTTGTATATAAATATGGCCATTGCGGTAATTTTAAGCTAAAATTTAAGTCTCTATAACCTTCAGGAGCTGAAATACAAAAATCCCGTATACGCGACTGAGGGTAATTTAGAAAAATTGCCCTGTAGGGTTATGTCTAGCGACACGAATTGCGTACCTAAACGATTTTGGTTAAGAATGATCTAACAAATAACCCTGTGTTGTCAGAAATCGTGTACATCGAAGTGCACACTCAACTATTCCCTGCTACTGGAGTAATGTGATCAATTGCTAAACAATAAGCTTGTTAGCGAAGTCAGTTCACCCATGAGACATTTAATGAAAATATTTCAGAACATCACCAAAACGTTTGGAGTGGATGATGTAAACGGACAGAATAGGTCACTCGGTGACATCATGGACATCAAACAAGATGTAATTGAATTAATTAATTAATTAATTAATTCAGTTGAATTGTATACGTTCATTGTCATTTAGTTTAGCTGGTAAAACGTTTAATTGTTGAGTGTTGATGTCGTGTAAGTTTTAGCTGCTGCGATGGTCCACAGATATTTCCAACCTCCAATGTCTCAGGTCTTGTCAGAGGCGATGACGAAAGTGAAAACGAAGGAGAATAAGAAAGGACTTCTGAGACAACTCTCAGGTAATTTAATTAATTAATTAATCAATTAAATCATTCCACAACATAAATCTTCATGAATTTGTCTTCCAAGAAAACTTATGGATTAGCTTTGAATTTAAACGGTAAAATTGTTATCCCCAAGATTGTTGAAGCTACGTCAGATTTTCAGTGGTACTGAAGAAAATTGTATTTGATAATAAACTAAGTTATATGATTTATGGGATTCCAGTCAATAGTATTATTGAGACACAGAATTAATAATATAACAGTATATATCCGGCGGCTGTTTAGGCGACGTCATATTTCCTTGCAGTCTTGGAGGAAATTGTCGTCACGTACCCTCCCAGCAGCAATGAAATGCATGGGTTACACATGAACGTGAGGTGGTTAGCCGGTATTCAAGCTCAGAATCACATGATCTTTTTATAGCATGAAAGTGAGCCATATATTGATGTTAACTATTTACTATCATTACTACCGGCTTCTCTGGGTCCTACTTTACTCAATCACCTAGTTTCAGGGGACTCAACTCAAGAATCTATCGCATAACTATAAATCTATATAACTTACTTTTCTAATTGTTAACCTTTTTAAACGCAGTACCGTGTTTATCCGCCGTTAAAATAGCCAATACGACAGGACTGGTTGCATCATGCTGCATGTACTGTGTAGAGACATTGTATTTGTTAGATTTACAGCGTATGTAGAATCGTAGATACAACGTGTTCGTTTCTCGTGTTCGACAAAGTGCTGTACTATCAAATATAGTATTATGTAGTTATAGCAGTTTCAGATGTCGCGCAAACAGTTTTGTATCCACTAAAGCACTAAGGACGTTAATGACTATTGACTGTATTTGCTAAATCGTTCATTGTCGACATCTACTTAATTGATATTGTACAGCAACACTAGCTCTTAAAGTCTTAAGAAAGAAAATTACATCTGTACCGAGAACGTTGTTAAAATAGATGGACTATTGTTGATCGGTTTCTTCTGAAATCTGAATCTTTGTTGACTCCATTAGAGTGTATTTGATCGGTCAGATCCAGTCAATCTATTGACAACTGCAACCATTAAACATACTTACATAACATGCTTTGCTACAAACAGTAAACATGCCGTATATCATAACATGCCGTGCTACAAGCAGTAAACATGCCGTATATCATAACATGCCGTGCTACAAGCAGTAAACATGCCGTATATCATAACATGCCGTCCTACAAGCAGTAACTTGACTTAAGGCGGGTAGTATTCCCGAGATCCATTGACAACAGTTCTCCACAGCTTTCTGTCCTCCATCAGTCTAGCTATCTCATCTACTGATTTCAGCCCAGTATCTGCTTTTAGGTTATCTAGTAGTGTTAACTTGTTAAGTAAGGTCGCCCCCTGTTAGTATGCCCATGACTCGGCTTCCAGAGGATCAGTTTGTTCAGTGTCAGCTCTGGATGTCGGTGAGCACTGAGCATTACCTGCAAGTCTGAGCCTTCGTTGGGTTATCTTGGAGCTGACTTTGGGAAGATCACCGTACAGGCTGTGGTTGCTGACATGGTCTCGATATTGATTGATGTTAAGGGCCATTCTTAACATTCGTCAACCATCAACCATCTTCTCTAGCCTTTTCGTCATAGTCCAAGTCTCGGAACCGTATAGAAGCACCGACTCGACTAGTGCTGTGAACACTCTGGTCTTGATAGACTTTCTAAGGTTAGATTTCCAAAGTTTTTTGAGAGTGTGGCATGCTCCCCATGCTCTTCCTTTCCTAACCCTGATATCACTCTCACTGTCTCTGATTCTAGAACCAAGATAGGTAAAGTCTTCCACGTGCTCTATTGTGTTGTTACCCAGGGACTTGATGGTATCAGGGTTCTCGATGTTCTGAGTAATGAATTTGGTTTTCCCTTCATTCATTTTAAGTCCCACTGTAGCAGCAACTCTTTCTACCTCTAGCATCAGCATCTCGGCCTCCTTTACAGGGTGCTTGCTTAAGGCTTGTCTCATGCAATAGTCAAGGGCTATAATGAACAAGTATGGTGCTAATGTATCCCCTTGAAGAACTCCTGCCAGGATATCAAATAGCTCGGTATCCCTATCTGGTGTTATAACTTTGCCCTTCGTGTTTACATAGAGTAGATTAATGATATCTACAATACTGTCCGGTATTCCATAGGCCTTTAGTATTTGCATCAAAATTCCCCGGTGAAGTGAATCAAAGGCCTTCTTAAAATCAACAAACACCATAGCTGCCGGTAAATTTCTCTGTCTAGCCCCTTCTAGAATCCTTCTGAGTGCCAAAATGTGACTAGTAGTGGACCGTCCTTCCCTAAGTACCCCCTCTATAGCCGGCTGGATCCTATTAAGCACCATTCTATTAAGAGTCTTAGCTACAAGTGAAGTCAAAGATATCCCCCTCCAGTTTCCAGGGTTTGTCAAGTCACTGATCTGGCGCAATACCATCTGTCAGGGCTTTGTTGCAGAAGGACAGCACGATTTCATCCAGGTCGCATCTTTTGAGGACTTCAGGTGGTATGCCGTCATCAGAGGCACATATTAGGTGCGGTAAAAAAATCGAAATTATGCGGTACCGCACCCGACTATAAAGGTAAAATGTGCGGTAAGGTGCGGTAAATTTTTACCAATTATGCGGCAAATGTGCGGCGATTTTTTCGAAATTTGTGCCGGAATTGTGCGGTTTTTTTTTGCATTTTCTCGAGGACTTTGGAAATTCTAAACGTATAACCGCCGCTCTTATCAAAAATAGGTCTGTTTATGTGTTACTGAGTTGCTATCGTTCTTGTACAGACATTATTGAATATTTTGGGTCAGTAGTTAAAGTCTGAAAGGACTTACATCTGTACCGAGGAACAGTTGTTAAAGAGGACATTGTTGATCGGTTCCTAAATCGATCTTTGTTGATCCATAGGTGTGATTTGTTGGTCAGATCGTCATCTTTGTGAACCATTAAATATTCATTAAGCCGCACTAAGTAAAAGCCAACGCTGCAACGATAAAGTCATGTACCTGTACAACAGAAACTGCCGTATTATCACCTACAGAGTAACTGATAATCATAATGCGTGTACGGTAACGCGAGGTTCATAACTGGCCTGGGCTCGGTCGCCGTAAAAGGGGCTACAGCAGTAAACATGCCGAAAAATGGGGCTACAAGCAGTAACTGGCCGTATTCAAAGGGCTGGGGTAAACGGTGCCGCGAAATGCCGTTCTTGGTAAAGCGGTAACGAAAGGGGACCGGGATCATGGTCTCCGACGGCTTTCTGTCTCACGTCTGCTAAGCTATGAGTTCCCCAGGGATCTGCAGGTTACTAGGTTCTGAAGAAGGGCCCTGGGTGCAGGGTTCCGAGATAGTTGCAGGGCCTGGAGTCGAGTGAGCCTGAGCATTCTGCAGTCGCCGATGGGATCTTGGAGCTGACTTGGGAGACACGGGTCAGGCGTGGGGAGCTCGATATTGATGATGTTAAGGGCCTTTTCACGGTCCCATCAAATGCCTGTTTGTCTAGGGTCCAAGTCTGGCGTATGGCACCGCCGAAGGGCTGGGTGTGAACACCGGTCCTGTGACTTCTAAGGTTAGTTCCAAAGGGGTGTGCATGCTCCCGCTGTCCTGAAAGGGACTGTCATGGTCCCGAGAAAGGTCTTGGTCAGGGTTTTTCCCAGGGCTGGGGTCAGGGTTCCGATGGGTATGAGGTCCGTTATCTTTAGCCCACGTGGCCTTTTTACTCTGAGTCCGGTCTAAGGGGCGCTGGGTCAGCGTCAGGAAATGACAGTGGGTAATGTATCCCTGAAGAGCCTGGGTAAAAGGGTTCCCATGGGTTCTGTGTTCCGGTTACTGAGTAGAAGTTGACAATACTTGGTTTATAGGCTTTAGTTTTGTTTGGTGAGTGAAAAAGCTCTTAATCACAAAAATGTGCGGTAAATTTTGCGAGAATTTCGAGGAAAATGTGCTAGTGATTTTATTTGCGGCTGGACCTTTTGCACCATCTATTAAGAGTTTGCTACAAGTGAGTCAAAGATATCATTTAGGGAATTTTTTGGGGCGGGAGATGTTGTTTAGTCTGGCGAAACACGGTAGGGCTTGTGCGAAGGCGCCGTTTCACCAGTCGCATCTTTTGAGGACTTCAGGTGGTATGCCGTCATCACCTGGTGCTTTACCTTCTTTTATCCTGTGTTTAGCAGCTTTCAAGCAGTAAATATGCCGTATATCATAACATGTCGTCCTACAAGCAGTAAACATGCCGTATATGGAGCACTGAAACGGAATTTGGAATGCTCTTTATCAACATCACTCTTTGGTCATACCAACTTGAGACCTGCTGCCGTGACTCTTATGACGTTTAATTGGATTCAAATTCAGCCTCCTGAATTAACAAATATTTGTCATCAATTTAAAGCTTCATAATGGCTTGTGTAACCTCCCTTACAACGTCGCATGTATGGTATCTCATAATCTTCAGGAATGAAACTTGGAGCTGGTTAATACATGTAAACATGTTGTAGATTTATATACCCAAATATACCATACTAACCGGTGGTTACTGGGGGGGGGGGGGGGGGGGGGGGGGTTACTGGTTACTGGTAACTGGTTACTGGGTACTGGTAACTGGTTACTGGTTACTGGTTACTGGTTACTGGTAACTGGTTACTGGTTACTGGTAACTGGTAACTGGTAACTGGTAACTGGTTACTGGTTACTGGTAACTGGTTACTGGTTACTGGTTACTGGTTACTGGTTACTGGTTACTGGTTACTGGTTACTGGTTACTGGTTACTGGTTACTGGTTACTGGTTACTGGTAACTGGTACTGGTTACTGGTTACTGGTTACTGGTTACTGGTTACTGGTTACTGGTTACTGGTTACTGGTTACTGGTTACTGGTTACTGGTTACTGGTTACTGGTTACTGGATGCTGGTTGCTGGTTGCTGGTTGCTGGTTACTGGTTACTGGTTACTGGTTCCTGACACTTATTGTCGCTATTAGAACTGTGACTGAGCCTGTCAGTTTTGA